CAACGGTGTGGGTGCGACTCGCGCATTTTCCATACCAAAACGCTGCAGTATTTTGTCTAGATAGGCTCGCTGGTCAAGATGGACACAGTTGCCTTTCCAAGTGATACGCATGCGCAAGAACTCTTTGCCGTCGAGTTCTCTGCACTCCCACTTATCCATGAAAGCTCGTTTGAGTCTTAGGACGGTAGGAGAGTTCTTGGGCCCCATAAAGAAGGCATCGTCAACATAGACTACGGCAATGCAGAAATTGCCATCTTTGTTGTAGACGAATATACCAGCGTCTGACACCAGGCGTTTAAAGCCTAGGTCGGCCATGGACCGGTCGAGGGCTTTCCACCAAGCTAACCCTGCCTGTTTAAGTCCATAGAGCGCGCGGCGAAGCTGGAAAACCATGTTTTCGCGCCCTGGCTCTTTAAAGCCTTCAGGTTGCTCCATATATATTTCTTCGTCGAGATTGCCATACAAATAGGCATTTCGCACATCAACGGCATGAATTTGCCAGTTTTCAAGTGCGCATAGTGCAAACATCATTCGCACTGTCTCAAAACGAACTACAGGTGAGAAGACTTCATTGAAGTCAATTCCTTCAACCTGGGAGAAACCTTTGGCTACAAGCCTGGCCTTTTTCCGACCATCAGATTTGATGTCGAAGACCCATCGGTTTTTAATGACCTTTCGGTCTCGTGGGCGATCAACCAGGTCATAGACCTTGCGCTTCCGGAGAGCTTCAAGCTCATCACGGCATGCAGCACGCCATTCCTTCTGTTCAGCAGGTTTAAGCCGCTGAATATCGCGATATGTCCATTCTTTTACATTGGACTCGTTGGGATTTCCGCCGAATAGTGGATATGCGCGCAAAAGCAACGCTTCGACGAACTGTACTCCCCCCTCCTGGCATAGTTTTGCTAACCGAGCATCTCCTTCAGAATCAGATTCCGAGGATGGGGCTTTACTGGCGCTTTCGCGATAGCCAGTGAACGGTGTTTCCGGTGCAGACGGGTCATCGCTTTTTCTCGGAGTCTGAGGTGGCAAACTAGGCACAGGAGCCGGTTCGTCCTCTGATGGAGGCGATAATTCGCTCTCTATCATTTGCTTCCGAGAGACCTTGCGTGACGTTTTGCCTTTGCCTGGTGAGGATCCACCCTCTACCAAGTCTTTCCAGGCGCGTTCACGCTCAATCTGCTTGTATTGGGAAACAGGATGTTTCCTTTCACCGTATATATTGCCCTCTCGCTTCGGCACTTTCCTGAGACGACCAGATCTCCTTGGAGATTGCCATGGTTGTTCAGGCGGTACTGGGCTGGGAGTCCTCGACCGCTCTCTTTTGGGCGTCGAAGGAAGCTCAGGTGCCACGTCTGGCGCCTTGCCTTTCCCCTTTTCAGGAGTTATAGTGGGAACAGGAGCTGACGGAATTTCATCGTCGTCGTCCCAAGGAACGGGTGGTTGACCCGATGGGTGATTGGTGTCTTTGGATCGCGGACCTCCAATACGCGTGTTTTTCGTTTGCTTTTGCTTCGCACACTTAGGAAACAGTGTTTCGTCAAACAACGCATGGGCAGATGTGAATATCACATTGTTGGGTAGGCGCATGAACTTGAAGTTCGTTTCCATACCATCCGCAACGCCGATGTATATCATAAGTTCAGATTTAGGTGACATTTTGTTCTTTCGAACATCGGCGGGGAGGTGAACGTATGCACCACATCCAAAGACTCGCAAGTGATCGACTCGCGGTGGTCTACCATACAGAAACTCATACGGCGTCTTCCAGTTTAGGCGCACAACCGGAGTTCTGTTGTATACATGCGTTGCATGCTCAACAGCGAAATTCCACCAGGATTCAGGCAAGCAAGCGTCAAAGCGCATCGACTCAGCCTTATCCATGAAGGTGCGCATATACCGCTCAGCACGACCATTCTGCTGTGGCGTGTGGGGTGCGCTCTGAAGAACTTTAATGCCGTTATTTTTAAAGTACTCGTCCAAGGCTTTGGACTTATACTCTCCCCCTGCATCCGACATCCACTTCTCAACAGTCGAACTGAACTGGTTCTTGACCATTGCCATGAAGTGTTTAATTGCTGGTAGTGCCGCATCTTTAGTACGCAGGCAAACTATCCAAGCAAACGAAGTGTAGTCATCCAAGAACGTTATCACATATTTATGCTTGTGATACGACTCGATTGGGAATGACTTGATGTCAGAATGGATAAGTTCAAACGCTCTTTCAGCGCGAACAGGGTGAGTAGGAAAGGGTCGCAAAGGCATTTTGCCTTGCGCACAACCTCGGCATATATGTTCCTCGGTGGGTATCTCAATGGGTGTAAACCCGGAGACGTGTTTCCGAGCATGTCGAAGCACATCCTTTGAAGGATGAGCAAAACGACGGTGCCATGTCTGGTAATCCAGAGCATAGACCATATCGACAACCTCCATTTCTTTGTCGGGGAGGGTCTGGACACCATAGATGGTATCACCCGATACACGAGGAGTGAACGTTAGAAACGGTTCTCCTTGTTCGGTTAACACTCTTACTGCCTCTGAGTCGCAGAGTGCAGTCATGTCGCTCTGCAGAAACTGGCCAAGAGAAAGCAGCCGCATATTAATGTCGGGCACAAGCTTTACTCCGGCAATCTGTACGATATCCTTCTTGGTTTTCAGGATTACAGTCCCTTCGCCAATCATGTTGGTGTGGTTATTTGCCGTCGATAGCCTTACCGGCGCATCAAATGGCTTATAATTAATGAAGTCGTTGATATCATTTGTGAAATGATACGATGCTCCAGAGTCACACATCCAAAAGACTTGGCTTGGTGTTCCTTTTCCCTTACAATCGGCGCACGCAGACTATGAGAGCGAATGCACACAATCGTTATTACTACACAATACATCATCGCAAAGTATATTACATGCGGCTATATTATCGCGCGAAGACGCAGCAGATAAGTTAGCGATGTTTAGTGCAGAGGGATAGGAAGGGACGTACCCAACATCCTCATCGTCATCGACAATCATGCCTGACCATCGGGACGGTCCAGCATGTCCTGGATCATCTCCCAGAGGTGATTCATTCCGCGACCCAATGCTGACGAAGTCGTCGCATTCGTCGTCGGAGGCGTCGGGAGGGACGTATTCGGGCGTCGGCGCTCGCGAGGAGATTCGCTCGGCGAGCGGCGTTGACGAGGTGCCGGTGGGGCGCGGCGAAATCCGGTCCATAAGGTTGGGCCGGCTGGACGTCCAAGAGGAGTCAGATGATCCTTTGTTAGAGGAGGGAGAGAGGCGGACGCGCTTGAAGGCGCGGAGGGCCTCCTCGTCGGAGTCGAAGGTCGGCGAGCCGTTTGCCAGGCTCCAATCCGCGCTGACTGTTCCGCATTCCTCATCGCTCGAGTCGCTCGTTCCGCGGAATGGCGGAGTGGGGGGAACTCCTCGAAGCGAAGAATCCGAGCTGGTACCGGGTGAGGGGCTTCGGCTTGCTCCCGTCGCGCCTGCTGGTCTCGTTGTCGCTGGGACGGAGGAGAGACCGAGGGCCGGACACTTCTTGTGCTCGGCAAAGGTGCGACAGGGCGTCTCCGCTGTGCAGAATGGTTCAATGGCAGGACAGAAATTGTGGTCTGCCTGCGTCCGGCATGGGGGTTCGGCTTCGCAGTAGGCGTAGTGCCACGTCCCTTTGAGCCTGTTGACGGCCTCGATCCGGCGCTTACGCTCGAGATGGTTTTCGAAGGTGTCCTCTTCAGGGCACTCGAGTAAGTGTTTGAGCGTGGCGGCACGGAGGGCGTCGCGCTCCTCGTTGAGGGTCTGGATGCGACGTTGTTCAACGGTGGCTTCGAGGACCCGCAGTTGCTCGGGCGTGGGCCTGATCCCTAAGTCGCGAGCAAGCTTCAGCGCGCCATTCACACTAGGGTAAATGGTGGAGGGTTCAGTCACCTTCACAACCGGTTTGAACATGCGACGATCGGCGACGTACGGTGAGGGAGCACGGCGTGAAGCCGGCTTAGGTTCGTCAGCGGCGACTGCCACAGATGCCATAGTGACATTGTGGTCGCAGTCGGCGACGTACGCCTTTCCCTTGCCTTTGTCCTTGCCCTTGCCACGGCCAGAGCGACCGCGACGGCGCTTGTCCGAGTGCTGCTGCTGCCCCTGAGGGCGCTGCTGCGACTGCGAGGACTGCTGCTTCTGCTGCTGCTGCCCGTTAGGGCGCTGCTGCTGGGAGAAAGACTGGTCGCCTTGCTTGCGCTTGACAGCGCTAAGCTTGTTGGCGGTGTCGTTCGGCTTCTTGCTTGACGAGGCGTGGAGCTGCCTCTGGTCATAGGCGAGGATGACTTGACGACGAATGTCGTCGACGTCGAGTTCGGCGGGCTGCTTCTGCTGCTGCAGATGGCTGATGAACGACATCTGCGGTGGGAGCTTGGCGATGATGAACATAGCGAGGAGCCACTCAGGGAGCGGCTCAGTGGCAGGAATCGCGGTAGAACCCGCGGCGGAGATGCTGGCAGTAGCGGTATGGGATCGAGCCGTAGCGAGGGCGGAGGTCGAAACGACCTTGACCTCCTTGAGGCGGTCCCAGTGCGCTTGCATCTTGTTGAGCGCGGGAGCGGGGTGCGAGTTGCCAGGAATGTTCGTCGCCAGCAGAGCAGAGAACTCGTGGTAGACGTTGCCTAGAGCGAGAGAACCGTAGTCCTTCTTCAGCCTTTGCCAGATGGCGGCGGCGGTCGTGAGGTCCGAGGTATTGGAGCGAATAGACATAGAGAGGCGCAAATTAATGCAGCCCATAGCCTGCATGTCGTGGTCGACCCAGGCCTTCTCGTCGCTGAGCTGCTGAGCGCTCGGGGTCGCAGAAAGAGTAGGACGAGGATTGACGATCGCAGTCCAGTGCGAATGCGCCATGAGATAGTTCTGCATGTCGGAGGCCCAGTGCTGGTAGTTAGCACCGGTGAGCTCGGCGATCTGGTACAGAGCAGACGACATAGTAGCGTAGAGTGTTGTTAGAGTTGGTAAGATCTGGTTGAAAGAAACAGTCGTCAGCGTAATGAATCAACTAAACGACCAGCGCATGACAGCGCTGCAGATCACCAGTGGAGCAACGGCCTTGAGCCGTGCTACGCGTCGCCGAGAGGCGTTACGCGTTGTCCACCACAGCGTTAAGCCATTTAAAGGCGACGCTTCAGGCGAGCAGGGCACCCAGGGCGCAGAGTCGGTGCAGAGTGCAACCGTCTCAATGCATTGCGGACGCGGTGCAGGATGCTACCGTCATCGACGCAAGCCCCAGCGAGCCCAGGGCTCATAACCTGTGAAAGCTGCGCTGCCGCACACAGTGGCGGGCGACGTCAAGCTCACCTGGTTGAGTCTGGGTAAGTCTCAGTCTGTGGAGGACAGAAGTAAAGCGACTTATATTGCAACGCTCAGACAGGCCTGTATATATACTACAGAGAGTGGCTATGCGGTGCAATCACATGCTAAGCTATAGAACAATAAAGAAGGCTGTGGAACGTAGCAACGTACAGCCTATTGTGTCAGAAATAGATACAGCTGTGCCGAGGACGGCAGTCAAGGCGGGCTGTGCCAGCGCCTGTGAATCGGTGGCTGTAGAGCGCCAATTCAACATCTGGATGCTGATTATTGTCAGGAAGTGCTCTGCGCAGCCATACTCGTCCATTCTGGCTAACAGCAGTCCGGTGATTAGCAAGGTCACCGAGAGTCGAAGCTCGCTAGCGTGCTCTGGCACACTTCATGCTGGCTCGCTTGGTTAAACATAACCCCCATCGTAGCCACCGCTTAACCAACCACAGAGCCTTGCCTTCTTGACAGTGGCTGGCTTCATCAGTCTGTCCATATCCAGTCACGAACCGCGGGCGAGCACTTCGTATGTCTGCCCCTGTCTAATCTATGCATGCCGAGTTGGCTAAAAAGCACCCATGGAATGTACAGGTTCTCCGCGTTTGCATAGCGGCTCGACATCAAGGTGCTAAGCGAGAGCTGAGATACTATGGCCGTGGTACTGGTGCGCCACAAAGGATGGTCAGAACCACGCATGGCCGAGGAGGGTACCTCTCCTTTGCTCGCCCACCGAATCATGCCGGCCATGCCTCCAACAACGGCTATATAACTCTTCGCTGCAGCGCCAGGTAAATGCATACTATCAGCTTTCTCATACCGCGTCGGGAACCCGAAGCCGAGTTGACGAGAAAACCTCCTCTCACGCAACCTGTTCTAAACTCGTTAAGGTCCGTCTTCACCAAATGATTGCCTCGTCGCTATCCCTGGTTCACTGATTCGGAGGTAAAACAGATGGCCCAGAGGGAAGTCAACTGGCTTGGCGCAATGGAAGACGACTCGTCCACCAAGACCGTCAAGATCGCGACCCAAGGCTCTCAACCCGCCTCGCAGGAGAGCAACCGACACGTCTTCATGTTCTGGGAAAAAGGTAGGCTCCCGCACAATGGTGATTTAGTGTATGAGATACTTCATCTCGTCGGGCCGCCCCGCGGGTTGCGCTTCGAGCACATCGCTAAGAGCGGGGGCGACGATTTCAAACAGCGGCACCAAGTTGCGGAACTCGGGGACTTCACGCGGGCTCAACGCGATCAGATCCGCACGCTCGCGGCAAAACTCCCGTTCAACCCAGTCTCCGCGGTGAACGACTGCCGCGCTTGGCTTCACGATCTCATCAATGCGATGGTCGAAGACTCTGTCGTCAGGCTTTCCCCTGCCAAGCGCCAGGCGGCCCTTAGCAAGTGTCATCTGCCGGCGCGGATGCCGGAGTAGTCTCGCAGTGAGCGACTTGATCATTTTCCGATGGATGGCTCTAATCTTTCCCTCAGATCATTGCTCATACGCATCTGGCATGCCAACCGGCAGGATTACGAGCCCCTTTGTGCTACGTCGTTCTCCTATTGTCCTTGTCTTTCTTCGCATTTAATGCCATTGCTTGTTTGTACGGACGGACGGACACTGTACTGAATACGCACTAAATGATTGATGTCATTGATACTAGACGCAGTCCACTGAGTTAGGGGGAACGGAACGGTTGTCAACTACTATTGATGAGCGCTAAACACTATGTATGCAAAGACGCAAAGTGCTGCCTGTCGCGACGCGACGGAGCCGCGAAGGACGCGTGACGTCCGCGCGTTCACCGACTCATCCGATCGACGTGATCGTGACCGGCGCGACGTCGACGGCCTCGGTGGATGCCGGCGTCCGCGTACGTGTCCAGTTCGAGCCGACGTCAACGGTGAACGGGTGTCGGGTTTGGATGCGCGACTTGCTCGACGCGATGATCAAGGATCCGCTATTTTAGTCAAAGCGAGCGCCGAGGTTATTGCACACATCATCAATCACCCTCAGAGATATACCTGCCGCATCATCAGCCGGAGCCCCCACGCTAAGTTGTGCCTCAGATCGGTGCACCTCAACGCGCCGTGCGTCAGGCGATCTGAGTTGCATTGAGTCGGTTCGTGGTCCATCAAGAGTATTTCATCTGACTTCGCTTTCAGGGATTCAAGCTTTGGCTGCAAAAGTGTGGGAGAGGGTTGGCAGAGGAGAGGAGAGATGGATATAACGCTAGGATATGTTTGGCGGACGACTCAGTATTTGCTCGACATTAGGGGGCCTCAAAGTTGGCGATTATGCACTGATTCTGCGTCGGATTATGTGCGGATTATGTGTCGATTCTCCTGTCGCTACACGACCATAATCCACCTTTCAACTTTGAACCCCCCGCTACAACTCCCGATTCTGTCTGGATTCCGTACATGAATCATCTCCTGCCGACGCATCGGCATGTCCTTCTGAGCTTGAAATCAGAGTTCGGCCGCACGGCTGAGCCTGCATTTGTACCCAAGTCCAAGATAGCGCGACCTAAGTAACCTGACGACCTAAGTCTCGACGGCATTCCGACGCCTCTGTGCCCACTACAATCAACACGATGGATTGCACCCACAGATCTGATCATGCCAGTTCAACAGGTATATGTGCTATGAATCTGAATAGTTTACTGAGTTAGGGACGAGCATGTGGCTATTTTGACCAGTGCATTTATGAGTGCTCGTAGATATAATTGTATATATAGTGTGTTATGGGACAGTAAGAGCAGCGGTGTAAAGAATAGCTTATGCTGCCGCCAAATGGTTGAAGAGTGTTGCCCATTTGATGACCCCGCTACTCTGACCTCTGCCGGAGTGCAATGACCTGGACTATAAACTCAGGGACAAAAGGGCCACGCACGTATCCATAGGGATGAAAGGTCGTCCGGGGGCGATGTGGGCAGGCACGACACGAAGGGATTGACGTTCTTGCATGGTAATACATACGGGCGGTAGTAAAAGGCTCTCCGCAGTCCGAATTGCATGCGTACCATGTCAATACACTCGTGAACCAAATATCCGGCACCATGTGCACACCCAAGGTGTACTATTCGAGGGACTGGCTGCCGCTTGTGGTCAGCTAGATGGTGCTGTACTGAACGAGAACGTGTCGTCCTTCCATGCGCATTGAGTACTTCTTCGCTGTCTCAGGTCCTTGTACAGGTAAGGTTGGTGATGGGCGATGAGGTCGTTGAGTCCCGGAAGTATACTATTCAGAGCAGATACCAGCCACAAAAGGAGGAGACCGACGGGGATGAGGACGAAGAGACGAATGGACATCCCCGTGACGCGGGAAGGATTCCAAACTCCGATGTAGAGAATCGGATTATGGGTCGAAGCAAGTGTAGCGGCTCTGGAGCCGCTACACTCGATTCGACCATAATCCGCGACCATAATCGACTTTCGAATCCACTCCATAATCTGTCCCATAATCGCCAACTTTGAGACCCCCTATTGCAAACAGTGCGATTGAAATCAAGGATGATATTAAGAATGTTGAAAGGGTAAGATGATAAAACAATACTCTGCAACACCAGGGCATACGACTCTAGTGAGGCTCTCCTTTTGATTCATGAACAGCGCCACCATCGCGAATCTCGGTACTTCCTTGAGAGCGAGCATATATTCCCTCACATGATCCACCAGATCGGGATTCGGGTCACAATGCTCGTCTAGAAGGGACGAAAAGGTGTTGAGGATAGAGACGAGCAATGGCGGTTCCAGAGACGTTTGACACATTGAAGGTACCGCCGCTGGGGGAATTTGCTGCATTGATTGCAATTCAGTATTTGGGCGACGCTAGATCAACGCTGACAAGGAAACGTACGCAAAGCAAGGCCCATCGGTCTTCGGCCGTCTTCTGCGCACTCCACGACCGCTGGAATGTGGCCAGGCTCACCGGCGAACGAATCGACGTGCTCGTACTCGGCGAGGCGAGGCGAGCTTTCGACACTGGAGAGGCACCCGTGGATGGATAGGGCTCGGGTTTGACCTCACGGATCTTGGCGTCGGTGCTGACGAGCGTGTGGTTACCGCTCTTTCGGAAGATGCCACCGCCTGCGCGAGACGGCTTCGTACTGTCGCGGACTTCCTTCGCCTGCTTGAACGAAGTCGAGGTAGACGCCGGGGGTACTGATGAGATAGGCGAAACCGAATTGCCCTGGACTTGACGAGTCGAATCCGGAGCGAGAAGATCCAATGACTTCGGAGTAGAGGTTGATGCCGCCGGCGGGTCAGATTCGACTACTGTGATAGGTATCCGACGCCTCTTCGGTTGCGCGGTGGTTGATGTGCCAGAAAGAGGAGGAGGAACGACATTGAGATCTTTCTTCGCCTGATTTTCCGTCAGATTACTAGTCAATAACGAAGAACATGGTATGTTTACCGTAGACTGTTTCGCGGCGATTAAATCGTCGACCCTTTTCAGCTCCTGCTTGATCGAATCGTTCGAAGGCTCGATCTTGAGCGCTGCCAGAAGATCTGCGTACAGTATCAGTGATACCATCATGAGAGCACAGAACAGACCCCACCCTGCTTCGCTTCGTCGAGTTTCGACAATTCTGTCCTGGCCTGTGCTCGACGGAACAAAGCCTTGGCGTTCGGATTTTTCGCGTTTAGTGAGATCACGGTGGAACAGTCGCGTTCTGCATCCTGATGTCTATGTATTCGAAGTTCGTGTTCAAGTTTTTGCACGATGCATGTTGGGCCACGCACTTGCCTAGTTTGAGATACGCGGCGGCGCGGTTCAACGGATACGTTGGATCCTTCGGGTCTGCAAGGATGGCAGAAGTATAATGGCCTATGGCGGCGGCGTAGTCGCCGGACTTGAAGGCCGCGTTGCCCTGCACAAACCGAGCGTTAAGACTCCGAAACATCGGCTATTTGGGCGATGAATACGCCACTTTTTCCTTCGCGCCCTTCGCAATCTGAGCGGGATTTTGCGCCATGTCCGACGTGTCAACACAATCCGTATAATTAGCGGCGAATCGTTTTCTCCCTTGAACTTGCACGACTTGATCGAGACGAAGGTGAGTGAGGTCGGAAGTCAAGCCACAACGCCCGGTCGCTCGATCATCCGTTTACGTCGCAATCTGGGACTTGGTCGGCGCATACCATCACCGACTGGCTTCTTACGGAAATTACTCGCTATCTTATATCTTTACGGCAGCATGGCGAACAGCCCGTCGGTCTCTGTTCCCCATCGTACGCTAATCCTCTGTTATGCTACCGAACCGCAAGTCTGGTTGGCTCATCTCGGCGCGCCCAGCGTCGCTTAGTCGACCGCTCGACGAGCAGACGTCGACACCGAGGCTTCTGCACTCCTTGGAACAGAAAACCAACTCTATCTTGTCCTTGATTGCGGACGAGAACTACATTTACAGTGGCAGCCAGAGCTCGAATATATCGGTATGTGGTGTTAAGCCAAGGGTCGTCAGCCGTGACTCATTGGAGGTCCAGGTTTGGGATAAGCAGACATTTACGCTCAAGGCGACTCTGCGGGGTCACACAGGAAGCGTGCTATGGTTGGAGTATGCGTCGGATCGGAAATGGTTGTTCAGCTCGTCAGGTTCGTCCTGCGATGCTATGAGTTGTGTGACACCGTCTTGAATCGACATCCGGCTATAGGTGATGCAACGATCCGGGTGTGGTGCACGCGGGCGCTTGTCCCACTATACGTTATCAACCCGCATCTCGAGACCGATGCGGGCGACCTATTCTCCCTAGCATGGTCAGTCTATGTGTCGGACTACATGGAACTCTAAATTAATGCATGCAATCGCATGTATAGGTCATCCAAGCTCCAAACCCTATATGTCGGATGTCAAAACACGTCCCTACAGTGGTTCAATTTCAATGCCTCGCAGAGCTCCCCGGAAAGCTCTATTATACACTCTTCCACGCATTCCAGCATATCAATCGCAGGCTCGTCCGGCTCTGGCACGTCCACTCCTAGCCGTAAAGCGCACAAATTTTTCGATTCGTATCCTCAATATGAGCGGCGATCGGCAGACGTGTACGCCATGAACGGTATCGCGGCGTCGCTTCCTCTCAGTTCTTCGGAAGGCTGCATACAACTGTCGGCCCCTCCAGTAGCGAAGAGTGTTTTGCAGATACCACCCTCGGACGTGATTGAATCAGCGCATTACGGATACATATATTGCATGGCGCTCATGCCCAGTACGAGAGAGGGATCTGATGACCACCAGCATGGTATGGCTCGCGAAGAGGAGCTATTGGTCACTGGAAGTGGTGACGAATCCTTCAAGGTATCTGATATATCCACCAGCATATCAGCAGATGAGCTCAAATAATCACCTAGGTCTGGAAGATCACTTCTGAGGGCCCTGAACATCTCCATTCGTATGAGTGTGCCCAAGGCGCGGTTCTCTCCATTGTGACCCGTGGAGATACCATATTTGCAGGTTTGCAGGGTGGAAGTGTTGTGGTATGGGACTTGGAGACGAAAACGCTTGTCCGAACCGTATTTGTTCAAGAGGTGATTTCTACCTATGTTTTGTTTGGAAAACCTCCCCTTGACGTGATCATCGATAGAATGTGGATGTGCTTGCTCTATCTCTCCTTCACTCCGATCTATACACCTGCTCGGCGAACGGAGAAGTGCAGGTGCGTCGACTCCTTCATGAGGAGTATTGAATCGTTGAGCAATATACCGTTAGCGCTGGTCTGCGTCTTTCGATCGTACAGCATCCTGGAATGCGCACGACGGGATCATCCTCTCATCTGTGATCATTCAACGGCACAAATCTGAGGATGACGGAAGCGGTTATGCTCTTGTCACAGGCGCGAACGATGGGTATATCAAGGTACGAAAACCATACTCCACAATGCGAATTGGTCTGACTGTTCGCCTGCAGGTATGGCATACAGAGCCTCCCGCGAGGTTCGCCGTAGACGCAAACCTAAATGGTGCTTGCGACGACGAATGTCCCGACACGAGGACCATGAACGGTATGTCAACCTCGTACACATCCACTTTTACTGCTGTGCTTACCAATATGCCCCGTTGCCTTAGACACCATGGTGTACGCTCTCACCAAATTCATTTCCATTGCCTCCGTTTCGGGAAAGCCCTCCCACAAAGAAGACTGCAGACAAGCCGCCATCTGGCTGAAAAAATGCTTGAGTCAACTCGGTGCAGAATCCATGCTTGTACGTTCACGAGTAATAGCACGCCCGCAAAGAATAATCAATGATATCGACACAGGTGCCTACGGGTGAGGATACGAATCCCCTGGTTTTGGCAACATTCAGGGGCGCTCAGAGCGAAAAACGGCGTCCGAGGGTACTATTCTATGGGCAAGTCCACCTTCACTCCCATTTGTCGAATTTTGGACCTCAACCCTGTCGACTCATCTAGACATTACGACGTGATCCCCGCGCCGCCTCGCGGATGGCAATATCCGCCGTTCGAGCTCACGCCCGTAAATGGTCGCTTGTACGGTCGCGGGGTCACGGATAACAAGGGCCCTATCATGGCGGTTGCCTGCGCCGCGGCGGAGCTATTGATGAAGAGAGAGTTGGAGGTTGATTTGGTGATGTGTGTAGAGGGCGAGGAGGAAAGCGGGAGCCGGGGCTTTGGGGAGGCTGTGCGGAGACGTAGGGTGGGCGTCATCGCGTACATGCTACAAGTGGTGCTATGCTCACGGTTCTGGTTGACCAGGATGTGATCGGAGACGTGGACGCTATCTTGATCAGGTCAGTCATTGCACTTATTGCGCCTTCCTAATCTGACGTGATCCGAACAGCAACTCAACCTGGATTGCGGAGGATCCTCCCTGTATCACATACGGTCTACGAGGGGTCGTGCATTGCAGCGTCGAGGTCAGTTTAGCGGCGAAGTGCTCGACTCGTCTGACGACGAGCTCGACTAGATCAGCAGCCATAGTCCTGATCTGCACTCCGGTGTAGACGGAGGCTCGGTCCCAGAACCGATGTTAGATTTGTGAGTGTTGTACCCACCTTGCCAATTACGGCAGGAGCGACGGATGCTCACGCCTGTATACCATAGAGTTAATCTTCTGGCGACTTTGATTGATCGGCAGCGGAAGGTTCTGGTCCCCAAATTCTGTGCGTACGCACTGTTCTCGATGGCTATCTCGGATTTGAATCACGTTCCGTAGACGACAGTGTTCGTCCACCAACAGAGGACGAGACTCAGTTGTACCGCCGGATTTCTGCCATTGTTCAACAACCGACTTCGTGGCTGAGTTCTCGTTGGAGGGAACCGAGCTTGACTGTTCACAACGTCGAAGTTTCTGGACCTAGAAGTGGGTTATTCGATCATGATTCACTCCATGAAGCTGAAGGAGAGAAAGTGCAGACTCTACTGTTATTCCATCGACGGTTAAAGCGCAAGTATCGGTGCGAATAGTACCCGATCAAGATCTGGAAACGATAGCACGCTCGCTCTGCGAACACCTGGAGACGTCCTTCAAGGAACTTGATTCTCCCAATCAGCTCGATGTCGGTCTTTTCCCCCTTGCCCTTTGGTGTCGTCATAGATGAACTTGCCACTAACCTTGGCTGCAACGTCTTCCAGGTCAATATCACACATAAAGCGGATTGGTGGCTTGGAAACCTGGATGACAGATGGTTCAAGGCTTTGGAACGGTCTGTGAGGGATGAGTGGGGCGTCGAGCCCCTCAGGATACGCGAAGGAGGGGTGAGTCAGATCCTCAATTCCTGTGAGCTGTATATTGCGCTAACCCCACATGGGCCGTTAGTCTATACCTTCCGTCCCTTGGCTCGAAAAGGAGTTTGGTTGTCACGCGCTTCATTTGCCATTGGGCCAGAGCACGGTGAGCTACGCCAATTCACGGTCCGTGATCTTGTGCTCACCGTCATGCAATAGGACCAAGCCCATCTCCCCAACGAGAACATCTCTTTATCCAATCTCCAACGTGGAAAATCTGTTATAGAACGCTTTCTGCTCGCTGTCGCCAGTGATGAGTGAGCTATAATTCATTAGCCGATAGAGGGCCTGTACCACATTTTTAAGTCTGTTTCGCGATACGAGAAGAACTAGTAGATCGACGTGTGAGCCGTCGGGATGTTCGACTCATTCAAGGTAGATAGGTAGGTATATTACCGGGCACGGTCCCTAAACAGGAACAGCCCTACACTCTTTTGGGACCGTGCCGGGTAATACCATACCATACCATACCATACCGGTGTTTCGCGGCTTTTGTGGACGCCGACACACCGCTACGCACCGGGTGGAAAAGTATCTAAGTATACATGTAGTACGCTATGTCGTACTACAACGTTCGGAGCTCGAGTCACATAAATGATACTACCTGTCATAGTCCGCGAGAGCTATCTATTCAATACATTCGTCAATGTCAGGCTCGTCTGGGTCCTCGGGATCATGCAGGCTCGAAATCGGCATCGTCTCGGTGTACCGTTACGGAAGTCACCAGTCAAGTACGACATTGCCTCCACAGTCCAGATACGTCAACTCTGCCCTACATGCGGGTTCAGTGTCGACAACGGGAGCTTTTACGGATCCTAATTCGGTGCTAGCATGTAGGTAGGGAAAACCCTGAGTGTACATATCGTCAGTCCCCTAACCGTGATTTCCTTTCTTGGGGTTCCGTGGTATGCATCGCGCCGTTCGTGCTTTACTTTGGCCGCCACTACCTTCTTCCTAACTCGTGCGCATCGAACAGAAATTCGTTGGAGTTTACTCGCTCTGATTGCTCTGGAATTGGGTCACTCATCTGCAAGGAATGGGGTCAGCTCGGGTTCCTCAAGAGATTTGGGATCGGATCCTCGAAGTCGTCGACTCGGACGATGGGAACGCCACTTTGCGCGCTTGTTCGTTAACGTGTCGGAGATGGGTCGATGCAAGTCAGAGACGACTATTTACAGACCCGATTCCGAGGGGAGCTTATCGAATAGAAGTGGTCAATCTCCGTGCCGAACATCTCTGCCGTACCCTGAGCGAATCCCCGCATCTGCGGGCTTTCGTTACGGTGCTGGCGATTCCGGTCCGATACCTTGCTCGATTCCTCGAACAACATCTCCCGAATATCCAAGATCTGCACCTTCGTGGCGTGAACAAACCGGACGACTGCGATATCCCTGAGGGAGTCACGCTGGCCGCTTTCCCTCGTCTTCTTGGTCTTCACCTCAACGCAATCACGCTCCTTCCCTCCAGATTCCTTGCGTTGATTGAGTCCGCTCCCCATATAAATCATCTTGGTTTTCGTAGTGTCTTTTGGTGGGACAGAGACGGCGAGTCGGAGCGCTTTCCATCGTCGCCAAATGGTGCAGCCAAACCTCGGTTGACAGGGTTGGAGATCGAGGAACGTCCCGTGGCCGACACGTTGGAACACTTGGCAGCTCTTGCTGTTCGTGGATACTTCGTTCTCGCGCTCGAGCAGCTGTCACTGCCGGTCGGCCTGTCTGAGCCGTGGTTCACGGTGTCGCAAGAGCTCCCCCTGCAGCACTGCAGCATGCTTCGTTCACTCCGGATAACCAACTACGAGGATATAAGAATGGATTCTCGCCGGCGTGAGTCTTCGAAGTTGCGTATGACAGGTATACTATCCATATGCTGATCTCTGCGATCTCAGCGCCCTTCGACTTTTCAGATATGGTCTATCTTGAAGAGATTAGCATCACCATGATGATGCAGTTCGGCACATACATGGAGATTCTCCCTCATATCGTCAGTTCGCTCGAAACCATCAAGTCTCGCTCCTTCCGGTCCCTTGTGATCAGTATCCTCGCCCCAGGGGTACTTCTGTCCTATTGCTTGCCCGATATCGGGTCCGCCTTTACCGATGTGGGCATCGAACAGCTCTCGGAGCTACACGTTAGGTACTGTCGGAAATCGCCCCCCGGCGGCGATTACACCGATTCGGACTTGATCAGAGAGCACTTCGGAGTGCTCATGCAGCGGGGGCTTGTGGTGAAACTGTTCAAGGAAGCAGAAGAGTTGTTGTATTATTAGCTTCATATCAGCACCGGAAAGTGTTGTGCGCCGTTCTTGTTTGCCCGTATGCTCATTCACTTGACTACGTTCCGATGCGGCATCTCTCGACCCATTGCAAATGTGTAGGTAGCACCCGTCAAGTTTGTATAAACTGGAGAGTGGATGACTATCCGTAAGATCTGGAGCGACAGAAACACAGAATAAACGCTTCAAGCCCCGACCTGTAGGATATGCTGTAATTTTATGCTCCCGTACGGCACTGCAAGCGTGGGGTGGAAACAGGCATATTAAACCGCGGAGGTCCGTTGAGAAGAGCCGAGCAGCGAATGAGAGGGCGAGAAAGTCACGTGAATGACAAATTCAAGTCTGTAAACGGGCATTCTGGTCTGGAAGGGGGGGTCGACCCCCCTCTCCAGATTAAAGGTCTGTACGACGCCCCCTGTATTCCGACAACTTGGCTCGACAATGCCGAAAAATCGGCATGGCTCGCTTAGTGGATTTGTAAGCAAAATCTATTCTATTCAGCCTTACAGATCCTTACGGATAGTCACCCAGTACTAGTATGCTACAGATCTGGATGTGATTCTGGAGGGAGAACATGGCCTCGGACATTTTTCCTCGGGTTCCATCGCCAATGTTTGATAGTGCAACGTTCAACACTCACTACTGACAAAACACTCTATCACAGAAAACCTGTCCGCGAATCAGCAACAATCTCCCGTGATGAGTGCGCTCAATGCTATATCGGACACGAAGTCATTGAAATCGCGAGCTTTAGTCGCATTGAATAAGTACAGCGTTCCCCCGACTTCAAACCAATAGATGGAATCCCCCATGGATATCGGATATCCGCAACTCAAGCGTAGGAGAGCTGAAGGTGGGATATATGATTGTCGCGAGTGACTAGAGGTCCAGCCCCCAAGGTGTCCGCGTTTGCATATCGAATGATCATGTCCCTGTCGATGAACTCATAGAAAAATTGAAACTCGCATGAGCCCATGGCCACGTGTGCGTGATTCAGTATATCAGGTGATCACTTCAGTGCAACTTGGCGACACGTAGCCGACACGTCCATACCGAAGCCATAGAAGATGTTCTTGCATTTGCTGGCGATTGTAACAACTTGTTCTGTCTCTCCTTACCACACTCCGGGTCTGCCATGTCGATTGCTAGGTTTGTCGTGAGTATTTGTGATTGCGGCAAACCACTTACAGACGGTTCACAGGCTGGCGTTATGCATCGTCGGCGTATATTCGATGTTCCTGGTATGAGCTCTTTATCGATACGGTCGCGAGAAATTGCAACTCAAGAAAGGACACTTAGCTATGGGCAGTAGCACAGGAACGACGTGCGTGATCGTATCACTGGATGAATTCGCCGCTTGACAATCTCATGCCATTACTTAGTATCCGTCCCCTTCGAGAGGATAGATGGCTCCGGAGCCGACAAGTTCAAGTCTCCCCTAGTACTTGGCACGGTTCAAAGTGCACTGAGTGCACTGACTGCCCTTCTGTATCTCGTCCTCCGCCGGAAGGCGGGCGATGACCTCAGGCATACGCTGGGCCTGGGCGCTCCCTCGTCTCCGCCCCAAACAGCGAGATCTAGCGCGCCCGAAAAGTCTGGCAACGGAACCGCGAACGGTATCTCGAACGGACATGCTCACAAGAAACACACCGAGGACCCCAACCTCCGCTATTCGACCTCCTCCCTCCTCGCGCGTTACGCCCAATGCGCCCTCTTCATCACCGCCGCCGCACCATTCGGTTTCGCCGCACTCTCCCACATATCCTACCCGACGATGGTCCTCGGCAAGTCCTGCAAGCTGGTGCCCGTCATGCTCATGAACGTCGTGCTCTACCGTCGCAAGTTCGCGGGGTATAAGTATGTAGTGGTAACGATGGTCACTGCGGGGATCACCGCCTTCATGTACTTCGGCGACCAGAAGAAGGCGAAGGGAGGCCACGGTGGCCGAGGCAGCGCCGCCTCCGGAGGAGCTTATGCGAACCTCATCGGAACGACATACCTATTGATAAACCTAGCAATCGACGGGGCGACCAACAGCACGCAAGATGAGATTTTTGCGAGGTACCGCGTTAACGGACAGCAGATGATGCTTTGGATCAACTTGTTTTCTACCGTGCTCACGACGGTCATTGCCATGATACCCCTCCCCTATATACCCGTTCTGCACGAGGTAAGCACCATTTCCACAAAAACGAGTCGCCATCCGATAACGACGTCCTTTTGTTGATGTTGTGATGATCAGGGCCCCGCAGGCCAGTCAGAACTTGATGCCACGCTCGCATTTTTGCAGACGCACCCAAGCCTTCTTACGCCGCTCTTCCAATTCGCTATCACAGGGGCGCTCGGCCAGATCTTCATCTTCGAGACCCTCCAACATTTCGGCAGTTTGACGCTAGTGTAAGTGTCCTCTCTTCACCCGTTTCCATCGATCTCTGACTTTGCTTGCACACTTTGCATAGCACAATCACCCTGACACGTAAGCTGTTCACGATGGTGCTATCCGTCGTGCTTTATAAGCACAAACTCACCCTTGGCCAATGGGCTGGTGCTGCAATCGTCTTCGCTGGCATATCTGTGGAGGCTTGGGTTAAACGGAGAGGTGAGTCAGATTGCTACTTCGGTCATGCGTTCGTTGCCCACGCGAGCATTCCGCCTCTGTATTTTGACATCATATGAATAATCGCTGACGCCTTGTTCATCTCAACTCTAGAGGTGCATGCGAAGAGGGTCATACAGGAGAAAGAAAAGGCGAAGATAAAAACCCTGTGACCCCTCGTATCGTATTAATAATAGATGAATTGTGAAGGATAAATCTGCAAATGTGAAGCCAACGAAATCAGGGCTGAAACAGCGGGTACAGCACGAACGCTGTGGGGTCACGACTCTGAGAACGCAGTCCATGGCAGTCATGGGAATGATCCACGAAACGGATACCTGTCTGGAGCTGAAGCGGTGCGATCCCGTTGCCCACTCGCAAGACCCTGAACCAAAACATACCTCTCCTCTAGCACATGTCCGCGACGTCAAAATAGCATGCTACGATACCCCCGAAATGCGAGATTATCACCCCACTTGATGTTGGTTGCACAGGCTCATGCCGTCTCAAAGCCCTTTGGTTCCCGAATCACTCACCTTCTCCACTAGTGCTAAGTCTGGTTTTAGCATGATCATCACCATCGTAGAAGATCACCTTCTCATGATGCTCCAGCATCAATAATGTATGGGAAGATTCAGTTGTAAACCGGGACTTGGTACGGACGGGCGTGAACGCCTGTCTTCGATCCGGGATTGCCATTCGCCAAGTCCGGTAACGAATCAGTCCCGCTTCTTGCTGTGTATACGGGCGCATCAACGCCGTGCTGATTTGAGGGGGGCTTAAAGCGAGGTATATCGTGCTGGATTTCTATTTGCATATGAGGTGTGTTCACTGTACCCTTTGCACACCCGATGGGAGCACAGCCGGGCAATGTTACTGCTCTTACGGGGTAACAGTTACTTGGCCGACCGAAACGGATTGCCTTCGGGGCGCGGGGACTGCACGATCTTCTTGGCATCTTGCCGTTCAGCGCTCAGCCCCGGGTCTTGATAGAAGACGCCGAAATCATGTTCGGTCATATAACGGCCCACACTCCGTCGAGTGAGGAAGGTGCGCCCACTCTTGCTACCCAAGGCTGAGCCTCGAGCAACGATGTCGGGTCTTGACTCACCGGTTATTGAGCTTTCCTCGATCGTCGTTGAGTCGTCGATTTACGGTATGTTGCTACCAAGCTAGTCTCCTATTTCAATTATTCAAGTTCGGATATCATATTTTACAGGGTTATTTTTTGTTGCATTTCTTGCATGTCATTACGTGCTCCTTTCACGACGGCGTACTCGGTTTCAGGGGAAGTTGCACCTGAAGACCCCTGATGTCAACTGGGCTCTGTTAGTGCTTGCAATTATCACCTTCATGCTCGTCTCAGTGGTAAGTGCTGGGCTCTATGAATGCCGAAACGAGTTCATCCCCGTTGTTAGCATTGGTCGCTAGACATCATGAGGCTGATCAGGGCCTTCATACAAACCCCTGCACAACAGGGCATGAGTGGTGCCCAGTGGTACTACGCCGACATTTCCGCCAAGTCGCAGCTTGCCAAGTTATGCATCCTCTTCGTCGAAGAAAGTCTGGCGGATTCGTTGTTGGTGTGTCTCCCGCCTCGTGAAGGGGGTTACCGCTCATATCGCCATAGGTATGGCGTTTGTGGGTTATATGGAACAAAAACACGCGTATATGCGCTCTTCCAATATTCACCGTGCTCGGCTGGCTAGGTACTACCCTGTCCGATTCACGTTACATACCAGCGCTGACGCATGAATAGTTACCTCCATCGGCGAGATTTCTCACCTGGCTGCTCCCATCCGAACTACATCCTTTCATTCCACAGCAGGTTCGTGACGCAGGTCACGCGCCGGAATGCATGTCGCTTATATTCTCCGACTCGGCTTGTAGGACAGCACTGGATGAACTCTGCCTTTGCGATGACGTTCACGTAAGTCACTATTGTTTTGCAGTGGGGGGCGATGCTGAATGGGTGCTGTTGTCATTCAGGACGAACATCTACTGCTCAGGTATGCATGCGTGTGACGACGACGTTCTACGCAGATACTCATCTTCGCCAGCTTTGATCTCCTGGCGCATTTGGTCCAGTACTCGTGCTATCCGATGTACAAATAAGCAAAGAAGCCATGTAAGACAGCACTCGCGTGACAACTTGTTATGCCCAGTCTGATCACAGTCGCTTAGCCGCTGCTCGGTATTCTCATAGAGAGCGCCGCTACATACACGTACGTCCATGCTCATGCCACCGGTTCCCTGAGCTGACTTTCTTCTCTGCAGGGGTATCGCTCTCGCATCATGGATCACCTACGGAGTTAAGACGAGCCTGCAATTCCTCGTCATGAACGCCGTAAGTCGGGCCCACTCAACTTCGAGGTTGGATTTGTCCTGACGAGAAGGCGCAGGCGCCTGCCATCATCGGCCTGAACTTCTACCTCGTCGTCATTCGCGTCGGCCTCGGTTTCGGCTTCCAGCATAGCGACGGCCTTCCGGGGGTGCCACCGCCACCCTCGGGGTTTGCCCGAACCGGTAGCTTGTTGTCGATCATGTCCAAGGTGCCGCCAATACACGAAAAGATGCCCGTGCAAACATACCCCGACCCTGTCAAACCACCCAGATACGCCCGTGATGAGGACGAGGAAAAGGGGTCAATATACGATATCTTCAAGGCCTCGCCGTCGACTTGAAGATCTTCACGATGCCTGAGGGAGCAGGTATCCCTCGGCAACGTATGCTTATACTTGTCATACGATACCCTGGGGACCCTCGTTCAGGCCTAATCATACAATCAAGCAAACGAAACGGGCATGTCACTGGTGTTATTTGGTTCGGACTCGCAGGGTCAATCTTCAAAGTCCTCTGTCATCGTTTTTATCCGTCTTAATATGCTATTATTGCAAAAGTCTACGACGAACAAGCTGTTCTACAACCTGCGATGGAAAAACGGGTTGTCTAGTAGCTGAGAGACGACATGTCTGCCCGAATCCGGTTGTAGTCCAACAGACCGTTGATGCTGCCGACCGCCGCGATCGCGATCTGCAAAAACAAAAAAAGAGAACAAGCATCAGACATAGACATTAGAAAATGGCAGGATGTGAGAGGCCACGTACGTCCTTATCCCAGAGGTATTTCTGCGCTACCCGCTGGATCTCGGCAGTCGTGACGGCGTCGACGGCGTTCTCGATCTGCTTCGGCGTGTACCGGCGGCCGCTGGTGACGAGCTGCCGGCCGATGTCCTCCGCAACGGCGGTGGAGCCGTCGAGGCTGAGGAGCAAGCTCGCCTTGAGCTGGCTCTTTGCGCGCTCGACCTCGACGTCGGTCGGGGCAATGCTCATCCGCGTCCACTCCTTGAGGGTGAAGTGGGCGAGGTCGTCGAGGTTCATGAGGTTCTCGGAGACGAGGTAGATACCCCAGAGGCCGGTGTCGGAGTAGGAGGTCGAGAAGGACATGAAGCTGTTCGCGAGCTCGTGAGTGGAGATGATGTGCGAGAGCTTGGAGGAGAGCAAGGGGGAGGAGCCGAGCGAGCGGTCCCAGTTGCCGAAGATGGACTGCATGACGAGCATCGGGAAGTAGTCGGGCGAGCTCCAGCCGACGCCCTCGACGGCGATCGCGATGTGCGCCGTCGGCATTTCCTCGTCGACGACGCGGACTTCCGAGCCGACGAAGGTCGTCTTCGGGTGCGCGAGCCGGCCGAGCGGGATGGGTTTGGGGGAGACGGGGAGGGTGGAGAAGTGCTTCTCGGCGAGCTTGACGAGCTCGCCGTGGTCGACGCCGCCGGCACCGACGAGGACCATGCGGTCGGCGGTATAGTTCGTCTTGATGTAGTTGGCGAGGTCGTCGCGCTTGATGGAGAGGATGTTGGCCTTAGGGCCGAGGATGGTCCTGCCAAGGGGTTGATCTAAATAACGAGGAGATTGAGTTCGAATGCATAGCGCAGTGGCCAGCAGGGATACTGACGTTGGAAGGCGACGGAGTGCAAGTGGTCGAAGACGACCTCCTCCAGCTGCTTGTCGACCTCCTGCTGCTCCCGGAGGATAACGTCGCGCTCGCGCTCGATCGCGGACGACTCGAGTTTGGAGTTCTGGAGGATGTCGCTGATGATGTCGACCGCCGCGGGCACATCCTTGCGGAACGACTTGGCGTAGTACACCGTCTGCTCGCGCGACGTGTACGCGTTCAGGTGCGCGCCGAGGTTCTCCACTTCGAGCTCGAGCGCGTGCTGGCTCCGCCGTCCGGTACCCTTGAACGCCATGTGTTCGAGGAAGTGCGCGGTGCCGCTCGTCGCATCCGTCTCCGCCCGCGAGCCGGCGTCGATCCAGACGCCAACGGTCGCCGTCTGCGCGGACGGGTGCGCCTCAGTGGCGACCGTCAACCCATTGGGCAGTGTCGAGACCTCGGTGAAGGGGCCAAGGTTGTGTGCTGTCGCGAACGAGCGCAGCGGTCGCTGAGGAGGCGCCTGGTCAGCACCCGGCCAATGGCGAGGAGGGTATTTGCGGGTGGTGTGGGGAACATACCTGCGGGCGCGCTGCGCCACGGAGAGCTCGCCCCAGTGAGCCTCGTACAGTTCTGGGGAGCATTAGGCCGCTGATAATTTTGGAGGAGTCGCCGACGTCGTGGTGAACAGTGAGCAGACGTTTTCCGAAGTCAGCCGGGCTTAGGCTCCGAGCCAGACCCCGTGACGTCGACCAAGGTAGACACGGTCACCTGCACCGGTACCGGCTCGGGTCCTCATCCTCTTGCCTCCGGACTTCACTGTTGCAATGAGACCATCAGCGGTGCGTCTACTCAACATCCTCGTCCCAGTCAAGAGGTGCGCGGAATATACTATGATGTCTCAGCGAAACCCTAAGCGTCAACTCACGCCGTACACAGGACAGTAGACTATGCGGTCAAGATCCGCGTAAATCCCCAGCAGACCGGGGTAGATCTCAACGTGAAGCATTCCATGGTGGGTAAGGTGACGGCATTGGCGTACTGTAACTGTACTCATTCTATGAACCAGAACCCTTTCGATGAGATTGGTACGTCCTCCTACATCCCCGCTTTTCTCCCCGCTTTCCCGTTTCCCTCAATCACATGCTCACGTCCCTCTAGCCGTAGAGGAAGCCGTCCGCCAGCGCGAACAGCTCAAGGACAAGATCACCTCCATCAAGGTCGTCACCATCGGCCCGCCCAAAGCCGCCGACACGCTCCGCACCGCCCTCGCCATGGGCGCGGACTCGGCCATCCACATCGAGGTCCCCGAGTCCGCGCCTGCGCCCGAGCCGCTCGGCGTCGCCAAGGCGCTCCGCGCCGTCATTGAGCGTGAGAAGGCGAAGGGCGGGGTCGACGTCGTGATCATGGGCAAGCAGGCGATCGACGACGACGCCGGCCAGACGGGCCAGATGCTCGCGGGGTTGATGGACTGGGCGCAGGCGACGTTCGCGAGCAAGCTCGTGCTTGATGCGGACAAGAAGGAGGCGAGCGTGACGAGGGAGATTGACGGTGGCCTGCAGGAACTCAAAGCCCGGTTACCGCTGGTGGTCACTACCGACCTGCGGTGAGTTCGATGGTTTCTCTTATCGAACCTAAACTGACGTTCCACCGGTTTGCAGGCTCAACGGTCTGCATCATACCTGGCAAACAATAAAACTAGATGCTGACTATTTTACCAGAACCCCGATACGCTTCGCTCCCCAACATCATGAAGGCCAAGAAGAAGCCGATCGAGAAGCTCAGCCCGTCTGACCTCGGCGTCGACCTCACCCCGCGCCTAGAGACTATAAAGGTGACTGAGCCACCACAACGCAAAGGTGGCACGAAGGTCAGTGGATATTTCGCATGTTGTCGTATATATTTGTTTGGTCGAGACTTGACACACCTTTGATACTCAGGTGGAATCGGTAGATGCATTGGTCGCGAAGCTCAAGGAGGCCGGCTTCACCGCCGTCAAGTCATGAACGATTCGCAATTGTATAGATTTGCATTGCATACTGCACAACGATTATAGGATTTGCGATGGACGCTGAGCGCCTGCGATCGACGCGCCATAGATAGCAATAAGTCACAGCGGATATGATATGGTATGTCTCCGAGTCTTTGCTTGTAGATGTTCAAGCTTTTCCCCCGCGCAGATGAGATTGTTCGTCGTTCGGTTTGTGGTGATGGTGGGTTGCGGCCTCCGGATTGGACGGAAATTCTGTTTCACATCCGGAGGATCACGTCCCGCACATCGCTCTTGACGGTCTCGAACCCGCGCCTCCAAAGCTCCTTCGCCTTCTTGCCGACGCCGGCTTTCTTGGGCGCCATGCGCAGATACTCGGGCATCTCCACCCGGCGGCGGCCATACTCCTCTTCCTCCTCGTCCTCGTCGTCGCTGTCGACGACGACCCGGGTGCGGGTCCCGGGCGGCGGGATCGGACGCGGTCCCGCGGGTTTGCCGGGCCGCGGACGGTGCGGCATGCACGTGGAGGTCGAGCGACGCGTGAGGCGCGGGCTTTGGACGGTGCTGCGCGCGGGGGCGGCGAGGTGCGGGGGCATGATGGAGACGGAGGCGGCGCGCTGGTGTGCTCGGGTGGTGACGGCGGGCGCAGGCGTGGGTGCGGCGCGGCCGACGTAGGTCGCCTCGGGGTGGGTGAAGGCGACGTGTCGCTGGCTGGGGAGCGGGCGAGGGCCGTGCATCGAGGTCTTGGTGGTGGCGGTCATCGTGGCTTGTGGTGTGGAGGACGAGGTTGTGGGTATCGAGATGCCTGGGTATGGAGGTCGCGCTGCGATCGGCTGTTTGTGATGAGGCTTGTGCGAGAGGGTTAACTGGTCAACAGTTGACGGGTGATTGGGTGCGATGGCTAGGTGGGTGTAGTCCTCGGTTGAGTTGTGAGATCTTCCTGGCGAAGATGGCCCTCATTTATAGGCGTCGAGGGATGCATAGGGGCTTGTATGCGCGGAAGGGGGAGCGGGAGCGGGAGCGGGAGCGGGTTCGGGGGCGGCGGGGTGGCTATGTCATCCCGCCTTCCGCCTTCCGCCTTCCTCGATTGATCACCGCTCGATCGTTTCGTGCGATATGCATTGGCTGGATCTCGTCAACGTGTGCGCCGTTGCACAACGGCCTTGATGTTCGGGGCGTCATTATTGAGAACGATGACCACAGAAAAATTCCGAGGATGCCACTTTTGTATTGGTCGGTGATAGAATACATAATGTACGTAGGGGAGTGGCGGCGGGTGGACTCTGAGGTGGATATACTACTGGTGAGATCGATCGAAGGAACGGAATCGTCGGACGGATGGTCCCAAGATGGATGTACAGGAGCGAAGCGGGGAAGCGATAGCGAGAGTGCATATACTGGAGAAGGATCACGGGCAACAATGGTCCGTAGGTTGTAGGAAGACGACGCTGGGGGCTTTTACACTGCACTGGTAGGGGAAGGGGTTTCGTCTCCGGTAGGAACACCCTGAGTGAAAAGACTTAGTACGAGCGCATGGAAGCGGCGATGTGTCACGCTTACCTTGCCGCGGCACGCGGGACAGTTGTTGCGACCCGTCTGCATCCACTTGTCTACGCAGTCCTTGTGGAAGGTGTGCCGGCACGTCATGAGCCGAAGCTCATCCGTCTCAGCGTAATCGTCAAGGCAGATCAAACACTAAATCCCACAGTAAGTATCCACGAAGCAGTTATATGCGGTCCCGCACACATACCCTATCCACGCAATTGGAGGCCACCTTGCCTTCCTTCTCGTACTGCGCGAGATCTGATGGCTTGATGATCTGCAGCCCGGATTTCTCGATGTCGTCTCGGGTAGCGACCGGCGGCTTGACCTGACCCAACAGTTCCGCGAGCTCCCTATAAGCCCGGATCGTCAGCTCACGTTATTCCCTCTGCGCTGATATGAAAGGGAGACGCGTGGAACGTACAGCAAAGCCTCGAAGGAGTCGAGGTTGTCGGCGCCGGTGACGATACTGTGGTTTGGCGGATAATACCCGCCGATGACGTAGATCAAGAACGTCCTTGACCCCGGTCCGTCCGTGATCCGCCTGCCAGGCGGCCCCCTCCGCGCCGCACCAGGCATCAACCCGCGTACGGCGTCCGCGGCGCGACTCGGCCAGCTCCTCCCGTTCCCGCGCCCAGCGCCGTTAAGGCTCGTGCTGCTGTCGTTCGCGTGTCCCAAGGGATCCGCGCCGTCGTGCATATGGTTGTGAGGGTGGTCAGGATGGAAACGGTGGTGGTGCCGGTGGTGATGGAGGTGGTCGAGATCGTCGTGCGCGAAGTCGTCAAAGTCCGCGGCGCCGGTGGGATCCAGATGGCGGTGGGGGCCGACAGACTGCAGGCCGACCACGATGATGGGCACGACGACGTCCGAAACGGCGCCGGCTGGCGGAGCGGCGTCTGCGGGGCGGGTATTCGCCGACTCCGAGGCAGCCGAAGTGGGCGCGGGAGACGGGTTCGTACCTGCTGCTGGTGGAGGCGCACCGCCGAACAGCGGCGATGTGGTTGCAGGCGTCGGTACGCCACGATGCATGGCGAGGCCGCGCGCCTGTGGGGTAGGCATCGGCGGGAACCGGTACAGTCTCCACCAGTTGATACCGCCTCCCGTGCGACCATGAGGAGGCATGGAAGACGCCTCCGACGGGCCGGTCGGAATCGTGGAAGGCGCTGGTCCCGATGATGGAGAATCCTGCGGAGGCGCAGTGGACGCCTCCGCTGGCTGAGTCGACGAATCTGGCGCTTGCGGTACGGCATCGTCCCTGCCAGTCGACGGCAAGTCAAACTCGCTCTCGACATCCGAGTCTTCAGGCAACGGCACCGTCGCCGGATCGACAGGCCCCGACGCAGCGTCACCCTCGCCATCAGGATCCGACAACGCCCTCCTCAAATCGATCTGCAGGTTCACCAAGAAGCGCTCAAAGCTGCCCTCGGGCGGCAGGGGCCGGTTCGCGTCCGCCGTCGGGAGCGGCGGCGGCGGAGCCGTGGCCGTGACGGACGCCTGGCCGCTCTCATTAATAGCGGCGGGCGCCGACGAGGGAGAAGTGCCTAGGGCGGAGTTGAGCGCGCGGACCATCTCAGCGAGCAGCACGTCGCGGGCGTCTCTCGGCGTACCGGTGCCGGTCCCGTCAGCAGGACGTGGTGCCTCTTCGGCCCCGCCGGCCGGCGTGTACGAAGGAGGCTGCGTCGGCGGCGCGGGTGTGGGCGCGGACGCGGACGCAGGCGCTGCTGGGTTCGGGGAGAACGTGGGCCTGTTGCGGCCAGCCCCGAACCGATCGCGCAGGCTCTCCCACGGCGTGCGTGGCGTTCTACGGTCTGACAACCCAGGATTGAGGATGGGGTTGTTCGCGAGCGCCGCGAGGGCGCCCAGGGCACCGGGCAGACCTGTGGGCGCTGCGGGGGTAGGTGCGGCGCCGGCGGGGTTTGCGGCCGCGAGTCCGGAGGAGAAGAGAGGGTCGGACGAGCCGGTGACGAGCGACGCGGCGGTCGCTGCTGCCGCCACGCTGCACGAATCGTGAGTTGGAAGATATCCGAGTCGCATATGTGCGGCACATACCTGAGCAGGGTCCCCAGAACGTCGATGCTGCTGGGCGACAACGCCGACCGGCGATCTTGCGTATCGGGCCCGGGCCCGGGGTGTTGTTGGCTCGAACTGGCGTCCTGGCTCGTCGCCTCCGTCGACGCCTCGCCATCACTCCCGCTGAGCGGGACCGAACTGCTATTGGGCGAAGACTCCGCGGACGCGGGTGTGGACGGCCAACCGTGGGCGTTGGCCGGCCGCGAGAGAAGCTGGGAGAGCCTGTTGCGCCCGCCGCCGATAGGCGTGGGCGGACGGTGCGAGTGCGGGCCGAAGGAGGAGGACCGGCGGCGCGGCGCGGTGGAGGGGGTCGATGCGGACGTGGACGTGGGCCCGGCGGATGCGGCGGAGGTGTCGGTGGTGTGCACCACGCCTTGGACGACGACGAGCGTTCCGGCGGGTGGGAACGGCCGAGTGTTGTCTTGATCGTCGGAGGGAGAATCGGTTGCGCCTGCTGGGTTTGTGGCCGGAGTAGTGGAAGTCTCGGGTTCGGGTCGCGTGCGGGAGATGGAGGGCAAGTCCGGGCCTGGGAGAGAGTTGGAGCGGGGGCGGGGCATGCTCAGCCGTTCGGAGAGCGTTGGGCGTGGCGGAGCGGCGCGCTGGCCGCCGAGCCACGAGCCGATGTTCTGGCTGAGTTCTTGGTGCCCGTCCGATAACATTGGCGAGGGTTCAGGCGAGGATGTAGAGGCTGAGGGGCCTGTCGGGCTGAGTGGCGTCGAGGGCCTGGCGACATCCGGGGTTGCGTCGCTTTCGGCGCGCTCCTTGCCTTTGCCGTTGGTAGCAGAGAGCGAAGCCACGGAGGTGGAGCGCATGCCCGAGCTCGAGGCGATGGGCACCGCATTGTCGGCGGCGCTAGGTAATACGGATCCTTCGCGAGCGTCGGCGTCGCCGTTGGGGGGCGCCGGCGCCTTCGACCAGCGCCTCGAACTGAAACGCCGCTTACGTGACGGGTGCGGGCTCCCGGCGTTCGCCCGCATGCTGTCCGCCTCCCCGGCGACCCTGAGCGATCTCGACGACGTTGAGCGGCCGACGACCTTCATGACCTTCTTCCGCACCGTCGAGGCCCGCTTCGATATCGTCGCCATGCTGGCCGTGCGCCGGCGGGCGTCGAGCCCGCCCTCGCTGGCGGACGCAGTGGGCGCTCCGGATCCATTGGCAGCCGTCGAGCTCGCGAAAGGTGTTTGATTGTCTGCCGGTCGACGTTGGTCGTGGCCGGTGGCCCGCGAGTTGGCTTGACCCATGAGAACGGGACGTGCGAGTCACCGACGGGCTAAGGGGGTTGTCGGGTAAAGTAGAGTTACAAGATTATAGTCGTAGTCGGTAAGAGCAGTAAGATATGCTGGCTGTGGTGTGGTCTCCCTTCCTTCTTTGGGGATGGCCGTGGGTGGTGGGGGTCGGAGACAAGAGGGGTGAAGGCTGGTACGTAGCGCTTGGAGCGGAATGGCTGGCCCAGGCAGGCCCGGCACAGCATATCGCCACCGCCTTCCCGCCGCGCACAGTGCAGCTGCGTCCACGACACGATAGCATTCGATTACAGATCTCGGGAAGAAGGAACCCGAGCGCGAGAAAACTATGCTACTATATAGTACAATGAGGGCGTCTCACGAACATTAAGCTGTAACAGCGATAGCATCGACGACGAGAGATAGCTTTTATAATAGGACGCTGTTGATGACGATGAACCGCGGGCATTTCAGGCTTCATCTCTGGCATGGTATAAAGAGCCTCGAGGCTCGAGCGCCTCGCCCAAACCACGGGGTCGGCAGAGGGCGGCGTTAGCCTCCTGGAGTTTGAAGCCTCAGGGTGGAAAGGCGAAAAGCTATCGAGAAGACTTGCCGCAACGCCGCACCCCACAGAACCCCCTCCGTTGGGCATCCCATCCGACGGGAGATCAGATGGTCGATCGTAGCATATCGACCTTCTGCTTCATCATGTCCAACCACGGCATCGCCCTCAATATATTGCCCGCGCAGCCGACGCACGCCGCGACGCTCTTGCTCGTCCACTTGATCTCGAACACGACGTTGCCCGTCGGGCGCACCGCGAGCTCCTCCTTCGCCCGCTTCTTATAATCGACCCACCACCGCTTCTCGTGCCCGCACTTCTCGCAGTGGTCGCCGCCAGGCACGTGGCGGTCGAGCAGGAGCTGCGCCGCCTGCGCGCGCTCGCGGTGGAGGACGAGCAGCTGGTGGTAGCTGTAGGCCGTGACGTGCTTCAGGTCCTCGGAGAGGGGAGAGTCGAGCAGGTTGACGGAGAGCGTGTGCCGGGACGCGATCTTCGCCTCCTCTTCGAGCCCGAAACGCTCCGCGATGGCGAACACCCGAAGCGGCGCGCTCTCGACCTGCGCGGGGGTGACCAGCAGCTTGCGCATCTTCTCGATCACAAGCGGGATGTCGTACTTGACCGCGGCTTCGAGCACCGGCACGATCGCGTCGAGGCTGTCGATGGGCGGGTCCAGGACGGGGTATATCAGTCGGAGGAGGCGCTCGACCGTCTGAGTGCTTTCTGAGAGATCGATGATGGGTCTTGGGGTGTTTGCTTCTGTGGAGCTCTGTGGGAGGGAGAACATGTCGTGCCAGAAGCCAGACGCGATGGAGAGGATGCAGCGGTGCGCGGGGAATTCTGTCGGCTCCGGATATGACGTTCGGAGGATGATGTCGGACGACGACTCTTCGAGGAAGTCCATAGATGGCGCCGGCTCAGTGTCCATGATGGTCGGCTGGTTGGTGAACGGCGCTAGTTCGAATGTCATTGCTGGCCCAGCGTCGATGTGCAAGTTGGTCGAAGCGGTCTGCATAGGAACAGACGAGAAATCTCGAGTGAAACAGTGTGCAGCAGTGTATTATAGCGATGGCAAATGTCTTGATATATTAATGACAGTCCCGGTCGAGTTAACCGGCCACGGCACACAGAGAGATGGAAAGCTGGACCAGTTGAATGTTGCGATTGAACCCAACGACGCTCCTGTGGCTTGCCTCTTGCGCCACTCTCTCATCCTTCGTTCCACTCTTCTGCGTTCTTCGCTTTGATTGCTCTGCGTAATAGCGTGCTCTGCATCGAAATATGGAAAGATCGGACGTTGTAGCTTCAGTCCCGCAAGAGATCTGGGACCATATCATCAACCTCATCGATGACAACGACAACGCTACTCTATACGCTTGCTCCTGCCCGGGATGGCTCAATGCCAGTCAATCTCGCCTCTTTTCAGATCCAATCCCAAGATACAAGCCGAGCGCGCAATTTCTCCAACGCATGCGGCGCATATATTGTATCCTGAAGGAATCCCCTCATCTGCGTGCGTTCGTCTCAACACTGACGACAACGACCGAGTACTTGGATCGGTTCGCTATGCTACACCTCCCGAGGGTTCAAGACTTGCATCTGGTTGGGATCACAACCCGCGACTCCGACTACCCTCATCTTCCCAGAGCGATCACGCTGGCCGCTTTCCCTCATCTTCAAGGACTCCACTTCCACCAGTTTACGCTCACTCCGTCCCAGTTCTTTGTGCTCATAAACTCCGTCCATCGTCTCTCTCGCATCGGGCTCCATACAGTATACTGGAGCGAGAACGACGCATCTGAAGAACCTGAATCCGATCCCGAATCCATTCACGACATGCCTGAAGGCTCTGATTCCCAACACGTGCCCACGCCCGACGTCTTCCCTTCGGAGTTCGTGCCAGAGCCCCCATCAGAGCCTGCTTCAGAGTCCGCGCCAGTCAACACGTCCACGTTGTGTTTGAGAGCGTTGGAGGTTCACCACGGTGCTGAGACTTGGACCTTGAATCGCATGATGGACTGGGCTGACAGTGGGCGTTTTGTCCTCGCAATCGAAAAATTGTCACTGCATGCTCACTTTTACGACGACTGGACGTATGCACTCTACGATATCCTGGCTCGTTCCGACGAGTTACGTTCGCTCGAAATCATTGACTACAATTCCATAGCGACGTATCTGGGTGAGTATCCGGTACATCTTATGTTGGGTCAACATATTCACCTGCGTGATCTCAGGCCCCTTGGACTTCTCGAACCTTCATTCTCTACAGGACCTCACATGTGATGTAAGGCTCCCTACGGACATCGCAAGGAGCGTCCTTCCTCACATCGTCGAATCCATTGCGACGTTGAGATCACGCTCCTTCCACTCTCTTGTGATCAGCGTTCGTGCGCCGGGGTCACCGCTAGAGGATTTCTTGCGTGAGATGGGGACTGCGTTCAACAAGGTCGTCATTGATCGGCTCACAGAGCTGCACCTGAGGTACGAGAAGAAACGAGAACCGCTTGACGTGAATCTAGACGACTTGACGAACGAGCTTTTCGGAGCACTGAAAAGGCGCGGGGTCGCGGTGAAACTGTTCACGGAGAGTTATGATCAATTGCTAGCACCGAAACAGTAGCTATCCGGAGCAGTTCGGTCGGGTCGGTTGCAGGGAATATAAAAACTCAGGGCTACTGCAGATTCATACGGATGTACACAGCGATTACCCTTCGCCGTCTCGTCTTCCGGTTTCTATCGTCCGAATAGTCGACTGAAACACCTGAACTTGTACATGTACCAGATCGACCCGAGCGCCTCCCTTGAGGCTTCAGTTTACGAGGGCTCCGGCCCTCCCAGCCTCCTTCCGGGCACCGTCGCTTTCAAACCTTCACGACCATACCAAACCTTTGGCGTCAGTCTATCCCTTGCATTCCTCGCATCGCAGCCAAACCAATATCCGACGCTGGACCCAGACGCTACTACCGGTGTTGCCACCTCATAAACGTAACCTCAGTATGGCTCGCGGATCGTCGATTGCAGCGACTTCCGGCCGCCCTGCCATTCAGTCCCATCGCGCTCAGTTCCCTGGAGGCGAAGCACTACCACTACGACATCACTTTCGATGTATACTAGCCCATGACCTCCAAGCAACCACTGCAGTGAACTATAAACGTGAACTACTTATTCGAAACACATGAGGGCTTTCAGAGCGAGCCCCGGGATTGCACAAGATCAACGCAATAAGGAGTATCAGCTCTGCCGTTGCTCAGCGCGTCGGTTTCGCCCTGGCCTTGGACCGCCCCCGTACCTGCACTTGCCGCCGCCATCACTAAACTTGCGCGCATGACATTGGATGATGCCGATATGCCCAACACCACATCTCGTCGAGTGACACATCATGGATATATCTCCACCTTGACCTTGCCCAAGCCCCCCTCAAGGAATTCAACCGGACCCATGCCCCTCTCACGCTTCCTCACTGCATGGCTGACCGCAGATGCGGTCATCAACATCGGCGCGGGTGTGTTCTACCTCGCCTCGCCTGGGCTCTTCTTTGATGGTGGGTTTAATCCAGGATGCGCTTACCATGAACGATGACCGTACGATATTCAATAGGTATTGGTGGCCCCCCTGCGCCACAGCATCCCAACGTTCTCTGGACGACGCGCACGCTCGCAGCATACATGGTCACGGCTGGCGGAGCAATGGCGCTCGCTGCGAGGTGTGCCCGTCTCACCGTACCACTTTCTTCTCCTCAATAGACCATCCACTTTTGAGCCATCATGTCTCGGTAAACGCTCCAAACTGACACTGAATATGCATCCCTCGGTAGATCTAAATCGGTTTCTCTCCGCGTGCATCTCTGCTGCCTGTTTGTCCTCTGCGGGCTTCTCACCCTTCCAGGTGTGTTCTTGCACGCGCCCTCAGCCCTTGTGAAAGGATTGGGCACAGCAGTGGTCACCGCAATGTGTGCACCATACGTCTGGTTCATCTTCATACGGCCGGAAACAAGGGGAGACATCCCAACGCTAAGCGTAACCGCTGGGGAAGAAGACGGCGAGCACGAGAGCTTGTTGCGAGCGCCTAGGAACTGAGCATCATCATCTTCATGTGCCGCGAATGACAGTTCGGCGTAGCGTCGTACTTAGTGTATCTGTAAAATCCATGTGATCGCCAACGGCACTGCGAAGATTGCCGTCCGCACAGAAGAGCAACCTTCTCTTTACCCAGTCATGCCCGACGTCAGGACACGGAGAGAAAGATGGCCGGATGGCCGCTGAAATCATTGACCAAATCGCGCCACGTCTCTCCCTATTCAAATCTCGTTTATATGGGGTAAGACCAAATAACAGTGCATACGTCAAATATACCTCGGGTCTTGCCTGAAATACGGAGCACGCTAACTAGCTGCCGCGCCGTCCTTACCGGCTGCCCCTACTTCGGGGGCTCGTGCTCCTAGCGCAGACTCATAAACAGAGTCTCCTTACCGGTTGCGGAGGGCGCAGACAATCCGTGGAAGAGGTGGACAACACCGCGTTTGTGAGCGAGGCGAGCCGCGGCCGGACCGGACGAGGACCCCAGCTATGACTCCGCTGCGAGTTCTGGAGGGAGGCACTTCGCTTGATTATTACGCGTACACCGAGCGATATATCCCTATGGTGGTAGAAGTCGTCATCTGCAAAAGACCAGCACAGATTTTCCTCTCCTTTCCATTCCTCGAGCGGCAAGCATTTACCATCGGGCCTCCACACCGGCCGCGATCCACGCAAGCGTGCGGTTCCGGATACCGGCTACCTCCGCGTTCTCCGTAAGGTCGCGGATCTCCTTGATAGCTCCAGCCGGGAGATCAAGCTCGGCACCACGGGCGTTCTCCTCAATACGTTCGGGTGTGCGTGAGCCCGGGATGGGTATCCCTCAAAAACGGTCAGCCTCGGAATGTCGCAAGGCCGTCGCACGCCTTACCCGTAGGGTGTTCAACCAAGACCCACGCCAGGGTGGCTTGGCTCGACGCCGCGTTATACTTGTTCGCGATCTCCTGCAGCTTGTCCACGACCAACAGGTTCTTCTGGAAGTTCTCTTCCGAAAAGCGGGGAAGCACGAGCCGGAGGTCGCCCTCGCTGAAATCGGCCCGGGACCGGGCGAGCGGGCTGTACGCCACGACCGACATCCCGAGTCTGTTCGCAGCGGCCGCGGGCCCGTTCTTCTCGATATCGAGCGTGAACGGGCTGTATTCGGTCTGCACCGCGAGGAGCTTTTGGCCGAGCGCGGGCACGGCCTTGGCGCGCTCGAGCGTTTCAACGCTGCACTCGGACAGTCCGAGCCATCGGAACTTCCCGCCCTCGACGAACTCGCGGACCACCTCGGAGACAATTTCGATGGGCACCTTGGGGTCGACACGGTGTTGGTAGTAGAGGTCGATGTGTTCGACGCCGAGTCGCTCAAATGAGCGGTGGACGGCGCGCTTGACGTACGAAGGCCAGGAGGTGACACCAGTGGAGGGTTTTTGACATTGGGTTGAGTCGAACGCGCTAAACTTGGTGGCGGGGAATATCCCGCTACGAAGGCCGGTGTCTTTGAACCACTTACCCAAGGTGGCCCCGGCTAGGCAAGGCGTCAGACATCGTGCGTGCAATGTTAAGAGCGGCCCAAGCTTACAAGTACCGTAGATGCCCGCGCAATCCCAAAATGTCATGCCAGCATCCGCGGCATATTTCAGCGCCTTCATGGCGCCGTTCTCGTCGGTCTTTCCATAGAAAGCGCCGATAACCTATACACACTATCAGCGTATGCCGCAATCGACGACTCGGTCATGTTTACCCATCGTGCCGAGACCAAGTGCGCTGAAATTAGGGCCGTCGCGGCCACGTCGACGACGTGGGCAGCTTGGCCAACGGTGACATGGTGAACAATGTGCTGTAGAACACGGTGGCGCCCAGAACGGGTAAATTTCACCGTGTTATGAGGCAAACATGAGCATTCGCCCGGTTTGCGGATTAAAGGGTGTCGACGGGACGTGTTCACCTGATTGCAAGGCGAAAATCGTCGACGCGGTAGCTCGGAATCCGAGCTAATATACAATCCATAGTCGTCAAGGTCTGGCTTTTATAGCGGAGAAACATGAGAGCAAGTGGGATAGGTAGGGCGCTGATACAGATGCTTGCAAAACACGACGAAAAGCAACCACCGAGGGGTCGAAGACAATCCGGCATCCTAGCGCCGGCGGTTGCGGGTCATCCGAGAACGCCGCAGTGAAATCCAGCGTGGAAATCGGAGGGCAGCTTGCGTCATCACTCCGTAACGACCGGTACCGATTCTCAACGACAATACTGTCGTTCTGGACTACTCAGACTTGGACGTCCAATAATTTCTGTGATCATTGTTTCCGAAAGCAACGTATCCCGCGATCCACCCAAGACAAGAGTACTACCGGACTAAGGTCACCAAACCGTCCTCCAAACGAGACTCACTGGCTATCCTTGTCAGCCAGGAGGACGCCGAAAATGATGGATACGAAAGCTATCAGTCCCGTGGATAGAACCGCCAGCGATACGCGCGCCGTCGGAAACTTTCCCTGGATCAGGGACGATTGGACGATAAAATACCGTAAGCAACCTTTACGAAGTAGAACGACCGAGCAATCGTCAGTCATCTGCGATCGCGTTCTCGGCCCAGTTGAGATACATACCAAGGATCAGGACCATGATACCCATGACAATCAAGGACGCGCCTAGAGGACGTGCGAGGTTGTAGGCAGCATCGGCCTCGGACAATCTGAACAACTGCGCCAACGCTGTCATCGTGGCGCTATTTTTAGCCTCGCCACATCCTGACATGCGCACCAACAAGTGCACTCACCTGTGCCCATGGAGGATATCGCCAGGCTTGTGCGCACGTACGCCATAAAGGTGCGCTCGGAGGCCAAATGGTCGCGCGCTACGCTCCCGTTATTGACAAGCTTCAGCGAGGGGCTCGGCAGCCTCGCAAACCAACTACCAACACGAGACCTAGGTAGATTGTCGGCATCGTCCTGCGTGAATCCCGAACTGGACGACGTTGAGGAGATGGCAGTGTTGCGGTCTTGAGTGATAGCCCCGTAATTTGTAACGCCGGTGCTCCCCCCCGCGAGAGGGTCGGTATCCATGTAGAATAGCAGCAGACACCACCCCCTGGGTCGTGCATAGATCGCCCTGAGACCGCTACTGGCTTAAATCCATCCAACACAGGACCCTGAGGAGGGCGTGCGCGCGATTGACGTCCTTGCGGAGTGGTATCGCGTTTCTCTTGCAGAAAAACGCGGCAGCCGTGCCAAGGCTCTAGCACGCCATCGGGCCTTCCTCTGAGCAATATTTCGCACATCCTTTCTGAAGACGCTTCAGCAGCACTTTGAGCATCTTCCGTCCAGTGTTGATGTTACGAATTCGAACATGTGCAATGGTCGTGGATAGGACATTGAACCTCATTCTATCATCATACAAAAACAGGGTCTACGTCAACTTATAGCAGCAGCTAAGGGGATCTCGCCTCGCGTTTCTCGGCTGCCTCTCTCCACTGTCCACCCTTCCACAGCACAAGAAGAATGAGGAACGCGGTGAGCACCGTGAGCCCAGCCCAGAGCGTGTACAACCCCCCGTCGCCTATCGCGTTCTACGACCGAAAAAACGATGGTCAACGCTCCGTACCAAAATCAAGACATCTTCGACGCACCTGCAGCGGCACCGCAACTTCGGCCGCGATGAACGCAAACAAACCCCTATAGAAGCTGTTGGCCGCGACAGCGGTCGAGCTCCTACCCGCGTTCGCATCGACGAGGTACGCGAGTGTGCTCGAATACACCCAGATGCTGAAGAACCCGCAGAAGAAAAGCGTGACGCAGACGGCGGCAACGTGCACCCGCTCCTGCGCGATCCACGCGTACGCGATCGTCGCGGGGGGTAACCCGAGCAATCCGAGCTTGGTCGATGCGAGCCGCATCTCCGGGGCGGAACGCCCGCCGTTGAGCGCTTTCATGCGCGCGAGCGTGCGGTCCGAGTGGTTCCCGCCGAAGATGCTGCCCGCGATGGAGCCGATCCCGTACGCGAGCAAGGTGAGGCCGATCTTAAGCGCGTCGAAGTCGTATTTGTTCCCGAGCGTGCGGGCACAGGTGTAGGAGATGCTGTAGCTGAAAGAGAAGATGAGGCCTAATGTTATATTTGGACATCAGCCTGCAGCTCTTAGAGAGGTGAGGAGTGCAAAGTTAGGGACGGACCAGATGCGAAGAGGATGGTGAAGTTGTTGAGGCGGCGGAGGACCATGAAGACGGGGCCGATCGGGTTGACGTCCTTGAGGGAGAGCGTGATCTCGTCCAACCGTTTCACCGGCTCCCGCCGACTCGCACCTCGCTCGACGTCGCGCAGCTCAATCGCCGGCTCTTCGTTAACGACGGGAGTGCTGTCTCCCGACATGCCCTTCTTCATCTTCGGCGGAGCCTCGGTAACACTGAGCGTCACCTGGCTGGCCCGCTTGCTGTTCGCGGCAGTGGAGGCTGCTGAGCGCTCCTGCTCGAGCCTGCGCAGGACCTGTTGATACGTGAGGCTCCGTTCGCGCCGGAACGTATCCTTGAAGATGAAGACGAAAGAGAGCAGATTTAGGCCGGCAAAGATGACCATGAACCAGAAGGTCGCCCTCCAATTGAAGAATTGGGTTAACCTGGGGAGAACATGGGGTCAGCCGAGATTCCGCGACGAATATAAAGAACGCTCACAGACCGCCGATGATGGGGCCGAGGGAGGGCCTGAGGGACAAATGAAGCAGATAAGTCTGAGTATATGCGCGCAAGATTCGCTGCCTACCCTAGGAGAGGGGCGGTGTAGTATATTCCCATCATGGTGCCTCGTTCGGAGGGTTCGTAGATGTCCGCAAGGGTGGCAGCTCCAATGGCCATGACGGCGCTCGACCTTCGAGACACGAGTTCAATGTCTGAACGAACATTATCGCTTCACCACTGACCCAGCTGCTTGGACGACCCTCATGCCGATGACAAGCTGGATCGTCTTCGCGGTGGCGACGCAAATGCAACCAACGAGATTCAGGGCAATGGCGACAATATAGATCATCTGGGCAGAGTAAAGTCGGTTACGACTGGTAGACTTTGTGCAGAAAGACGGAGGGAGACAGACCTTTCGGCCCTTGATCTCGGACATCGCAGCCCAGAACAGAGGTGCGCCACCCTGCACGAGAATGAACAGAGAGAGGCTGAGAGAGATCTGTCCGGCTGAGGCATGTAGTTGCTTTTCGATTTGTTGAATCGCCGGCTATATGAGGATGATATTGCTTAAGTCAAGGTATTCGACTAGCGTATAGGGGGGTTGTCCTGACGTTATAGATGTTGGCACCTAACAGTCGCAGGGTTCGCAAACATATTAAGCTTTGATGGATGGGGGTAGACCCATAACGAAGGACGTGCCTAATCCAGCGATAGCGGAGGCAAAGGAGATAACGAACAGAATCGATGTCTACACGGTACAGCATGAGCTCCGCAGCAGAAGAAGAAGGTGTATACGACACACCTTGCGAGCCCGCGACCATTTACGAGGATCGTCCAGGACCGGTGCATGCTCAATGTCGGCTTTTGTGATTGGAGACTTTTCCGCCTTGATGGTGAGACTGGGCGTTGCAGTTGGCGGTACTGGCTCGAGGCCTACTGACTGTATGCTGGATGCGCGTGTACTGGTCGGGTCCATCGTGATAGTTTACAAGATAGTGTTACAAGTAACGATTCGAAATGCTCTATCGTCGGATTGCAGAGGTCGTACGATTGCTGTAGGCCCCGAGTTTGGATGAGATGCCGACTGCATGTCCTTATTTATATGTTGGCCCGTCGGGAGCCTTGGGTCCAATGACTCTGATATCCGCGATGATACATAACATAAGCAGAAGTTCTGTGTGTTTCGGCATAGGTCGGCATTGAATATGGAGGTTGGCGCGGGAGACCGCGAGGTGGCGAAGACGCCCGACGTCCACTCACGTTCTCGCTTTTTTCTCCGCTCAACGACTCGTGTCGGGTTCGTGGCTACAGCACACGTCGCGAACCCGGCGAACGTCAAGGAGATTGTCAACCTCCAGGGGCGAGGACTACTTGGGCATCTTCGACCGATGCATGTCTCTCACACCTTGAATGCACCCCACGGATTGACTGCGGGTGCATCCTGGTCTTGTCTGTGGATCTATATACCATTCGCATGATCATCGAGCCTGCGGCTCACTGTTGATCTTCGAACGATTTTAAGCAGCGAAAGGATGATTTGCGGCGTTGAAGGAATAGCTCGTCTCACCTCATCCCGTCGTCAATGGAGATGGTGCGTGCTCATGAATTCAAGTGGAAGGTCGACGCATTTTACAATTGAAAATACAGGTGGGGAGGACATCAGTCAGATTCTGGCGAACAGAAAGAAGATTACCCGCGAAGGCGACAGTCAACCACGGCATTGTCCGATATCTCAAGACCTTCCCGCGCGGTTTGAATGAGCATTGATATCAGATTCTTTTTTTTTTGGACGAGCAGATACTATATGACACCTTCACTTCGTCAACCCCGTCGAATCGTCACTTTGCTACATCTCAGTAACCGCTGCACGGTTTGGTCCCAGAATTTGACTGAGTAATTTATGAATGTATCCAAGTGTATTTCACAGGTTTTTATTCACCAGAAAGCCTCCAACGAGGAGGAGGAGGACTGTGTGCATTGTAACGCTGCGTGATGGTTAGCCGAGCGGAGTTTAAAGAAGGTATTCATTGATCAACGGCTGTTGTAAGGCCAGTCAGATTCGGAGCACCAAAGTGCTTGATGACGAAGTCGGCTATCAATGTGACCGGCCTGTGACTGACGATTCGACGAGGTTGACGAAGTGAAGGTGTCATATAGTAATCCTATTCAGCAATCGACAAGCTTGTCTGACCCTAAATAAGCTACTCCTAAAATAGCGGACCTCGTAAGGCCCGGTCCGAGGAAAAATGCTCGATACCACAACCCCCGGGGAACTCCAGGGCGAGTGGGGCTCGTACACTACCTAGGGTATTCCTGTCGTCGGATCCCAGGCAGCTTAATACCCACTAAAACCTCAAGGCTTTTAGCCCAATTTTCGGGGAGCGCTTGTTCTTCGGCAAGCAGCCCCGTCCAAGTTCCCTGTACCTTCCTTATGTAGGATGATGTTCGGATTATCTTCGACGCCGTAGCTTGGTCCGTTTCTAGCCGTCTTTGGACGACGTTAGCCCAGCGTCGCTGCACCTCTCGGGGCGTGTGGGATTTCCCTCCCATCGTATGTTCGCACCTCAGTATCCACACTAGATACGCTGATTCCGATATTAATATCCGTAGCAGCCGTGATCGGCCCTGTGCCGGCCGGTCTCGTTTTGATAGCTGGTCTTCTATGTTCATTTGTAGTGCACCGCAGCCTAGTATCAAGCCTAGAGTTATCCGTGGGAGTATTCCTCTCCCTTCGGGCCATGCGTCCCGTACTAGGTTCCACACTGTCGTGCTATAACTCCGTTCACAATCGATCATGATATGTTCCATCGATTCCTCTTCTCCGCAGTATGCACACTTCTCACGTTCGCTGTACCCTGGGACGTTCCTCCAGAATCCTCCTATGCGGTGAGAGTTGTGCAAGGCTCTAAATAGGAATTGCCTAATAGGCGTTCGTAGGTCCTTGCGTCTGGTCGATAACCATATCGCCTCGTCGCTCAGCACGGATCCGCTCAGGTCTGCTATCGCGTGTCTCGCCATGTCTAGTGGGGCGAGGGCCGCCCTCCTCGTGTCCATCGGGCCTTGTTTGCTCATAATCCCCCGGTACAGGAGTGACTGCGACATGGACATTAGGCGCGCCCCCCGGAGGTTGAATTCCGCGGGTACGTTTAGATCGATATCATCTGCGGACTGTTTCAACACTCCGTCTCGTGCCAGTGCGTCAGCTTTCTCGTTTCCTTCTTCACCGGAGTGTCCCTTTACCCATAGGAAGTCTGTCGGCGCTGATCGTCTTCTCAGGTGGAAAGCCGTTGCCTTGAAGAGGTCGGCATTCTTTATATCTATCCAGCCTATGTCTTCCCATTTCGTCAGGTGTTTCGTTAGTCCCTCTATCACGTACATCGAATCCGTTTTGAACAGGATGTGTGCGAAGGGCGCTGTGCTCTGGAGGGCCACCAGGACGGCCGTTATTTCTCCTCTCTGGTTGGAGTGCTCGTCCCCTGGGACCTTGATTGCCCTGCTTGCTTCCGGCATGTTCGGGATCCATACTCCACTCCCACACACTGCTTCCAGCGTTCCATTTTTTTCACAAGATCCGTCCGTATATATCACCATAGCCTCGTCCGGCGCAGTTCTTCCTCTCGTGGGTCTGCTCAGTCTCGTCGCAGGTGCTCTTGTTACATCTTGCTCCCCTGCGAATACTCTAATTCCGTCGTTCCAGCATGTCTTCAGGGACACCGACGGGTCGAAGCGTATGGTGCCCCTTCTCCCTCTTTCTTGAACGTTCTTTTCCTTGCGCGTGTGGGTGAGTGTTAGCCCGTCTCCCTGGTCATTATTCCGTGTGGAGAATCGCTTCGATATGCGGTCTAGTATGGTTCGTGCACGTTCGCAGCATTTATTCGGGTCTTTACATCCTCGTTCTCTGTCGAGCGTGCATTTGTCACATTGGCACACCCTGTGGTGAGAGTGTTGGAGCTCTTCCATTCTTCGTGCCATAGCAAGCATGTTCTTAACCGTTTCAACTCCGTGATTTGTCTTCAGGCATTTATCTTTCCCCTTATGGTACGTCCACCTCGGAGCTCCTAGCTGGCACCACGCTGGCATGCCTTCTTTCACAGAGTCTGCTATCCGTATCGCGTCAAAGGCCACTTCATGTTTCTTGGCCACCTTTAACATGCCGGTGATTTCTATTGGGAGCTTTTCCGCGTTCGGGCCTCGTGCCGGCACCGACCATGCTTGTACGAATGCATTCACTTTGTCATAGGAGTCAAGGCCGCTTGGGGCTACATTGTTGATTAGTATGTCTGCTAGGCATGCCCATTTCGGTCGTTTCTCATGGTCTGCTAGGTATTCCCGGAGCCAGACCAGCCATATCGCTTCGTTCCTTGCCTGGAGGTTTAGGAGGTCTATCCCTCCCTCTTGTCGCGGTCTCTGTAATTCTGCCATCGCGATCGGTGAGCCGCGTCCTTCACCCCATATGAAGCTTCTAATGCTTCTATTTAGTTCCTCGCGCACCGAGTCTGGCATCCCCTGAACACGTGTCTTGTACTGCGTTAAGCCTCCCACCACCATTTGTACTACCAGGGCTTTCGCGTGCATCGTGGGCTTTGCCGCGCGCCATCTTCGCAGCTCTTTGTCGATCTTCCTTACTGTGTCTGTCCACACGGTTGCTTGGTCAATTCCGTTGCCGACCCATGCACCGAGTAGTCTCGTCGCCTGGCCATCATTCAGGATCTCAACATCCTCCGGTATGTCCGCTCCAGTTCCGTCCAGGGAGCGCGTTCTTCGCACCATGTCGCGGTACTCCTTTGTCCCGATCGGTATGATTTCGGTTTTGTTCTTGTTGAATCGAGCTCGCGAGGCTTTGCACCACCTTTCTAGGACGTCCAGTAGGTCGCAATACTTATCGTTTTCAGAAAGGTAGACCGTCGTATCATCGGCGAACAGGGCGATCAGTATTCTTTCGGTCTCGCCCGGAGCCTTGAAACCGCGCAGCCTCGGGTCCGCCCTCATCATGTTCGCTAGGGGTTCTATCGCAAGGTCGAAGAGAAGGCACGATAGGGGGTCTCCTTGCCGCACACCTCTCGTTACTCTAAAGGTTTCGCTAAAGGTGCCGTTGATCATTACTTTCGTCTCTGCTCTCGCATATAGGGCCTTCACTGTGTTAATGAATCTCTCTGGCATGTTGAACTTTTTCAGGGTTGCCCATAGGTATGAATGGTCGATCTTGTCATATGCCTTTTCCTGGTCTAGGGCTACGATCACTCCGTTCTCCTCCATCGCTTCGGCGTATCGCACCATCATTTGGGACAGTCGTACCTGGTCGAAGATGGATCGGCCAGGGATGAAGCCAGCCTGGTCTTTATTCACCATCTGGCCGACGACTTCCGCCAGTTGCATGGCCAGGGCCTTCGTGAGTATTTTATAGTCGGTGTTGAGAAGAGTTATGGGGCGGTAATTCGCGATGTCTGACTTGTCGCCCTTTTTATATATCGGGCACATCCACCCTTCTGTGAACGTCGAGTTTTCGTCTATTCCGTGTTCTTGGATGTCGTTGAAGGCGGCCGTCATCGCCGCCAGTACGTTAAAGGATTCCACTTGCGCTTCCTCTTTCTCCTTATGCCTCTCGTCTAGAGTTTTCCATACCTCGTATGGGACTCCGTCCAAACCTGTTGCTTTACCGTTCTTAGTGGTCTTCAGGGCTTCTCGCACATGGTGTTCCCTCAAGGGCTCTTCCATCATCTCTCGTGCATTTTCCGGGAGGCGCCTTTCCTCTGGAACCGAGGCGAGTGCCTTCGCAACGAAATCGTCGTGTTCGCCGGGGCCCCACGAGTCTTTTTCCTGGTCGCTTTGGATTCGTTCATGGTGATCCCGCGCTATTTTGGCCATTCTGTCCGTTCGGAGCACATACTGGTCAGTCCTATCTAGTTTGCGTAGTCTCATCATAAGTTCTCTCGGCTTCTTCTCTTCATTGATGGACGTCCAGTATTTCGAGACGGTTTCTCCGTCCTTCATCCATCTTGCTTGTCTGACCCGTTTCGCATTTTTCCCCACTTTAGCTCGCAGTCGCTTCACCTTTTCTTCCAGCATGGCAACATTTCTTCGCGGCTCTTCGTCATTTACTCGATCTATCCCCTCTTTCTCCATTTCGCTCTGTAGGATTGTCTCCCAGGTCGCTATTTTCCGTCTCGACCGTGACATGATGGCTCCTGTGATCAGCATTCCAGTCGTTATCATGTCTTCCTTGAAGGCTTTCCACAGTGTTTGTGCGTTCTTTTCCGGTGACCGTTGCTCATGGCTCAGATTTTCAAGGTCGTTTTGCAGTCTTAGGCCTCGCGCCTCGATCGCCGCGATCGCATGCCATTCGTTCACGAAACCCAGGGGCCAGGTCCACCTGCCCGACCCATTATAGGGCATTGCTGTCGGTGCGTACTTCATCCAGACTATTCGGTGGTCTGACTTGAGGCTCGCGGTTTGACAGCACCATTCATACACATCTTTCCTCCTATCGTCTGCTATGTACATTCTATCCAGCCGCGACATCGAGCCCGTCGCTTTGCTGATGTATGTGTAGTTTCTCGAGGACGGGTACTCCTCTCTCCATGCATCGTGCACATTTAGCGCTTGTCGGCATTCTCGAAGGGCCATTACGGCGCTTTCGAGTTCTTTCCTCGGTGGGGCTCGGTCCACGTCGTCTTCGACAACGTTGAAGTCTCCAAGTAGTATGTCTACTTTGGGTATCTTGTTCTGTCTTCTCGCATCTTTTATTTTGTTCCAGAAGGCCGCGTGGCGGCCTGGTTCATTCGGTGCGTACGTGTTCACGATTGTGACTGTGTCTCGGTCGTGCCATCTCAGGGTGAGGGCCGTTGCGCGTCCCTCTTCGATCACTTTCACCTCGCAGTTTGCCGTGCTTACTAGGTCTCTGTTCAGCACGAAGGCGACCCCAGCCGAGTTGGACGCTCGGTCTGGGTCCGGTGAGTTTTGGATCCAAAGCCGTTTCCCATACATGTTGCGCAGGGATTCACATTGTTCGTCTTTCAGGTGCGTTTCCTGTAGCGCGAGGATGGCGATTTTCTCCTCACGCATCATCGCGTGTAGGTCGTTCCATTTGTTTAGTCGGTTTCCACCCTGTTCTGAGTGTCCGTTCATGTTTAAGGTTGCAATTTTCAGATGTGCTCGTTTTGCCGTTTTCGGGCTAGTTTTGGCGGGTTCAGGGTCAGCCATCGCCGTGTTTACGGTTCCGCCTCCGAAAACCCCGGGAGCATCGACGGCGCCGTGCTCGGCGGTTGGAGGGACTGCGCCTCCGCTCGCCAGGGCCCGCGAACCAATGCCAGGACTTAAGACCGTGTGCCCCGCTGAAGAGGGGGGAAGAGTAGAAGGGGTGAGGTTTGCAGCAGGCATTTATCCCGTTATACGCGCCCTGCCTTAGGAGCGTCGGGGGAGACTATTATCGTCCGGTCTACCGCGGACAGGGACTATGTTGAGTTTTCCTTGGGTGAGCACTCGGGCACTCGCCTTCGTTTCCTCTCAACTTCAGCTTACACGCGCGGCTCGTCCGATCTAAATAGATCTCCGCTGACACTTTGTCAATGCACCGACCGTACGGGGTACCCGCCATCAGTCCTTCTCCCCGGAGGGAGAAGCTGTGTATTAGGCGGGCGCCGCCAGATGAGTTCGCGCCACGGCCGGTTGGCGCGTCTCTACAAGTCCCGAGCCTCTTTTTGAAAGGTGCCGAACAGAGCGGCTTTATATTGGGGTCGTTAGGCAGTCGTACATCGCATCTGTATCTAGTTTTCGTCGCGTTCCTGTCGTTACCGTGTCTCTCGTTCGCTCGTCTACATCGCCCGTCCGCGTCCTCTGCCTCTGAAGGCGCCTCGGGAGTTTCCTCCGCCCCTGCGTCCGTATTCCTGAGCGCGCGGCGATGGGTTCTTCATCGAGCCGAGGAAACCTTGGGGGATCTGGGTCCTAATGGGGCATAGCCCGTATACATGGTCCACTCCGTAGCAGAAGGTGCATGGGTCCATTACGATTTCGTCCACGGGTCCTACTTGCGCATGCCAGAAGTTCGTCGTTCTCATAATGGCCTGGACGTCGCGGTACGCGCATGGGAGCGCCGAGTTGATGATCGGTCCGTATATATTGTAGCGTGGTTGTGGGCGGCCTTTCGGCGCGAGGAAGGGGAGGATCCGGCAGTTAAGGTTCTGCAGGAAGCTGTTCACTTGTCCGATCGCTTTCCTGTCCTTCGGGTCCATTCCGAGGGCAGCTACTATGTCGGAGGCCTTCTCTGCGAGGGCAACTTGTACGGCGTATAGCATTAGCCCTTCGTCGGCGTCGATCGGGCCTTTCAGAGTCAGGTAGAAGGACGGGTTCACGACTACGTCGTCGAAGGTGAAGGCGTAGAAGGCGATATCCGCCGTAGCGAAGACCCCCTGCGATAGGATGAGGGCCCTGTCTTCGGTCGTGAGGGCGGATAGAAGACCCGTGCGCGGCTGTCGCTTGTTCGCCGCGACAGGCAGGATGATTCTGAGGCTTGCCCCTTCCTTGAGGAAGGCTTGCACCGTCGCCCGTACCTCACCGAAAACGTCTTGGGCTTCGTCGGCTGTTAGGTTGATTCTGTCGAAGATGGTTACTAGTACGTTGTCTCCGAAATGTTCGTCGTTTTCCGCCCAGTACTTGACTTGCTCCTCCTCGATATCTTCCAGCTGTTGCAGCCGGAATCGCATCTGTGGCGCGGTCCATCCGTTCGGCGGGACCGGGGCGAGGCGCACCTCAGGGCGTTGCGGGTGGCTTTTCGCAACTTCCGCGTATGCGCGGTTTGCGAGGAGCTGGTCTCCGATGATAGCTAGTTTCCCTTCCGGGATGCTGTCAGGGGGGGGCGGAGGGAGGTCGCTATCCCGTGAGACGTCGATGTCCACGATCTTGTCCGAGTCTAGGGTGCCTGACGGTCCCTTCGCTATGGATGTCGAGACGAGGGTCGCGATCTCCTGGCGGCGGCGTTCCGCGTCGCTTTCTTCCGTTCGTTGGCGTGTTTGCTTTTCGTCGCGGAGGAGTGTTGTTTCGCGGGGGGGGGCCGGCGTTACCTTTCGGGACGCGCTGACCAGAATGAATGGAGGTTCCTCCTCGTGCGAGGAGTCTTCCGGCGCCGACATCTGCACATCGTGCATTCTTGGACCTTCGGGCGCGCCGATGACTTCATCCGCGGTCGTGCGGGTCTGCCTCTCGGTCTCGTTCGGTCGAGCTGGGGGGGCTATCGAAGTTGCGAGGGTGCTGTCAGGGATGCCCAGGTTCGGGTTGGCGGTTCCTGGGTTCTGCATCGCTATCTCCGAGTTCGTTGCATCGGGGGGCGCTGGGGCGGCTCCCTCGACGGTTTGGTCGATCGGGGCACCTGGGGCGGTGGGGACGTCATTCTCCGTGCGGCTATCGTTGCTGGCATGTGCGGTCGGGTGGGCGTCCTGGGTATTGGCAGGGGGGGAGACGGCGGCGTTTCGGCTCCCTTCAGTGGAGGACTCGCGAATCGCACTGGGTGCTGGGCCTTGGTCGGCGGACTGGGGTGTCACGTCCGTTGCGCCCGTTCCGTCCGTTTCGTTAGGGGGGGCGAGCGTGCTGGGTACCGTGTCGATCACAATTGCGAGGTCGTCTCCGAGGGTCTCCTTAGCGGTTCCACTCGCCAGGGCCGCTTTGGCTTCCCTAATTGCGTTCGCTAGCATGGGTTTAGGTTGGGTCTCTTGGTGGTAGGGGTTTTTAGCTCACCGACGTCCCTGACGGACTTGCGTTTCTTTCCGTTGTCTCCGCTGCTTTTCGCCGGTTCTGAGCTGGGGGGTTTCTCCTCGCCGAGGAGGGCATACTGATTGTCGTGTCCTGGGATGCCATTGACTGTGGTCGTGTCTTCGCCGTCGACGTTCTTGTTCTTCCCGCGTCCTATGGTGGGGTTAGGTTTTGTCTCTCCTGCACGTTTAGGGTTTCTTACCGCGTCCGGCAGCTTTGCCTGTCTTATTCATGCTTGCGAGAGTTGCGGACTTCGCCACATTGCTGGTTGGTTCGGGAGGCATGTTTAGCAAGGTTCAGTCAGCGGAGTGGTTCGTTCTTGGGCGTGCGGGACAGCGGGTGTCCCGCTTGTCACCCTGCTCTTTCTTAACCCGTTCGGGGTCAGTCTGGTCAAGGGGGGGTTGTCTTGGTTGCTATCGTCTATGCTTCGTTGTATATTACGGGCCCATCAACTCCTTCATACGTGGTACTTTCTCCCTCCTGCTCTCCGTGTCAGCTTGTGGTTCCGACTTCGTTCTTGCGTGCATTCGGCTTCTAAATCGGGTTACCATGGACTTCGCCGTTCGGGGGGAGTCGGCTTTGGGCTTCGCCTCTGGGTTCTCAGGTGGGTCGGTTTTCTCTCTCGGCTGCTCTTTCGCTCCCGGTTCCCCTCGCTGATTTGTATCTTATGAGTCACTCCTCGAGTTTTCGCGGAGAGACTCATACCATGTGTTTGCACACACGTGCACATTGAATTCGGGCAGAGGCTGTTATGTAGTCTATACTTTGCTTCGCCCTGTCTGTTCGGCCGGTTAGTTGGTCTATTTGGTTTCAAATGTGTCACTCACCGTCGTCCTGGTCTCGGTCTAGCATGGTCGACAGGTGCGAGATGAGGTTCCAGGGCACAATGTTCATGCTGATGGGCTGGTCGTCGTCAGGCATGGCGGGTTGAGGGGGGTGTTGAGATTGCTTTACGCTCGCTTTATACATCCACTGAGTTTTGCCGTTATCGTGTATTGGCTTTTGTAGTGGGTTCTATTACGTCTCGGGGGAGCTATGGATTAGGCGCTCTGATCGCCGTCGTGTTAAGCGGTTTCGTCGCCGCTGTGTTTGTTCGTCTCAGGTTCGCTTGGTCTCGGCTCCCTCTCGTTCTGGTTTAGCTTGACTTCCTTAGTCATGTCTCGCCTGATTTCTTCTTGTTGAGCTTTTTATTTCGGCGTCTGGGTCTTGACTTGTTGGCCATGTTTGGCTGTGTTCTCGGTATCTTCCGGCGTTCTCCTCGCCGGGTCGTCATCCGCTTCGCGGTCGTCGCATCCATCCCGCATCTCTCTTGGGTAGGCTCTACAGTGGTATTCGCTAATAGTACTTAGTACATGTTCGGTGTTTTCATAGCCAGGTTGTCGCCCGCGGGGTGGAACGTGTCCCCCCGTCCCCTCCCAGCTCGAGAGCGTGGGAAAACCTCGCCATGGTGATGGTTAGAGGTAAAGGGAGCCCCGATATCAGATTCTTCTCCTAGGCCCATCTAGCTATCTGTGAGACCCCTAAGAGGCTTGTGGTTCACCTTCGGCCAATCCTACCTCAACACGGAGGCTCTGCGGTCCCTTGCCTTGCATGATCCCTGAAAGCGCTCCAGATCCCTTCGACTCCTCTTGGTAATGACGTGCAACACCGCTCGATACGCGCAAAGGGCTTGAGAGCTCGCTTTGCATCGCCTGTTGCTCGCTGCATATACCTCGCTTGCTGTCGGGCACGTCGACGTGCCATGAGGCCTTGCACTCTTGGCACTCTTCGCTGTCATTGCTGTGTCAAACGATCAGATCCTTGGAATTATTCTATAATCGACAGTCGTTCAATACACGCCCAGCTATCGAATTATAGAGTCTAGCATGATTTTACGCACAAATGTACATAGGAAGACAGTAGTGTACCCGACGTTTCCGGTCATATCCGATTGATGCAAAGTAGTGAACAGAACACTCTGAACCCATCTCATCCCATCATCGTACAAGCGGGGTCGACGTCAACGTACACTAGTAACAACGACTATTGAGAATTCACCTCGCGTTTCTCGGCCCTCTCCTGCCCACCCTTCCACAGCACGAGAAGCGGGAGCGCCTGGATTAATGACTCTAACATGCGCGATGATAACATAATGTGGTGTGCGTTTCGGCATACGGTCGGCATTGGATATCGAGGTTGGAGGGAAACCGCGAGGACCCCATCCACGTTCTCTCCGCCGTGTCGTGTTTGTGGTTGTAGCATACGTTGCCAACCGGGTTGCAATGATGAAGAGATTATCAGCCTCCGGGGGCGAGGGCTTCTGACGTTTACTCTGGCATCGTCGTCCAATACATGTCTTCAGCGCTCTGAACGCGAACACGTCCTTTTCTTGCACTTGGATCCGTCATTATGCCTACGATTCAATTCGGACGATCCTGGAGGACGACAAGGGCGGTCTTGGGCATTGATAGCCCGTTCCACTTCATCCCGTCGTGAGAGGGGATGGTTCGTGCTCTGCTTAGATGCTGAATACCTATTGCTGTCATGCTCAGAATTGACCGATATGACAGAAGGAGTGTAGGGCTGTTCCTGTTTAGGGACCGTGCCCGGTAATATACCTACCTGCCTATCTATCTACCTACCTACCTACATAGTTTTTATACAAGGAGCCCCTGTCTTGTCAGGCCTATATCCGCACAAGTGCCTTCGCGCACAGCCTTGTAAGGTACCGCTAGACTCTCGACAGCATGTCACTGAGCCGATGCAACCGCTACACAACCAGTGAACAGACTATACAGCGCGTGCAGCTCCGGTCAACGATATAAACGACATGGTGATGAACGATTAAGCCAAAAAGGACGCGACGCGGATCGCCTCTAGCGTTCGTGATGCGCAGACTTCCACCCGAAATTATCGACATAATCATCGAACACGCGTGTTCGACGGACCACCGAGCCGCCCCCGTCCTCCTGCTGGTCTCGAAGTCCATTCATACCCTCACTCTTCGCCACCGCTACCATAGCGTCGCACTCTATGGTTTTTCCGCACTGCGCGACTTTCTACGCCACCTAGAAGCCGCCGCCTTGGAGCACCGGCGTATCATACGACTCCTCGTGTCCGATCGCCCACGAGGCGCATGCATGGCGAAGCAGCGGCCCGTGCTGGACACGTCCCGGAGAAACAGGAAACGATTCATTGCAGCCTTGAAGACTCTCCTGGACCGCGAGTCAAACTCGGGCGTAGAGGCGTTCTCCTGCATCCTCTTCGACTGCTACCCATCGGACGCGCTGCAAGACGCGTTGCAGCATATAGAAGGAAGATTCCCCGCGTTGCAGGATGCTGGGATATACCAGGGTGCTGGTGGAGAGCACGGATTGGCGTTGGCGCTGATACCGAGGTTGCGCCGGTTGACCCTGGTTAACGACGACTCGGGTATCGAAGACCGGTTGCGTCTCCTGTCCATGGTAGGAGATGACGATGACGTCGACCAAGCGGACGATAACGCAGGACCTGATATATCGGCGCCTGCCCAGCAGGAGAGACTTGCGGCGTTGTCAACGGAAACGGCTGGTGTATTCGCTGAAATTGGGTGGGACAGGCGCAACAGTTTCGCTGTCGATGTGCATGTGGGCTGCGGTGCATCATGTGTAGTGAATATATGGGAGTCGGGCAAGTCGACATGTAGACTCGCTTAGGGTGTAACATGATACGATCGCTGGTGCATTCATGTAGCTGACGCGACGCCGACGAGAATGCCAAAGACGACACATGTGACAGCACCGAGGGTGAGCGATATGAAGGTGATGGTGTAGCGCGCCGCTGGAAACTTGCCCTCGAGAAGAGTGCGTTGAGTGGAGAAATAGCGGACAATGCCTAGAAGCCGAACATGAGCTAGAGATGGAGGGTGCAGGCTTGCGACGCACCAATCAAGAGGGTCATCAGGCCCACGACGACTATGACGGCCCCTAATGGCCTGGCATACCTGTGTGCGGCAGTCGAGGGCTCCGTAGAGAGCTTGAAGAGCTGCACTAATGCTGTTGATAGATAGACATGCGGACATCAGGGCATGCTGCGACGTGTTGGTTACACGCACATACCAACTCCCATGCTCGTAATGGCTATGCTGGTTCGTACGTATCTGACCAGGAGCTTTCAGAACCTGTGCCCGAACAACGGCTAGAAAAAACCTACGCCAAGAACGTCCTTTCACCCGCAAGATGATCCCTCGCTACGCTCCCGCTATTGGTCAGGACCATGTTCAATTGCAGCTTGTCCATCATAGACGTCCTCTGTGGGGGCATGAAAGGCTTGGGGTCTGAGCGACGTTCATCACGCGTAGTGCCCGCGCCAGCGTTGGCCTGCGACTCAAGCTGGTTGTCCGCTGGTGACGGCTCCGGGGATGCGCATCTCATTCCAGACTCCATGATGGAAGAGTGGTCCGTCCCAGTAGCAGAAGGCGGAGGGGGCGAAGGTCTGCGAGGGCTATCGACAGACTGCCGTCGTCTCGTTCGGACAGTAGCGAAGGTAAGTCGACCAAGGGTCGTCCGGCTACGCGCAGGTTTTGCACTGAGGACAAAAGGCTGGGTGCTGGAATACGTATCAGAGGAGCATCGTGTTGTCTCGGTGCCCTCCATTGCCGATGCTGGAATTCCGAATAGCACTATCGAGCATGACCGCGGACCGCGAAGAAAGTGGGAGCGAAAACTGACCGTGAGTACGCTGAAGTATGTAATTGGATCACTATTGATAGGGCGGTAAGGTTGAAATAACCTCAGATAAAGTTAGGATTATCAAGCGTCTAAATTAGGGACAAGATTATCTAAAACCTTTCTACTGAGAATTACTGGGAGCGAAGCGACCGAACCCGTCTTTACGCTCCCACATCTCCTTGGCAAGATCCCCACTCATCCATACACCACCCCGAGGATCGTCCGCTGTAAGTCCAAAGCAATGTCGTGTGGGGAAGGTCATGTGCGACCCGGAGCCAAGGTACACGCAATTGACCGATTTCACCTCCGACCCGGACGGCAAGGCGGGAGTGAAGTCGACGTCCATGAGCTTCATGTTCCGCCAATTGGTGATCACGTTCCAAAGCCCGCTCGGTTCCATGAACATAGTCATCTTGCGGAAGTTGATGGGAGAAAGACGCCAGCGAAGATAGTCTTCTGTCGCCGCCTGCGATGTCTGCTCCTGTAGAATTCGACGAACGAGGAGCGCGAGCGCTCCCAGAGACATAGATGATATCTCTTTGACTGGTCGTGATAGAACGACCCCGTAGGCTGCATTTCCGAGGTATACAGGCGGGACAAGTGACGGCACTTGACTGCGGATGTTGGCCGAGTACATCAGACTGAATGATCTCTGAGAAGTTTCCGACGGGTACATGCCCTGGAAGAGATCGTTGAGCGCAATCAGACAGAAGAAATTTATTGAACTGACCTTCAACGTGAAGGCGACTAATGCATCGCTAGTGCTAACCCATTCTCCCGTTTGCTCCCCTAGTTCATTCCTAATGTCGTCCATGGCTTGCTGTTTGATACGCTCAACTTCCTTTTGCGGTACGTACAGTTCCCGGACCTCGTACTTCGGGTAGCGGATCCGGTCCCACAGCATGCATGCCACAAAAGTCAGCATCTGGAAGAAGTTGAACAACCTCCAGCCCACAACCGCGGGAGGTTGAGGCACGTCCTTGAACTTCGCGAAGGGTTCTGGGATAGGATCAATGGGAGCCACCTCCTCTCCATGCAGAGTCTGGAGAAGCGCGTTCAAGACCACTTTGACTCCATGGCCATCTGCGAGGACGTGAGGGATAGTCAGGCCGACAATGCTGGCGTCTTCGAAGTTCGTGAGCTGTAATGCCGCGTTCGGAATGTCTTTGGTGAACAGATCGTTCATCGAGCGACATGCCGGGTCGGAATATAAATCGTAGGGGAAGTGCTTGATGGTGCATTGGATGCTGTCTGCAGATATCTTGGGATAATCGTATCGAGAGGCGATCGGTGCGTTCACCGCCAAGTGTCTGAACCCGTATCGGTTGGCCGATTTCGGGACGTGAAACTCCCATTCCTGAGTTTCGTAGAGGATGTCTCCCGTTAGTTCGCGTCGAGACCGAACAGACCACGTGCGTACCTTGCCATTGTTCCTCAGCCGCGCCGAGAGAATCGGCCAGTCCGAGTTCAACTTCGCCCACGCGTGCTCAAGTATGAGAGGGTCCAACGGTGCGTCAAGGACCCAGCCAATCACCAGTATGGAGTGCTTCTCGTTGCCGCTCGTGTCGAAAGATCCTGCTGCGATGATCTGTACGTCTTCCATGTCCCAGGTCCGCTACTCCGAGGCAACTGGCTGGACAAGAGTATCGGATGCTGAGGTGGCGAGAGAGTGCGAGCCCGGGACGAAGCAGCCTAGAAACCCCATTCGCTGGCGCCTAAATCAAACCATCTTCGCTGATAGATGTCCGATGATCAACAGAAAAAGGCGGAACGAGAGCTTCGAAACGGTCAACGAAACCCCCCTGCGGCTGCGTTGTCATGTTGGTCTGGTCAACACGGTGTATGGAGCAAAAGTGAACGTTTTGTACATATTCACGCGCACGCGGTCCAAATTTCGATCCCGAGCTTGACGACTGGAAAAAAGGCGGGTGCCCCCCGCCTTCACCTTCGCTTGCATTGCCATTGCACGAGTAGATCGCATTAAAAAAAGAGTTTGACACGGTTAAAGCGCATCGCCACGAACTTAGCACCGCCACGGTTGCTGATGCTTACTAATTACCGGCATCCGAGATACATGAGCAAGCTCAGGTAACACTCCCCACGGGAGGGCGCTCCCGATCATGTGAGTTGTTGCAATGTTCACTGTTGTGGCTGTTGTAAGGATCGTCCTCGCAGCAGGCGCGGCTTTTTTCCAGTATTTACGCCCTCTCCGGCAGGGTAAACACGCACGGCAAAACCACCGGACTAATGCAAATAAGTATGTTATACGAGGTATACGGATACGCATGGGGCTAGGCTACACACGACTATAATGTGATATCTACGTGGGGTAAAAACATGATGCATGATGTACTCTACAATGCTGAGCATATGTCGCTGGCGGAATCCACAGCCTATGCCGAAACGGAGGGTCAAGAAACGTGGCGGTAACTTATAGATACATCCAGAAGAGGTGGTGAGGGGTAGGAAGAGCAGAACATCACGATATCAAGTCAATTTCGAGGTGTTGGGAGGCGCCGTTCCGGGCTTAGGCGTCGGCATCGTAAGCCATCCTCCCGCTTCCCAATTGCCGCCCGGGCGATATAGGTTCGCGAGCCGTTGCGCGGGGTCTTCGATACCGCGCAGTAGCACGGTGAGCCGCTTGAAGTCGATAGGTTTGAGGATCCATCCGTCGAGGCCGTAGCCGCACAGAGCGCTATACTGAGACTCGTGTAGTGAAGCCGAGACGGCGAATATGGGCAGACGCCCGTTGAGGCGATGTGATGCTCGAGTGTCGCTGATCCCGATGACCGCACTCTTCTCCAACTCTCGTATACTGCGCGTGGCATCAAACCCGTTCAAAATCGGCATCCTGGGTGACGGTAAGCGAAGTTCAGTCAGCGAGTCTTAAGCAAGCACGTACTGTACGTCCATGAGGATGCAATCAAACTGATCGTCCTCCCGCACTTTGTCGACGCCTTCTTGACCGTTGCATGTATTCTCAACGGTATGGCCGCTCAGGGTAAGGCGCTTGGACAGTATGACCCGATTGATTTCATCGTCCTGGGTGACGAGTGATGAGGAACGGAAGATCATTGGAGTTCCACCACTTACCTCAACCACCAGTATGCGCAGGGGACGTTCATTGCGCTCCGATGGTTTCTTCGGCGGGCTGGGTGAACTGCGTGATATTTGAGGAGTAGCGGATGCCAGAGGTTCTTTTCTAGCTTTGGCGACCCTTTGATCGAGCTCCTGTACGTCCATTTTTACACCCCTTACGGGTGTTTTTGAATCTGTAACGAGAAATTGGCCGGATCGCGCGGACGGCATCCGTTCGATGTGCCCCGGCGGACTCCTCCTCGCACCGACTCTCGCTCCAGGCGTGGCAACCGAAGGTGACGATGGAGCACCACCACCCAGGGCTTCTACGAGATCATCAATGTCGCTCCCACCCGACAGTGGAACGGAGCCCCCACTATTGGTCCGCGACCTAATGTGGGACTTCCCGGACGAGCCGGAGGAGACGGAGGAGGCTCCTCCGCGTTCGGCGAGCGCAAAGGGGATGAGGAACGAGAACCTGCTTCCTTGCCCGATCTTAGAGTCGACTCGTAGTTGGCCTCCAAGCTGTTCGACGATCCTGGCAACGACAGCCAAGCCCAACCCTGAAACGCCGTCAGCATATTCTCCGGATGCATGGGATCGATTTCGTACCGAGTCCTTCCTGGGGTCTCTCTTGAACGGATTCCACTTGCTCGAACTCGCGGAATATGCTCTCCAGTTTCGAACTTGAAATCCCGCGCCCGGTGTCAGAGACGACGATCTCGACGGCAACTTCGTGCGATGGTTCTCGTAGCCCTTCCGTTTCGTCGTATGTACGGCACTCCACGATAACACCGCCCTCGTCCGTGTATTTCACTGGAACCAATCAGCGAAGGACATGCGCGCATCAAGACGATTTCGCCTACCCGCGTTAGCCGTTAGGTTCGCAACGACAGTCTTGATTTTCTTCGCATCGCCCAATACGGTCTTCGGGCAACCAGTGAGGTCCACAGTGAACGACAGGTTTCTTCTGGCCGCTTCGTTCTTGTACAGCACCGTCGCGTCCAAGATCGTGGACCTCAGGTCCAAAGGCTCGCTGAATGTGGTTTCGTGGCCACTTTCGAGCCGAGTGAGGTCCTGCAGGCGTATTGAGCAAGAGCGGCAAAGATGGGCGAAACCACTCACCAGCAAGTCATTGATGGTGAACAGGAGGCTCTACACCAGCAACTTCAGTGAGAACATCTCGGACGCATGAGCAAGAGTCTCTCACCTTGGAGGCTGCATGAGATCGGCTAAGGTTATCTCTGGTTTCCGTATCAAGCGGGCCGTTCATAGCCATCTCGAGGTAGCTACAAACGAGTGTCAACCCCCCAAATGCCAATAGCTGAGCACCATCGCGCACTTGATAATGTGGTTCAACGGCGTCCGGACTATAACCGAACGACAGATGAGTTACTCCCATCGTGTAAACAGCGGATGGCACGCACCCTCATGGCTCGCGTTAGACAACAATATATTGGTGAGCTTCGTCGTCTGCAGCGCGGACTCCTTCTGCCTCCAAACCTCGATAAACTTGCCGTACACAAGCGCCAACACGCCGGCCGTCTCCAGCTGCTCATCCGTCCACTGCCGCGATCGGCCCGCGACGACCTGGGACCAAACCTTGAAAGACGTCCTGGGCTCGAGCCTAGACTGCACGTCGCCTACGTCCTCCTTGTGGGGCCGTCCGGCCCAATGCACCTCCCGTGGCTGCCCCTTCCGCAAGAACGCGATGAAATCCTTGCCCCCGGTAGACAGGGGCACGTATAGCAAGCCCGCGATAACCTCGAGCCCGGTGGATAGCTCGAGGTCCGGAAAGTCGGCAGTCAGCGCTTGAGAGACTTGGACGGTTCTGAGCGGGGCAGATGGATGATCAGTCCTCCGTCTCGTCGATGGACGCCGGAAGACGTACGTATACCGCTTTAGGCGTAAGTACTCCGCGACCACGAGTATCTCCTGGCTGTTCTGATTAGGTCCGATGATCTTGGCTCCCTGGCCGACGACGAGCATGCCATAGTCAGCGTCGAAGAGTTGGAGGAGGTCGTCGGCGTTGGACACGATATATCCCGTCGGATGCTGGTCGCTAGTCGCGGTGTTTATCTGGTGAACAGGGAATAAACAGCCTGGGGAGAATTCGACAGGATGCACGATACGCACGAGTTTCCTCGTGTGTAAACGGCGAGCATAACTCAGCCTCTCGATATTGCGGGAAATAGACTGGCTCAGGAGTCGCAGCATCTGCCTGACCAGGAACGAGACGCGCATGCCCGACGGACCATACGAGTGGCAGGCTACCAGGCCCCACAAGGTACCGAAAGCCATGATGGACTACGCCGGAGCGGGGTTGTACGTTCAGTCGAGTTCTCGTCTGAGAGCAGCTCGCGACTCACGATCGACATCGAGGCGCGAACTCCCATGTTGCCCAGATCTATGGCCGAGGTGTTAAGAAGATGCCAAACCTGTGATGGCGCACTTGCACTTTAAATGGATAGGGCTCATGGCCCTAAGGTAGCAATGCGTCATGTTCTGTGCGGGAGCCCTCTGAGCACTGCTTTACTGCGACGATAGACGGGAATGGGACCTCACCAGCGGTTGCTCCAAATCGGACCTATCCCGTACAACAAGGCGTGCGGTAGGCTGGTCACGATCATAAAGCGTCCGAACTTTGTTTATCGCATAGAGCTCCCGAGCCTGAACCCAAGCGATCAGCAACGCCTCATCCGAGCAACACCGCCGAAGATATATACACTCACCTGAGCGGGGATATCGCTCGCCGGAAAGTGCAGGCCCATATACAAATCGTGGGTCTGATGCCAATCCACGAGCTCCGCGACGACCTGGCCGTTCCACACCTCGTCGAACTGATATATCAGCACCCGATGGAACTGCGTCACGTCCTTGATCACGCCGACGCATATCTTCAAAAACGTCTCCAGGTCCTCCGCGGCCCCGAGCTGCTCGTTGATCTGCGTCATGATTGCGAATATGTCCATCATCCCGACCCCGTTCGCGGCCGCGCCGCCTCTGCGGCCCCTCGCGCGCCGACCGGCGCCGGGCCTCTCGCCGATCGGGGGCAGCGACGGCACCAACGGCGCATGGTCGGCTCCCGCGGCGCGCGACATGCGGCGAAGGCGCTCGAGAGCGAGCAGCGGCTTGGCGCGGTTCGTCGTGCTCTCGAGGATGTGCTGTGGATGCGGCATCCAGCTCTCGTCCAAGTGCGGGAGCATGAACGGCCGCAGATGGCCGCCGGCGTTCCCGAGGTGCAGCCGGGGCGACCGGTTGTCTCCTCCCCTCGAGCTCGAGAGCTCGGCCGCCGTCGACCCCGACAGGGAACGTCCCTGCTCGACGACGCCGAACGGCGAGCTGTTGCGGGGCGAGCTGTCGGTCGAGATGAGCGTTTGCGCGGACGAGTCCGACCCGCGGCTGCCGAGGCTCGGGTGGCTCAGGGAAGAACCCGAGACGGAGGTGCCTGGGCTGCTGGCGTTCGCCGCGCTTGCGAGCCCGCTGCTCCCGGTGCTGACTTGCGCGCTCCCTCCCGTCCCAGTGCTCTCCGGCGCGCTGCTCCCTTCGGTGCCAACGCTCTCCCGCGTGCTGCCCGTACCGGACGACTGCGCGCTGCTGCCTTCGGTGCGGGACGAAGGCGAGGGAATCCCGGATTCGAACGCCGTTTCGTCGAAAGGCGGGTACAGGGGGTTGTGCACGTCCCGCTCCAGCTCGAATTCGAGTATGACGAGCTGCGATGTGTCCGTGGCACCGTCGCTGTTGGTCACAGGCGTCGGCCGGTGGGCGGCACACCAGCACGTCCACGATGCCCGACCATCAGGCCCGGGACTCGGATCTCGGCGAGATGCCGTGCCGGGTTCGCCCCATCCGCTGAGGAGGAAAACTTGCGGGCCGTCATCCTGGTCCCCGCTGAGATTGTTAAGGAACTGGATGTTGTCGAAGAGGAGGTCCGCCTCAGCGTCTGGAAGCACGTCCGATAAGCACGGCAGTTCGAAAAGGTACTTCGGAGACAGGTTGAGGATCTGCTTCGAGTTCTGTTGTCGGGAAGAGCGGGAGTCAATCGCGCGTAGATTCGTCGATCGGGAGAGTGGCGCTTCGCTGCTCACCTCAGAAACCTGCCGTACGATCAACGTGTCGGATTCAAAGTCTTCTTCGACAGCGATCAGTACGCCGAAAGCCTGTATGGCGCCAGGTGTTCGGATTGGCTATGCGAGCGGCAAAAATGGGTATTATTAATAAGGTTTGAGAACGACTCGAGGAAAGCGATCATACCTCATCCTCGCATTTGAGCAATTTGCCTTCACGGCCCGTCACGACGTGGTGCCCATCGGCCATCTCCACATGTTCCAATTTGTGCGTCACAACAAGCCTCTCCTCCTCCGTCTCCCCTCTCGCCTCGGCGGCCTCACGCGCGGACTCGGCCCAGGCCGGGTCGTCAGAAAAATCCACAGTGCGTTGCGTAGGTGGAATGGTTCCTGGCGTCGGGCCAAGATGGACGATGCCGCTCTGGGGGATGGTTGACACGACGCCAGGGACCTGCGACTCGGAACCCGACCCATATTCTGACACCTCGTCCTCTTCGTCCGAGCCGCCATCGGACGACCCCGAGACCGCCGTGTAGTAATCTGGTTCTGGGGACGCCGTGCCCGAAGTAGAAGGTGGGTGACGGGGAGGAGAAGCTGACAGGAGGCCTGTGCCGGTTTGCACGACTGAGACGGCCGCGTGCGCTATACCAGAGGTCCCGGCGGCGATCATGACCGACGACGGTGCCTGTGTAGGTAACGGGCGTGCGTCTCCGGCTGCAGCACCATCCCTCCCGCCTGCACCTTGTTCCTCTGCAGCTCCGGTGTTGTTAGTCCGCGCTTCTTCTGATCGGTGCTCATCCGACGACAGCCACTCGCGTGTTCTATTGCTCGTGCTCCTCAGCGTGGGCTCGACGATGGTCGGACCGTGGGTTGTTTGCAGCATAGGGGTAGTTTGGCTGCCACTGGCCTGCTGGATCTCCTTCGACAACAATGAGCGTACGGGATACACGAATGACGCGGTGACCGTCGTGGAAGAGCCAGTGCTCGTCGATCCGGACGTCGAGCTCGCCCTGGAGCGCCCCGGTGGCTGGCGCCCTGCTTCGTCTGGGTGAGCCATGGCGGCGGTAGGCAATGAACTGGCAGGCCAAAATCAGGCTCGACCCCGCGACGGGTGATGTCACATCACGGGACATAATCTCGACGACCGATCGCAGCGTTCCGCAGAGTCGGCCGTCGAAGCCGTCCATCGGAACCAAACCATGGTCCCTCCGTTCGACCTCTCTTCATCATTTGCCACCTTCAGGACGTCGACATCATAAGACTAGGAGCATCCAGGTCGACGAACAATCTAGCAAGATGCCACGTGGTCGCGCTCAGATAACCACGTGCGGGCACGTGCCGGAGCTGATGCGGTTGGTGGAGCTTGCGAGCTATCATATTATGATGTCGGTCTCCGATCCCGGAGCTGATAGGGTGTTCCGCGTCCGCGTCACCTTCGGCACTCTCTACGATTACATGAGCGCCCGTTGAAACGAGGGTGTCCAGCCTTGCAGTTCGGAGGCACGCAATCGAAGTGAACCTGTAATCCGACGGAAGGCCAACGGTACCTGCGAAACTTCTGGGTCGTCCGCAGCAACGTTACAAATGCGATCATTTGAGTGGATTGCGGCCCCACTACCCTGACCCCCTTGTGACATTGTCCCGTCTGGCCCACTCAAGCACCCGCCTTCCCCCAGTTTCCCGCTTAAAAGACGAGACATCGACAATCGTGCGGATACATCAACTCGACATCTCAACACGATGTCAACTCTCTCCAAGCTCCCCCTTCGCAGACTGGGCCGCAATGGCCCTGAGGTCAGCGCGCTCGGTCTCGGTACCATGGGTGCGTCAAACCTCGCTGCCGAGAGTTATAGCCGCCCTAAAACGAGGCTGCAGCTATCGGTGCCTTTTACGGCAAGACCGACGTGAACGCGGCGATGAATGCGCTCACCTACGCCGCGGACCGCGGCATGACGTTCTGGGACTGCGCGGATATCTACGGAACCTGTAGGTGTGCCATCCAGACCAAGCTATGGACGAACGACCGATCTCGCGCCCGTGTGTAGCTGAGGCAACTCTCGGCAAGTGGTTCAAGGAGACCGGCCGGCGAAACGAGATCTTCCTCGCGACCAAGTTCGGCGGATGGGACCCGGCCAAGGGGTACACCAGCGGCGCGATCTCCCGCCCATCCTACGTCAAGCATGCCGTCAAGCGCTCGTTCGAGCAGCTCGGCGTCGACCACATCGATCTCTTCTACCAGCACCGCGTCGACCCCAAGGTGCCCATCGAGATCGTCTTCGAGGCTCTGCGCGAGTACGTCGAGGCCGGGAAGATCAAGTGGCTCGGCCTCTCCGAGTGCAGCGTCGAGACGCTCGAGCGCGCCAAGGCCGTTCCCGGGCTGGGCGAGAAGCTCGTCGCGGTGCAGATGGAGTACAGCCCGTTCACCCTCGAGATCGAGAAGGACGGGTTCGCGGCCGCAGCGGACAGGCTCGGTGTGTCGGTCGTGGCGTACAGCCCGCTTGGCCGGGGCCTCGCCAGCGGCAAGTACCGATCCCGAGCCGACTTCGATGAGACCGATCTGCGCCTCTGGCTCCCCCGCTTTTCCGAAGAGAACTTTCCGAAGAACCTGTTGGTCGTGGACAAGCTGCAGGAGATCGCGAACAAGTACGGCGCGACGCCGAGTCAGGTCACTCTGGCGTGGATCTTGGCCGAGCATCCTACGTGTAAGTCGCCCGGGTTCATCCTGATTACGATGCTGATCATAATCGTCCAGGGGTGGCTATTCCGGGCTCGCGGACGGCCGAACGTATCGAAGAGAACGCACGCGGCGCCGAGCTCGTCCTTCCTCCCGAGGCGATTAAGGAGATCCGCGACCTCACGGAGAACGCAGAGGTGGTCGGCGCGCGTTACCCTGACTCGACAATCGCGACTGTGGAGGGCAACTGTCTGCCACTCAAGGAGTGGAAAGGGGAGGAGAACCTGTAAATGTGATGGATGACTGTGCATTGCCATGCAAATGATAGGAACTCGGACGTATGATGTGATGCTGGAGCCAATGACTGATCCTGCCCCTTGCATCATACCCCATCTACTGGCTCATGTCATGTCTCTTGTGCATGCTCAGGGGCACATGTCTGTCGTGGAAGGGGGAGCAGAAGCGTATGTCATGTATAAGACAACGTGCACTACAGCCATGCACATGTAGAGTACAGCGATCAAGCCAAGTGCCTGCTTGCAACACAAGGGACCATGTATGGCTTCAAAAGTCGTGATTTTACAGTAACCATGCTGCAACCGTGCTCAACCATCTCACCGTCGTACCGCGTCGTTTACATGTACCCAGATGCTCCTCGATTAAGCCGTCCACTCGAGCAAGGCTGTCGCCGGGCCGATGGACAAAGTAGAAACGCAGCTCCGTAACTCGTTCAAAACCCGCTGCAGCGGACGCGACACCGAGGTCTCGGAAAAAGTTGTCCAACTCTCGGTAGTGCGTTATCAACACACGCATGGTCAACTCGAGGAGGCGAAGTCGGCGGGATGTGATGGTGGCGAGCGACTGAGCAAGGTAGTGAATGCGATGCAGCGAAAATCCCGGTTCAAGGGACATCGAGTAGTCTATGGTCAGTTCCCTCAGGGAACGTAACTCTGAAAATGTGAGGGGGCCTGCCACACCTGTGAGCGGGATGTCCACCGTAGAGACATCATCAACTCACCTCTGTGCGTTAACAGATTTTCCCATGCGACCATTTGTAACGAGGGCAGCGTATCACCGAGAACTTTCAGAAGCGCGTCGACCGCGATTATCCAGTTAACTTTAGGGCACACGTTAAGTGAAAGCCGTTCCAGTGCAAAGATGATGTCCCCGGTCGTAGAAAGGCGCGTCAATCGCTGTACGATCTGGAGTGAATGGCCTTTCTTTATCTCCAGTTCCGTCAATCGAAATCCAGTGGGGGCGCCAGGCGCCAAGGCGGGATGTTCGAATAGGTCATCGGGGGACCAGCGCACGGAATGTAGTCCAAGGCAGCGAATGGGAGGAAGGGACCTGATCAGGGTCGTGAACTCGAGCGGAGCGAACATGATCGTGTGTAAAGAAGCGGGGAAATGATTTCAGCGCCGACCACCACAGATCCGACGTTCCCGCATGGCCCACCGGACCGTTGTAGTTCTTGAACCACACGCGTACAACTCTAACATTGGGAAGATCGAACGTGGCGAATTGGTTCAGAGCTGCTGAGGTCACCGATAGTATCGCGATGTGAGCTCCCAGATGGGGGGACGCGCTTAGGGTATCGCACATTCGGCCCATGTATCCCCACATGTCATATGGTCTCTTCGGAATGGGCTCGTAGAAAAACCGAGCTTGACTTGCGTAGGTCCATCTCCGGCATGTGAGAGAACAAGCGCGGAGAGTAGCCTCGTCATCGACAAGAGCGACGATGCGTTCGCATATCTCCTGCGGAATTTGACTCGTATACGCAACGGGTTCCATCCTTGGACAGCAGGAGCGTCGAGGACTTTGTAACACAGGTAGGCGAGTTATTTGAAGGCAGATCTACACCTGAATAGGTGGGCCTCACGGATGTCGTACCAGATTCTTCTGTGCCCGCGCGTGGGGTCTCTGGCATTGGCAAAATTGAACCACGCAGGCTCAAGTAGGGCGGGGCGGGAGGCGGAAGACGCATTCAGCGGTCCCGTGGCGGCGCAAATGCCTGGCAACCGGTTGACAAGCTAGTCCTAGGCTCGTCCAGAGTGGGACCCCGGACGAGTGTGGAGCGTAAGGTAGAGGGCCTACGCACGAGTAACGGGGTGAGGGCGCCGCGCTCTCCGTTTTTCTTCCAAAAGGAGTGCATTGAGTATTGGCCGGATGGCATCGCAGAAGTAGGTCCGGCGGGTGTGAACCATGATTATTCGTGGAGAAGGGGGTAGATTACTGAAGTTCGGCGAGTATATGCACAAATAAAATGATTATACGAGCCCCTTTTTGAACGCGACGAGCGAAGCAGGAGGCGAGGAAAGGTGGAGGCTGTGTAGCCTCGCAATGGGGCCCACCTGAGCTTATCCTCCCTCGCCCATGGCCTATCGCCCATTCCGCTATTGGGACCGCGCCGGAAATACGTATGCCTACCAACCTGAAAAATTAGTGCGCGGCGTCGACCTCGGAGCCTCTAGTGGTGCACGTAGATAACAGCTAATATGCAGTACAATGAGGGTCGATCAGTACTACCTACAAGGCTGTACGTGTCACTGGCCACCCGTACGTGTTCCACGTCGCTCACCATATTCCCTTCAAGCCGGGCAGCGGATCGGATCCGAGGATCTCTTGGATGGACTATATCGGACACCTCGATTATCGCAGGACTCGATCTGGAATCGAATCATCGCTTTCGTCGATGAGACGCGCTTTGCATCTCCTTAAGTCGCCCTTCCACTTGTGCCATGGCGTTTTCCCGTTCTTCCTTCCTTTCTGAAACTCTTGGGGAGCTCAGAAATCTCATCGGAACGCCGAGCCGATAGTATGCGTGCACGCTACGGAGGGATACCCCGGCTTCAAGTTTTGTGTATGTGCTCAGAACTATGCGCCAACGACCGAAGATTTGCAATAACCCGCAATGATGCGAATTCCTGTTCTCAGATGCTATGCAGTTTCTATCCCCCCAACCTATGGTAGCCCGTGATTCCAATAAACTCGAACACGGTCATCAGATAGCCTGTCCATGGTATGCATCCCCCGGCATTCCTCCGTATGCTCTGGAAACTGTATCTGACTGTCGATTGAACTGTTGGTTCAGGGGGTACAATACAACTCCTACTACCGGTATCCCTGTCCGGATATCATTCGGGGAAATATCAACGCTATTCCAGGCTCTCCACGTTTTATGCGCATGTGTTGACTGAATGTATTCCTCGATCTTTTCGTCATGATGTGTGCTTCAGGTGGCTTGAATATCAGCCTCGTGGCTCTCGCCTGCCAATATAAGCGCGGATGCGGTTCTCGCAATGCAATGCTGAGGTCCGGCTTGGCGTTCTGGACTTCTCTTCCTGGGTTCTCAATAGGTATGGCCGGACCTGAGGCCTGAGGCCTGAGCGCTGAGCTGTCGACGACTTGACACCGCACATCCATATTCTCTGCGGCAATGTATTCACTAAACTCCAGCGGCCCGGTGCATTCCTCCGACTCCGTCCACCTGCCATCCTCTTGAATGCAAGGCACCTTGATCCACTAGGGCTTATTCTTCACAGACATACGCTGGACTCGTTAATAACTGCTTTACCTCGGCTAATGGATTGTCTCCTGACACGATCGGACAATTCCTGGTGCTACGCTCAAGCTTCTCTGTTTCTCCGTTTTGCAAGTGAGTACGGAATAAAAGCATCTCAGTCTGACACCTGGTGGACAAAGACTTTTCTGTATACTGCTCACCATGACGCTACGGGTCTTCGCTTTGCTTCTCACTCTTCCAGCCATAATACTGTCACAATCAAGTACGTGTTGTGTTCCAGCCTCGCGCTCGTTCACTGATTCTCCTCCCTCGTAGCATGTGATACGCCATCCACCATTGCTGGATATAGCAACGCCATGCTGCCCGACCCGTTCCAGTTCCCGAACGGAACGCGCGTGACCACTGTTGACGAGTGGAACTGCCGCCGAAGCCAGATCGCAGCCTTGGTACAAGGGTACGAAGCTGGTACCCTCCCGCCAAAGCCGTCCAGCGTCACGGGCTCGTTCTCCGGGAACACACTCACGGTGAACGTTAACAACGGGGGCTCGTCGATCTCGTTTGCCAACACCATCACCTATCCTTCCGGAACGGCGCCTGCTGGGGGATGGCCGCTGCTGATCGCGTACGATGGTGGTAGCATTCCGGTTCCGAGTGGCGTACGTTATCAGCAACGTCTACACCAACTTCTTCCCCTAATGTATCCTGATCCAGGTCGCCGTACTCAACTACAACATCGGCAACATCGCACAGCAGACTGACACCACCAGCCGCGGAGTCGGCCTCTTCTATAACCTCTACGGCAAGACGGCTACCGCATCCGCGATGACCGCCTGGGTTTGGGGTCTCAGCAGGATCATCGACGTCCTCGAAGTGACGCCAGCGGCCATGGTCAACACCGCCAAGCTCGCGGTTACTGGTTGCTCCCGCGACGGCAAGGGCGCGCTCATGGCTGGCGCCTTCGAGCCCCGCATCGCCCTCACAATCGCGCAGGAGTCCGGCGCGGGCGGCGACGCCTGCTGGCGCATCACGAAGACGGAGGGTGACGAGGGCGTTGGCGTGCAGCCCTCGACGGAGATCGTCCAAGAAAACGTCTGGTTCTCGACCAATTTCAACAACTACGTCAGTAACCTGAATGTCCTCCCGTACGACCACCACCTGCTCGCGGCGATGATCGCCCCCCGCGCGCTGCTCTCGTACGGCAATACGGACTACGCGTGGCTCAGCCCGATGAGCAGCTGGGGCTGCATGAACGCCGCGCACACGGTCTGGCAGGCGCTGGGCGTGCCGCAGAACCACGGGTTCGTCGAGGTCGGCGGGCACGCGCACTGCGCGTTCCCGACCTCGCTCGTGCAGGGTTTGGACGCCTTCTTCGACACCTTCCTATTGGGCCAAACCGTCAGCACCGATTACTTCAGCACGAACAATGTGTTCGGAAGTGCTCAGTGGGTTCCGGCGAACTTCATCAACTGGACGGCGCCGGCTCTCACGGGATCGTCTACTTCGTCTTCCACCTCGGTCATCTCCTCAATCACCCCCACCCCCGTCCCTACCACCTCACCAACAACGGTTCCAACTACGTCTGCTCCAGCACCCACCGGTGCACCAGTTGCGAAGTGGGGACAGGTACGGCTCATCGTCTGAACCCATAAGTTTATACAGCAGACCAAACTACTTTCACAGTGCGGTGGTATTGGTTGGACGGGGTCGTGAGTAACATCTCAAAACCCGGAACACTGAACGACTGATCATCCGTCAATAGCACAACTTGCACGTCCGGAACAACATGCACGGTACTTAACGCCTATTACGTGCGTGTAGACTTTCTGCCCGGTGCATGCGCTCATGATCGCGTTCACAGTCGCAATGCCTATAGGCAGGGCTCAGAAAGGCAGTTTATACTTACTCATAGTGCTCTTCGTCGATGATGTTCGGAGTTGCTGGATCAAAGCTCGTGTACCGCTCTAAATAACATTTGCTGGTATTGAGGAGGCTGTACTTCGCTTGAGCAGGAAAATCGGATGAACCGTGTCCTTACGGTTTCTTCGAATGCGCGTACGTTGCCTCAAGGCGCGACTGCACGTACTCTCCCGCAGTAACCACCTCGTACTTCGGAGGATTGTCATCCGAGACGCATGATGGGAGAGCCTGTGGTGTGTGGAAGTGTATCAGTGAGGCATTCGAAGGATGGCCTATGACGTACCTCAAGTTTCACCTCGTAGTCGGTGCCGAAAAACAAGGGAATAGAATATCGTTCGACGCCCGAGCGATTCACGGCGCGATGCATCGTTGATTTGAAGACGTCGTTTGTCCACCGGGCGAGTTGATCTCCGATGCTACGAATCGCGATTAGAGGGAGAGATTGGAGCGGCAGTCTGGGGAACCTTACTTCAGGACGACAGTGCCCGGGATAGGAACCGCATCTATCCATTTCCCATCCGCATTGAGCACCTGGAGAGCCTGAACGGAGGGATCTTGCCAGAGGATCGTAAAGCACTATCGTGGATCATGAGGCTGGCATCGCTTGAGTGAGGTCAAGGCAGCACGGACCTCATAGCTAACAGAGATTCGTATGGTTGGACTGGAGATAAAACATGAATTGAATCGACGTACTCGGTGTGAGCACCGATGCCGATGACGCGGTCGTCTACGACACCGGTCTGAGGAGGATAATATAAGAGCCGCATGATAGCAGCAGGTTTTGTTGTCTACGAAACGAACTCGGTTCACCGGTCAGGCATCTACTGACAGGATGTCACTTGACCTGTGCGCACCTTATCGTCGAAGAAATTCTCCGGAAGATCGAGGGCTAGGGCGAAAAGACGGAACAAGGTCTGGCCAAGGTCAATGGCCGCATGACTAGGTATTCGATGAAATATTGGCGACAAACTGCGTGAGGATACGAGACATACTAGTATTGGAGGACCTTGCCCTTGAATTCCGGAAGCAGCTTCTCGTCGGGCCAAACATTACCACCGCTCATAGCGCCTTCCGTCCGGGCGGCGCCTGTGTATCCCGGCGCTTCTTCATCGGACCATCCGATATCGAAACCTTCGTGCATGTCTCCTCGGTTTTCCGGGTTCGTGTTCTCGCCGAGAAGGGCGGTGTAACTGCCGTTTCAAGGCTCAGCACGGATGTGATCGTCGATGACAAAACGCGGCAGTTAGGGTCAGACCGCACCCTTTGAAGTTCGGGGTCTTGTGGATATCGAGCTGAGAGCAGTGCGAAGCGTGAGCGCTCATACTCTGGTGGAGAAAAGAAAAACAGATCCGAGTCGCACCTCCATCTTTGTCTCGAGCGGTAGCTTAAAAAACTCCTTCGCGCTGTCCACAGTCTTCTCGATAACGGGTTCCGGGATGCCGTGATTTTTTACTACCATTCATAAACAAATGTCAGCTCACTATCAAACGCTCAGGGGCCGGCAGGCGAAGTAGTCGGAACTGACTGTAGAAGAACCCGACGTTCACGCAGGCATCTCGCATCTGGTCCGCAAGCGCTCTCCGCACGATTGGGTCCGTGCTGTTAGCATTCGAGAAGTCGCTGAATAGTTCGTGATTTGTGTCAGCCTCTTATACTTGCACGAAAGTGACAAGTACGATTGCGAACATTACCGGGATCTCCTCGAACGTGCTCGAGGAACGCTCATTGGCAAACAGCATCTCTACAGGCGACATAGTACTGACTGGACGCTTTGCAGGATCGCGACAAGATTTGCGACAAGATTTGGGACGGTATCATTGACCAAATGGCCTGTGAACGATCGGTCGGCCGAACCGGATGCCTACGGCAGCATGTCACGGAGACTCAGAGCCCAGCCGCCCGTGAGTTCTTAGTCACGTGTTCGAGCGTAGCGGTAACGCGACTTAACTTCCGCGAGGTTTCCCCGTATTTCTTGTGCAAACGTACCTCGCCGGCCCGATTACGTTCCTCGAGACTAATGACGAGAGAGCGCATGGTCTGCGCACTGTCTCCGATGCAGATGCTCGATAGGAGATATCGTATATGTTGGACTTACTTAAAATCTGCTTGATCCCGTGCAAGTCTCGTTCACGCTGTCCTGAACCATCATGAAGTTCTCGAACGGTACATGGGATGTAAAGGAGGGGATAGATTGGCGGTCAGTGCGACCATATTCTTGGAGCGCTTTCCTACATGTCTGAAACTCTTCGTATGACGCAGACCAGCCGTTGAAGTGTCCAAGCTAACAGTAACGCCGGAGAGCCTGAGAGCCCTCACGACCACAAGACACATTCGTCACCGTGGAGACACGCTCAACAAACCGACTATTACGGTCACCCTCACCTCGCCTCTGGAAGGCGTCGTTGAGTTGACTGCGACGCACTTCCTCGTACGTAGACCGTCCCCGTCTCCTCCGGGTGCTCTACTGATCCTGCATGTATGCGTTGTAGGGAAAACCCGCACACAAGGAGTCACGATTTGAACGGTTTCCCGACTTCGATGGCAAAGCACCTGAAAGCTTGAAGCCAATCATTCAGACCGGCCACGACGAAAATGCAGGCCAGGCATCTCTGACGGCGGGCTCGTTGAGCGCGGAGATCGACACCAAGGCTGACGCCTTCAACGTGGACTTCAAGTCAAATGGCAAGAAATTGACTGATATCGGCTGGAACTCAATCGCGTGCGTGTGTCTTTGGCGCAGTTCTCGCAATGCTGAAATTGCATGGCTGATGTGCATGCGAAACACCAGGTATGTTACGGATGCGCTGCACACCGGGCGCTCGATGGAGGCAGCCTGGGCAACTACAACGAACGTCGAGGCCTATGCTCGACCACCTTTATGGCCCACGGGACACCGACAACCCTACATGGTCCTAGGTTTTGGCCTGGTCCCAGGAGAGACCTTCTACGGCCTCGGCGAGCGCTTCGGTCCCTTCGTTAAGAATGGTCAAATGATCGGTTGGTCGATTCCATGGATGCATTCTCTACTTTCGCTCACGACTATCGATAGACATGTGGCATGAGGATGGTGGAACGGACTCATCCATTGGTGGGCACTTTGAGTGAACCGCTATCCGAAACAGGCTGATACGAATTCCCTACAGCTTACAAGAACGTGCCTTTCTATATGAGCTCCGAAGGTAGATCTTTCCTACCCCCGTGCATCGTGTGCATTCAAAGCAAGTCGCATAGGTTATGGCGTATTCGTCGACCACTCCGACGCCGTGAGCTTCGAGGTTCAGTCCGAACGCATGAACAAGGTAGGTATCAACTCTGGCAATGGGAGCATGAAATGCTGATCTCCATTAGGTACAAATCTCCGTACCAGGGGAAACGATCCGCGTATTGGTCATAAACGGTCCCTCCCCCAAGGCGATATTGGAGCGGTATACGGCGATCCTCGGACGTCCTGCCGCGCCTGCACCATGGACCTACGGATTGTGGCTCACCACGTCGTTCTTGACTAGTTACGATGAGAAGAGTAAGTCGACAAATCCTGGCAAGATTGGTTTCCTCCGACGTTCTTTACAGCGGTCACAACGTTCGTTGACGGAATGGCCGAGGTATGAGACGCTGTTTCAAACCAACGAGTGTAACCCGACTTATGGACGGCTGGACCTCAGCGCGGCATTCCACTCAGTGTATTCCAGTTCGTGTTCCCGCTTGGATCCACGCTTTAGATCGCCTAACTTGTCGGCAGCTTCGATTGCTTCTGGATGAAGGGTCACCAATGGTGCGACTTCGAATTTGACAAGGAGTACTTCCCGGATCCCGAAGGTTTTATTGGGAGACTCAAACAGAAAGGCCTTAAGATATGCGTCTGGGTGAGCATCAATAAAAAGAGACGGCTATCTGATCGTGAGTAACGTACTTTGGTACCTAGATCAATTCTTGGATCGCCCAGGAATCAGTGCTGTTCGCCGAAGGAGACGAGAAAGGATACTTCATCAAGCGGTTGGGTACGTACTTTCTTTGAACAACCGAGAAAGGGGCTTGCTGAAAGACATTGGTGGATAGATGGTTCCACCTGGCAGACCGATCGATGGCAGGCCGGTATGGCGATCGTTGACTGTGAGTAGTCGAGTCAAGATCACCGCCTAAGCCATGATCTTGACCGTCAACGTCAAGTCACCAACCCAGAAGCCACCCAATGGTACCAATCGCATTTGGTTTGTTTTTCGGAAATTTACATCTGCCATCCAACCTGACGTTCCTCCCAGATCCGTCTCATGCGCATGGGCGTCGACGCCTTCAAGACCGACTTCGCAGAACGCATCCCTTTCGAAGGTGTCAAGTACTTCGACGGTTCGGATCCCAGAATTGCGCACAATTTGTACGTTAGCATCTGTATCGTTTTTCTTGCTTAGCACCTGAAAACAAGCAAAGCTACACGTTCTTGTACAACAAAGCGGTATACGAAGCTATGGTACAAGAAAGGGGACCGAAAGAGGCCTGCTTGTTCGCCAGGAGTGCGACTGCAGGAGGACAACGGTTAGTCAATCGCCAGCCTTGGCAGGTTTTTGTTGTCCTTCGCTAATGCGCGCTGCGGCAGATTCCCCGTCCAGTGAGTTCGCTTAATTGCATCGCGTAGTTCCAATCAAAGGTTCTGAACACCACGGAAAACAGCTGGGGAGGCGATTGTGGTGCGTAAGATCACATATCTGTACCTCGAACGAGTGTTCAAACTTCTTAACAGCAACCTTATGGACGGGTATGGCCGAGTCTTTACGCGGTGTATGTCCTCGCGATCCATTCAAGGACGGAATAATTCAACATCGTTGATATCTGTAGGGGCTCTCCCTCGGTCTGTCAGGTTTCGGCTTCCATGCCACCGACATTGGTGCGTCTGCAAACTGCATACTCCCACCGTCTTAGAAAACAATCCACCGACCGAATGGCACTAGGCGGTTTCAAGACTCCGGGCGATCGACCCATTCCTCCTGATCCTGTCCTCTATAAGGTGCGGAATCTTACGATGGCTGCGTGCTTTATCTAACACCCATGAACGATAGCGCTGGATTCAATGTGCGTACTGCGTCCAGCACAGACACTATGATCTAAAACCGTGATGTGTCTAACAGGGGGCCTGCTCGCCTCGCACTCTCGCCTGCATGGCTCGACGCAATACAGAGTGCCATGGGAGATTGAACCGGACTCACCCGAGTCCTCTGAAGTTCTCAAGCAGAGTGTCTTGCTGAAACACCGTCTGATGCCATACACCTTAGCTGCTGGCGCGGAGGCGCACGAGAAGGGAGTGCCCGTGCTGCGGCCCATGTTCCTGGAGTTCCCTGAGGACCCGACGACTTGGGGACTTGATCGCCAGGTCAGTTCATAACTTCTGCTCTTCTTGCGGACGGTGACAGCGCGTTGACGTTACGACACGACTGCAGTATATGTTTGGTCCTAATTTGCTAGTCGCACCAATCTTCTCTGCGGAGGGGAAGGTAACCTATTACGTCCCGCATGGCCGATGGGTCGGTCTCGTCGATCGCAAAGAGCGACGAGGTCCGGCCTGGTTTACGGAGACGCACGATTTCTCGAGCTTGCCGCTCCTCGTCCGCCCGGGCTTCGTCGTTGTCATGGGCGTGGAAGACCAGGTTCCCACCTACGACTTCAGGGACGACTTCGAGGTCGTCGTGAACGGTGCGGGGGATGCGCCGGTTCCCGCGGTGGACGCTGGCACGGGCGCGGGTGATATCGTGAAGGTTGAGTGGAATGGGAGCAGAGTGTTGGTGGACGGCAAGGAGGCTCGGAATGTGAAAGTAACGTTGCTGTGATGATCCATGACATCGTATGCTGTTTGATATTATTCGGGGACCAGTGCGAATTGTCGCAAGATGGGATGACAAGTACTACTTGAGTACTACTTGGCCTTCAACTGACCCATCCGAAGCTCTTTGATGCTCAGGCGTGGATTGTCGAGAAGCGGAGTTGCACGCGCGCGATGCTGCGATCTGAGCCCACAAGCGCGTGGGTATGTAAAGGTAACCTCGCTTTGCCGCTGCCCCGACGACACCCACCTTCATGACAACCAGTAGATCTACCACTCGTGAAAGGATCCGCATTCCGCCAAGGACCTCCTTTCCACCATCTTTCAAGAGCAGAATTGTGCTGGGAGTAGTACAGCGTGCATCAAGACGCTGTGGTTGAACCGACGAAGGCTCTGCTATCCTTCAGTGCTTGCCGATTGCTTAGCTCTACCATCAACCGCGGACGGATCAGTGACTTTGATGCCCTGCCGGTGAAGAGAGACCGCGTCGACCTGCAGCGCGCAAATTCAGCAGACGGTCGCACTGATGATGCGTGATCTCATGGCCCCATGCTATGCAACACCATCAAAGTTGGTCCGCATAATCGTCCGACCCGCACGCTTTTGATCGGTCCATGGCAACGAGAACCGGTGCTCGTTTTGAACCATGCTCAGACGAGAGGCTGGTATAAAACGACCCAGATGCTCCCTCTGCTGTCCTCTAGTCTCGTTCTCTCTTCCTTCAGACCCATCCGACTGAGTCGGCAGCCTTCATACTTCGCTTCACCTAGCCTAACGCCGGACGTACCTTACGCCTCGCATCTGTCCCTCCTTACTTGACGACTAGCTCGATCCAAATCCCCCCACGCCAATTTCGAAGCAAAGATGAAGTTCTCCAACAACTTTATGATTCTCGCTGCCGTCCTCGTCGCATCCGTGGCGTCAATCCCCATTAAGAGAGACGTGGACCCCGCCCTCGTGCCCGACTTCGGTCATGCCGCGAATGTTAACCCCACCGGCACTGGTGACTGCGATGGCGCCGTTAACGGTGCCAACGGCCAGCCGATCAAGGTTCCCTGCAGCTGCCCCCCTGACAGGCAAACCTTCATCAACGTGAACATTGCTTTCTCCTTCTACCGGCCACCGTCGCCTGATGATACTTTGTAGGACTTGAACGCGAACGTTGCCGCCGGCCACGCGGTCAACAACCCGTCGATCGCGGTCTCCTTCCCCTCCGACAACTCCCAGGCCTCGCAGCTCGCGCGCATCAACGCGGCGCTCGTCACCCTGCAGAACTTGAACGGCCCCGGTGTCGGCTGCCCGGCGTCCTCCACCACCTTCGTCGCGCAACAGCAGGCGATCCAGTCCGGCGCCACCAACCAGGCTGCCGCTGCTCCTGCCCCCGCTGCTCCCGCGCCGGCTCCTGCTGCCCCTGCGGACCCCATCGCGGCGTTGGCGCCCTCGCTCGGCTTCTCGAGCGGCGTGAACCCGACCGGCACCGGCGACTGCGACGGTGCCGTTATCGGTGCGAATGGCCAGCCCGTCAAGATTCCTTGCAGCTGCCCGCCGGCACAGGACGTCTACATCAACGCCCTCAAGGCGAACGTCGCTGCCGGCCACGCTGTCAACAACCCCTCGATCGCCGTCAGCTTCCCGACGGACGGCTCGAACGCGTCGCAGGCGGCCCGCATCCAGGCCGCGCTCGTGACTCTCCAGAACCTGAACGGCCCCGGCGTTGGCTGCCCCGCGGCGTCCACTACCCTCTCCGTAAGTCGCGACGCTTCCGAGTTACGTGGGCACGCCGCTGACTCGTTTGCAGGCCCAGCTCAAGGCCGTCCAGTAAACGGCAGTAGTTCGCAGTTAAAAGGAGTCTCGGGAAAAACCTCATCTTGTATCGATAACATAAGTTATTGGCGTAATATCTGGCTGTCGCAGCTTAATTGGTCCAGTGCCGTGGCATTCTGGATTTGACATGAAGATACCCGTTCGTGCGTGAGCGGAAAGAATCAATGTTAATAGCAACGTGAGATGGCCGGTAAAGACCGTACAAAACAACCGAAGACCAGAAGAATCATACGAAACGAACGAGCTGGAGACTTCAGACTTTCTTTCCTTTGCTCAGCCCTAATAACTTGTTCTTCACGTCTTTCCCTACCTTGGATCCACCCTGAACGACCTTCTGCTTCTTCTTCTCGCTCGAGGCGTCCGCGCTCCGTTTCTTGATGGGTTTCTCCGCGGTACTAGAAACGGCCGGAGTAATCGCCCCCTTCGCCGCCTTTGCAGGCTTTTCCGACTGTGATGCCAATTTGTTGGTCTTCGTCGTTGCAGATGTGGAGTCGGGACCGGTGGTAGCCTTCTGCTTCTGCTTAGCCTTGCCTTCGCGAGTAGGCTCCGCCTTTGTCGCAGAAGATGACTCTTCGTCGTCGAAGAGATCCGCCGCAAGGGCACGAGGACTCTTCGATTTCGGCGGCGAGGACGAGGCCTCGTCAGCATCGGAGATGACGACCTTCTTAGCCTTCTTGGGTGCCGCCTCGCTGGAGGATTTAGATGCAACATCAGACACCGCGGACTTGCTCGTCTTCTTGAACGCTGAGTCATGAGAGGATTTGGCAGTTGCGACCTTCGCGGACGATTTTGAGGATGAGGCGCTGGCGGATTTCGTTGCCGGTGCCGCACCATCTGAGGTGGCGGTGATGGTCGACTTCTTGGATTTAGGCTTGGCAGAGGACACTGGAGGCTCTGTGGCGGTAGTCGTAGATGATGGAGTAGACGCCGATGATATCGCCTTCTTGGCCTTCTTCTTGGTCGCCCCATCGCTATCTGACTCCAGGGCCCGCTTTTTGCCTTTCTCCTTGCCTTTCGGGGGAGATGGCGGCGCTTCCTCCATTTCCTCGTCCTCATCCCCGTCCCCATCCTCATCAGTATTCTCCGCCTCGCCCTCCGAGGAGCTCTCAACCTCAGGCTTCTTCGCAACGCCTCCTAACCATCGGTCCTCGAGATTGCAGGTCCAGACAGGCAGAGCCGCGCTTTGGTTCGTCTTCACGAGAACGCTTTGAATATTTTCCCATTCGCCCTTGATGTGCTTGACTATCGCCGGGAGCGCGAGTTGTATGTTCGCCATGATCTGAGCTTGTGTCTGAGACGCCAAGCCAACCTTAACCGAACTGCAAGGAGTCAGAATCGCGGGATACGTTGACGAAACCGCCCAGACAGCAGGTCGAGATGTGGGAGCTCTACTCACAGACATGTTCCCTGGTTTGGGTGCATATACGTAGACGATACCGCGCGTTCCAATTCGCCTTTTAGGTCTTTCCGTGTCATGCACACGGGAATTGGCTGCCTGTAGTCATAATGAGGTTAATGAAGGGGCAAAGTCTCATAAACAGCACGCACTTCTTCGCCTTAAAGAACATCCCGCCCAGAAGCTTCGGGAGTAGAGGTATGACTCGCTCATCTGCGAGGAAAAGCCCGTTCTCCTGCAGCAATAACCGCCTGGCCTCGAAAGGCTTGAACTTGCCCTTGAGCTTTTCGATTCCAACGACACGAGAGATGAACTTGATGTTGTGCGTTGCCAATAAGTCCTTGTATTCGCGCTGGGGATCCTTGACGATGAGACAGATGTTCGTTGTGCGCGGGTCGACGAGGGGGTGTTTGAGGGGTCTGCATTGCACACTGTCTTTTAACATGCAAGCCTTTGATGCACATTTAAGATCGAAACGTACATCTTGACCGGTTTAAGCTTCTTCTCCGGTTGCATTTGCTTGACCGTGATCTGAAGCCATACGTTCTGCTCCTTGCCGGGTATCAGTTCGTGTTCTTCCCGCTTTTTCTCGTAGGCGTGGACATGCTTGAGGAGGGCATCAACAGCGCGTTTACACTGTTCGACGGATACGTTGGAGGCAATGAGTTCGTCGTTTGCGACGGTCATAGCTAGAAATACAGGTGTAGCGTCCACTTGACGAGGAGGAATATCTTGGTAGAACTTTTCCAGACTCCGCTCTTAGCCCCGACCCGCTGGAGGTTCGGTCTCCGCCATGTACGTAATATACACTCTGTCTCATTCGTCAATCGTTCGGGTTCGACTGACTATCAATATCTGCTGGGGTAACATATACATGCATATGGCACTACCGGAAACATCTTCAGGATGAAGCTTTGAAATTCCACCTTCAAGTCCGGTGCACCAGCCATCTTACAACTTGAAAATATCCGCGTTGACAGGAATGGCTTGTACGACGGGTATCCAAAACACGCGTACGCCTTCAACGTTCACCAGGGAATCAGCAATCAGAGATGCGGTATCTTCACTCAGGACCCATGTATCACCGGCATTCGTCGTACCAGTTGTCGACCTCGGAGCCGAATACATCGCGTGGATTACACTCGATCGCGCGATGACCCCAGTACTGCGTCTTCGTAACGCGAAACACGCCAACGCGACGGGTCCTCCAAACAGGGGACCCGATTTCCTTCTCTATATAGCCCCATCACCAGTAGTGTGTGGGCCGTCCGAGGGCGCGGCGTACATCCATCAAAACGTCGGTTTGAAGCGTTGATAGGAGTGAAGGGCCCATAAACCCACTCGGTAACCCTCGGGACTCGGGGAAAGTGAGCACGCATAGACTGTTACCAAGATAGCTAGGTAGAACCTCGTGGCCGCGCTCGTCGGGCAGAAGGAGCAGCGTACGAACGGTACGGACAATGACATGGGGATGCAACCGACGTGTGGGTTCCATGCACCCGCCCTGATACGACTCGGCTTCGGTCGCACAAACATAAGCTGGATCAGTCACCCTCATCTAAGAGGCGATGTAGCATGAGCACAGCGAGAAGGGCGAGTGATGATTCTCTTGATTCATAGTTTACTGGGAAAAGATTCTAGTCCCGCGCGAACGCCGGTGTACAATATGCCTGTCGTCAGCTCTCCTCGTTCCGCACTCGCCCACCAGTCGCAGATGGCATTTGTCACCTCGTCTCGTTTCTGTACGGAAATACGCGAGCACATCAGTTGACTGTCAGACCTTCCCGGGCAAGATCAACCTACCCCGGTGAAGTTATGATCTGCCTCGTCCACGTAATGCAAGTTATGAGTGCCCGGTGAGCGAGAGCCTAGCGCCCTCGCCCAGATCGTGGCATCATATCTATACGTCTCGGAACATCATCTCTCGTGGCTCCCTCAACGTGCTCTCATGGACTTACGGAGGGACAGTAGTGTCGGCTATCCCATGAATAGTCAAGGCATGGACGTGGGCGGGGAAGCGATCCCAGACGAGTGAATTGTCCCATGTAGCGAAAGCTTCGACGTCTTTTGGGCGAATGATCCCGGTCACGGGCTTGCCTGCCACGCGAACGTTCCATTCGTAGAATCCTCTAGCCTCGAACTGCTCCTTGTACGTGGTATTGAAGCGCTCTGCATTCACCAAGAAGAACGTTAGTTGCTTTGGGGAAAGGCCCACAGAAGCACCCACCCAGCATCTTCTTGATTGACATGTCAGCTGAATTGTAGTAGGATCATGCAATGGGATGTCACATACGTGCATCCTATATCGACCCGAGCAGTTCACGAATCCTCTGACTGTCTTTGCCTCCTCCGCAGTGCATACCCAGCGATAACCGATGATGCTGCCACGAGAATGTCCCACGAGGAGGTCTATCACGTATCCGAACTCCTTGATCAGATAGTCGGCGACGACCTGCAGGTCTTCCACGTCCTCCGCCAAAGCACCGGTATTCCATGTCCCTGGAGTCTCGTGGTTGCCTCTGCCATGTGCAATTACAGCATGAACACGATACCTCAGGAGCGTGGGGCCTCACCTGAAGTCGAATCTGAAACTGTCTAACGGGAGGCGCTGTGCGAGTCCCCGCTGATACAGATAGTCTTTATGTCTGAGTCACATAGATGATGCTGATGTCACGAGCTCATACAATGCGTGGGCCGCACCCGAGAGTCCCATGGAGTATCTTCAACAACCAGTTAAGTCCGACGCGAAGACAGTCGTCAAGTAAGCGGCACGAACAAGTGCGATCTTCCGTCCCTGCGTTGGCTTGTCCGGTTCAAGTCGCTCCAATACTCCCGCTATTGGACAGTCCGGGGCAAACGTATGCGGCACGCTCAGACGCGTGGACGTCCGAGTAGACATGGGCAAAGTATATCCTGATGCCAACCAGTTGGGGCGCGCAAGGTTGTCGGTGGGTCAAGACAACGTGCCGCTATGCCATGCAATCCGACGCCCCCATCCGCACATGTCATTGTCCCGCATACGAGCGGGGATTGGACGAACCGGTGTGTGAACTGTGCCGGTCGAGAGTACCCGCTTTGCCGGTCACGACCCCCGCGCGGCGACTGGATCAAATCGGTCCCGGGATTCTCTGGACGCCATCGACGTTCTCGACACTCGACTCAATCTGAATACTAAGAGCTAGAAGCACAAGGTCAAAATGATCTCAGCTCGGACTTGCCTATAGCGTGGCGTCGGCTTGAATCCGTATGGAACACTTGGGAATGGCAGGGTCTCCTCATGGGCCCGGGTGGGACCCTTGACGTGGTGCTGAATGACTAGAAGCTCTACACCAACTTATTCTCGGAGACTGTCAAGATGCGAGCCACCTTCTTCTTCCCGGTTCAATCCTGGTTGGCAATGGTGTAACCGTCGAGAACTCCAATCACTCGCGGTTCGGTTTCTTCTTCTTCTCGTTTCACAGACAGTATAGTACCGGATCCGAAGTGCTCTGCGGATCTGAAGGCCGCGCGCCGTCTCTGGGAATGTCCAGAACGCGTCACAGGACAACGTGAATTTGTTACTGCCACGTACTATGTCGCAGAATCGCGACGCGCAGCACTGGGTGCATAGGTATAAGTCGCTAGTTGCAAGAACGCGATGATCGAGGGCAATTGTCCCCGAGATCCGGTACAGAAATCATCCGGATCTGCGGAAGCCAAAAAATGAAATACAATACCAGTGCACGCTCAGCGATTCGCAGAACCCACGGCATCGTATTCCCCGAATGCTTGCTTGAGTGGCCAGATGTACCGCCACGTTCCATTTGCGTATTCTCTTCCCAACAATAGTGCGAGGGAGCAGCGAAGACGACGACGGCTACTGTATTGGAGTGATGTGGGATACAGACAGTTCACGTACGACGCTATGTACTAGAGACTTCTGCCAAATATGAATACATAACGTATTGGGTGGTGGAGAACGAACGCAATGCGGGAAGTTGCACGAACGAAGGTGGGCACAACATTAATCTAGAAAAGACGAGACGACTAGCTATTAAAACATTGGATTGGAGAAAGTTCCTGGACTAGAGCATATCCGATCCATTGCATACATGTAGATTCAGTGTTGGTGGGCCCCTGAGAGAGAGAAAATCCCGGGACGATGGTGTTGTGACCGGCCGGAGGAATTAAAGGTCGCTGTGCGACCGAACCTCGGCCATTAGTGGGTTGGTGGTACGGATACGGGGATTATGTTGGCGTGATTAAGGGGAAAGCGGACGATGTCGGTGCATGTCCTCAGTTCCGCCGGCACTGGGATCCGTGCCGCAGAATATCCGCACCAGAGCCGTTAACGCTGAGGCGTGGCGGCGGAAGAAAGATCTGGCGCGAGCATGTCAGATCGTCATCGAAGACAGCGTATGTGCCGTGATGTCTGCTCACCACCGGGAATTCAGAAGAAAGTCGGGCCGTTGCTGCTCGCGCCGCTGCGAATTGGGCCACCCTGGGAACCGCTGCCCGATTGCGGCTTGGAAGTGGACCCAGAGGGCTTGGAGGCGGGAGGCTTGGAGAACAGGGAGAACATCGCGAGTGTTGACGAGGATGAACGGGTGTGGTGCGGTTTGCAGGACGCCAAAGGGCTGGTTGGGTGGTATGATCAAGGTGTCGAGGAAGTTACACCGAGATCCAGACGATGTTCTGTCTGGAGGGGAGCAGTAGAGGATATGAAGATGCCCAGTTAGCGGACATCGGCGCCTCTTATATAGCCCACACTGTCTCACCGCCATACCCAGCAGACGCACCTTATTGACTCGAGACGAGTTCGGCCACGGTACCGCCTCTAGACAACTCGCCGCGGGTGCGAATCGCCTGAAACGTCATCCTGCTACGGCGTCCCCCTGCGACGGAACAGGGGAGGGGCGGCATACGTATCCATCAACGCCCTGGAAAAGTCCGCCCGGAAATCTCGTGCACCGCACAAAAAGGCAACATCATCATTACGGAGATCCGCGATCTTCGTGGCTGTTGTCGACTCAAAATGTAGGGATTGACGAGATACGGTTGAAGAGGGAGGCTTCTTCTCCCTTGCGCCAATGGAATCTCCGCAAGAAGCCGCATGCCGGATTAGTCTGCTCCTGCGGCGTCGGAGTCAGTGTCCCGGCTTTGCCATGTATATACCGCTCTTCACGAAGAGAGTTTGTCCGTTCCGCGTGTGGGAGAAGTCGGGGCGGAAGGACGGTCAGCGGCGAGCCACGCGATCAATGTATGGCTGTTCTTCGCCTTGTTTCACTGCCTTTCACCCGGCCTCTCTCACCCAAGCGCATTCTTTGGCCTTTTCCCGTCTAGCGGCATAGCCAAACGCGAACGTATTGCAAAATAATATCAGTGCCTGGCTTGCTTTGCTGGCGTGGGTACTCCTTGGCCGGGTGCATTCCCTCGTCACTCGAAGCTGTGGAACAGGTCGTACCGTCGTACCCGCGCTGCGATGCAACCTGTCTAGGGCCTTCAGGCACATTGTTTTCTGCACGCTTCTCTCGCTGAAAGAACGAGAATTAGCCAGGCTAGAATGTCCATCAAATTCAAGCTTCCGTCCTCGACCCTGGTAGGTAGGTCGACGCCGCGGCGCGTGGGACCTCGGGAATCCCAATCTCGTGCTACGTGCCCGCAGCTTGATGTTCCCGAAAGCGCTTGCTGCGATGCGCTACGCTTTTCCCCGCATAGCTCGATGCGGGTCGCTCTGACGCTCTTCTTGTGTTTTATCTCTGCCCATTAGGCACCGAGAAGACCGAGCTTATGGAAATGGGCCTTCCCTTCAACTGTGGTATTCTCGGTCGCGCGCTTATGGCTTTGGGTGCCTCCTTATCTTCCCAGTTCAAAACGAAAACTTTGCCGAATGACCAATCGGTTGACCTCTGGTAGAGGCGCAAGTTTAACCTGACGCTTCGTCGCCATGGGTACGGAGATGTCCAGGCCATACAGCTGCGGACGATATTTTCATCTGCACAGATGTCGCACAATGGCGAGCAGTCTGACTCAGGGATACGCACATACTGCCATCCGGCGCCGAGGATTCTATCGGCGGTCTAGTACCGTACGTGTACCACGCCACCACCGACACCGAAAGCAAAGACGCTTCTGCTTCTGTTGAACTGACAATACACTTATTCTCTTTAGAGTTGAGTTCGAGCTCTCAACCATCGATGACCACTACACGCACTGTTCCCGAGGCGTCTGCCTATTTCCGGAATGTCCTCGGACATCTCAGGTTACATAGGTGAGTGTCAGTGTCCCACTTATTCATCCGATCTTCATTCAAGGCCTACAACAATCGCTCGATCGGGCATACTAATGATGACGTTTTGGCGCAGCACCTCGGGCGGTCGTGCCAGTGGTGGGAGGCACAGTCAAAGATCTCAATCTGGCTCCTGTATCAGCGCGGCCATACAGATTCCAGACTTAGACTGCGTCGCCGCTACGAAGCCCAGTTCTAATAACGATTTGGCTCGCTTATGCTGTGCTCTTCATTGTGTAGAGGTTCCTGATCGCGCCGGCCAGCCGCCGGCCATGTATGGCAGTAGGGCGCTTACACGCTCGCTCACCCCCGGGCGAGTGGCACCGAGTTGTACTGGTACGTCTCCGCGATCTCTTCACGGAGAGCGGAGGTCGCGCGATATGATACCTGGAACGCACGCCGCGTGCATATGTCCCTGCAGCTCGTCAGTGTCGCATCATGCTTCTAGTCGGTTCGGTCGTGCAGCTGAGTCGCCGACCTTTTCAAACGCTCCCGTTCCTTCTCTGACGTGGCGGGAGCGACCGCCACGCCACGCCCGCCCGCCCCCTCCCTATCCGGCTTCGGATTCCACAGCGCTATAGTGGTCCGCGCCTTCTGAGGCCGTCGGCATCGGCGAATCACCCGCGCACGCGTCTTCTGTCCTCTCTTCCACCACGGGCCGCCCACCTTAGTTCTCGTCATCCCCAGTGGGCTCTGATGCAGGTCACTTTGGAAGCAAATTTGCACTCCCTTCCCCGGTCGCCAGCCGCCGGATTCGCCCGCGGGCGTCACCGTTTTCGGCAGTGCAGCCGACTTCAGCGACTGGCGAGAAAAACGGACTACAAGCCACCACTCGCGTCGCCTTCGATCTAAGTACGGACGAGTTCGCCGTCGCGTCGAAGCCTCCGTCGGCCCGTGCTACTCGGACGGTCGTATCGGACGGTCGTATGATCGGTGGAAAAGAGGAAGAGAAGCTACAGGAAGAGAGAGGGAGCGAGGGAATGCGCACGCAAGGCACGGTCCGTGGCTTGGACACCGGTGAGGATCCGATCCCTGGTGGCTTCGTCGCGGAACCAATGGTACGGGCTCCGCGGCACGAGCTGTCCAAAGCGCACGGGCTTCGCCATCATGGTTCGTTCCCATCCGCGTCTACAGCTTATTCTCCTGGGTTGGTCTCATGCTCGCTAAGGCTCCAAAGCGCTCCCGCACCCTGTCTCAGCAACCGAAGGTGTCAAAATCCGTATACATTTCTTTGCACGGTCTCCTGATCAAGCTACATGCGATGTGGAGAAGAAGGGAGGCATGGCATGTGCCTCAATCTGCAAAATTTCGAGGTCATACGACGGATACTCTTATTGTATTCCGAACCCACACAATCCCCTACGAGACCGCGGAACCTCTCATACTACTTCGCAGATGATCTTGCCGCTACGAAAACAGCGCGCGTCCGTGGGTTAGATTCCCGACGCGCAGCATGAGAGTGAAAACAGCGATGCGTACCTGTTCGAGTTTCCCTGCATGCACGCATGCGCCTTCTGAATATCATGCCAACCATACACCTGCCGAAACAAGCGACCCACACGTCAGTAAAATAAGCTGAAACGTTCTCGGGATATCTGGGCTGGCAACAAGGCTCGCGAAGGCAGAAGGAGCAGAAGCAGGTATACGCACGTGGTAGATGTACGTCCGGATTTGCCCATCGCCCTTCTCGCCCGTGATCTTGTCGGAGACTTCGGTTTGGAAACTATAGCCGTTCAGACGTTCCGTCAGCGAGAGCGCGTTTCAACCTTTTCGTGCGCGTGAGGTGGCGGCATGAGCCGAACAACAATCGCCGGGGACGGGGCTAGCCCCTTCCCGGGGATGGAATTCAAGGCACTTCGAGGTGGGCATGCATCGGCTGGAACAACATACCGGCGGATAAGCTCAGCTTGGTACTCCACAGAGCGTGCGCGGAGGGTCGCTGTAGAAACAGAAAATCTCAGCAACTGAACAATGAGAAGGGATGGCTGAGGAACACAAAAAGGGTGCTGGTTGGTGCCTCGGCAATCGCTACGATCACAGAATGGGATGGGAAGAAAGGTAGTATGGCAATGCGCATGCTACTCACAGCCCTGGATCCGCAGACGCTTGTACAAGATTGGCATGAGGTTTGCTTTGGGAACTTCGGCGCCTGTTGATCGATCGTGTCAGAGAATGATTTGCAATACGACGCTCGCATGCCACGACACGTCATGAAGGATTGTAGGCCCAACGGAGAGTGCGCCACAAACACGGAAACTTTGCTCGCGGACATCGTCTGCCGACGCACACAGGTGGGTCATGTCAATAACAAGCGTGTCACGATGTCGGCTGTGCCATCATAGCGCCTGGCCAGGGAAATCGTCGCGGCTAAACCTGCGTGTACTTCCACGCCCAGCCGGGACCCATCCTTCGGCAACAACAGCCGTAAGGCATCGTCGATGCACCCCGAAAATAACGTTGCAGCCATTCAAAACGCTCACCGCTCATGAGCGCCAACATCGTCATGCGCCCGTCGACTGCCAGCGCGTCGATGTTCCGCGCCCAATGGCTCTGGCCCACGAAATCGATGACGACGTCGGCGCCGTGCCCGTCCGTGACCTTCTTCACTTCTTCCGCAAAGTCCTGCGTCTTGTAGTTGACGGCGTGCGTCGGCCCGGCGGGCAAGGAAAGCAACCACGAAAGCTTCTCGGACGTCGAAGCGGTGGCGGTGATCGTCTTCCTGGGGGAGGAGTTGATCTCACGTTAGTATTGCGCCACGCGAGGGTAGGTCACAGACGCGGTGACGTACGCGCCGTAGAGCCTGGCGAGTTGGGCGGCGGCTACCTGTGTTCGACACGCGTCAGTAGGCGGGCAATGGAGCCATAGCCATATCGGCGAGCGCATCGCGTACCCCGACGCCGGACGCGCCAGCATGGATTAGGACGTGTTCGCCCTTCTGCAGACCCCCAATGAGGATCAGAGCCTGGAACGCTGGAGGTCATTTGGTCAGTCAAGCGGCAGAATCGGTTTGGATAACATGACCTACCTGTCAGGAAGTTTTCCGGTAGGGAGGCAGCTTCGACCCAGTTCAGGTGCGCCGGTTTCTTCAGCACGTGTGTCGCGGGCAAGACGATGTATTCAGCGTAGGCACCCTAGTCGAAAAGAGGAAAGGGGCCTAAGTTGCGACTCGATTTGGTTTGCATCGGAGACAAGACCTACCCCCGATGCTAGGCCGTACACTTCGTCATCTACGGCCCAGGCGTCAACGTCCGAACCCACCGCAGCCACCGTTCCAGCAAACTCGACCCCAAGGATCTGGTGGCAGGGTCAGTAAGCAACGGCTTCACGAATGATGCCCGCGAGTCGCAAAGCTGGATGTCTCGAAGCTCAAGGCACTGCTCCGACGTTCTGATATCGGAACGTGGAGAACGAGTGGCATGCAATACGCGATCGCCTTGATGATCGCAAGAAATCGTCGGAGGTACGATGCAAGTCCCCCTCGACCCCAAAGAAGGTAAAGCCCGGTTCGGGCATATGCGGCAAATCAGGACGGCCCTGTATGTCGTAAGGAAGACGTAATGCAGATAATCATAGCGGAGCCGTCTTCAACATGGCATGTCATGGGGAGAGCCGGTTTACCAGCAAGAAGTCAAGTGCGGCACACGTGCGATTGGAGACGACAATCATGCGGGACGGATTGCGCAGTGCGCCGATCCGGTATGAGATCGGCCCTCCCTGATACGGAACAAGGCAGACGAGCAATCTGTGAAGGGGGAAGAAGGATGGGAGAGGGAAGAGGCTCGGCAACTCGTTACGATGAAAGCTCCCAACGCACCTCCGATGCTCCCGGGGGAACGGGGTACTTGCCCTCCCGCTGGCTGATGTCCATTCGGTTGAGTCCGAAGGCACGAATCTGGCAGAAGAACAACAAGCGGATATTAACGAAAGGGTCATCAGGGCCGAACGGAGATGTCCAGGAATACAGCGATGGCCAGAGCGACCACCTGCAAGATCGCGCACACGATATCGCAACCCCATGCCATGCACGAACGCAAATCGCGATATGGCCACACTTGCGCCACGCCCGCCGCCATCGCCGCAAACCCAAACACCGAAAGAGAAAGATACTCACCTTCACGAGTACCTGGTCTGGTCCCGGAGAAGGTTTTGGGGCATCGCCGAGGTAGAGGTTCTCAATCGGTCCTTTGCCATCTCTGACCAACACCGCGCGCATCTGATTCTGAGCCATGGTTGGACTTGTACACGTTCGGTTTGTGGGTGTAAGGTACGAATACGCGATGAAACGAAAGAGAAGAGCTTGTTCTGGGCGGTCAGGACGTCGCAGGTTTTGTGTTCTGTGCGTGTCAGTGTGTGCGTCTTGACGCCATAAGCAATGGCATCATCGTGGTCGCTTTCTCAGCATATCCGGATATCCTTCACCGGTGGACCAATCACAGTTCCCGATAATATAGAATAGTATACGCGCATCGGAGCATAGCAGAAGAAGTATAAGATTACTGGCAGCTGCAAGGGTTGACCATAGAGGGAACTTGGATGGATTTATCCGCGCACCGGAGGAAGAAAGACGCGATTTCAAGCGTTTTTTGCGCTCGGCTTTCTCCACGTTTACCGGCTACGCGACTGCAGGCGGCGTTGCGTTGCTCGTCGTTCAAACCTTCGCCTTGTAGGATTGGCATATACGCGACAAGTATACTCAGCGAAGGAACATCGTTTACCTAGAGTACACTTTAACTTCAAGCTTCACCCGGAGAGGACGCGCACACGGTGAGTAGCGCATATTCATTACTAGTGGTCATTCCAGCCTACTGTGCACTACTGAACTACCACCCATCAGATGAGTGCCGCCGTTGCCAGCGCCGCCAGCGCCGTCGGAATTGCAGTGGCCGAAGTCGCCACCACCACCGCGCGCACAACCCGTCGCCGCCTCTTCCGACCCGTGCACCCGACTCGCCGCCCTCCCCCCATCCGCAAATTGCTCCCGCTCGACCCAGAGACCCGCCTCCCCATTCCCCACGTCCGCCTTACCCTAGGCGACACGCACCGCGCCCGACTGCTCGACCACTACCACACCACGCTCGCCGACGACCTCATGTACATGACCTATACGCACGAGCCCGGTCCACGCAAACCGCCGCGCAACATCCGCCTCACCTACGACCCGGCGGATCCCTACGTCCGACACCGTGCAAACCCCCCCGTGGGCGGGTCGCAGGTCGGGCGCAAGCCCGCGCCGCCGTGCACGCCGGAGAACGTGGTGCGGCTCGAGAAAATCGTGATCCACACGATGCAGAAGGAGGCGATCGCCAACCGGCAGCAGCTCCTCGGCGCGGTCATGGCCCTCCGCGCCATCACGGGCGAGACGGCCCAGGGCGGTGGCCGACATACGAAGACGGGCGTCGAGATCATCCGCGGCAAAAAGTCGTCGGGTAGCACCTGGAAGGGCAAGAACGCGCCGCTCGCATGCAAGGTCGAGCTCACCGGCCCGAAGATGTACGATTTCCTCGAGACACTCGCCGAGTTCGTCTTCCCGCGCTTGCGCGAGTTCAACGGCATCGTCCTGCCCCCCGCCCGCGCGAACATGCAGACGCCGAGTGGTGTCAGCGGCGTCGTCGAATTCGGCCTCGAACCGGACGCGATGGGCCTTTTTCCCGCGATCGAGGTCAACGTCGAGGCTTACCCGCGCCTTTACGGAATGAACATCCACTGCATTACCAACGCCGAGGGCCAGGGCGCGCAAAACAAGGCCAGGGCGCTCATATCTGGGTTCCAGATACCATTCATCCGCAGGCCATATCCCTAAAGGTTGCGACGGCCAGTTGGCTCGAATATCCGCAGGGACACGCTCTGGGTTCGCGCCGTTCTCAGACGGCGGCTATGTATATACACTAGAGCCGTGCTACTAATCACCTTTTGCTGTTCGTGCGTTCAGTGATGGTTCCTGGCCCCTGAATTTGGGATTAAGTTGCGTCTATACTAACTGGCTTGCGAGAAAATGATACAAATGCGACGACAGCGATCCATTCGAAAGTAAGGAGAGGATAACACCATGATAAAAACGGAGACTGCGAAAGAGCGAGGGTGTACAACGGTCATCAGCGACCGTTGAGATAAGGAAGGGCAGTGGTTGAGGTGGTGATAAAGCCATTAACGGAAAGATTCGTCGACCTGCCAGGGGATGTCTCCAAGCCGTTGCCTCGGCCGCGACTTCGACGCGGCTCTAGTAGTAGTGCTCAACGGCGGTGGATTGTAACCCGTACTGTGTCCCGGCGGAGGCGTGCCGGCGGCGGGAAGCAAGACGCCCGCATTCGCCTCGGACGCCGTCCTGCGGAAGTTTTTCTTGGGTGCGACGCCGGGCTTGACATCCCCCGACCCGCTCCGCAGATTGCTTCTGCTCTGCGCAGGCTTGAGGCCAGGCGCGAGAATCGGTTTGATCTCTCTCGCGAGCTCCCGCACTAGCACCGCGTTATCCTCCTTACTGAGCCGCGAGACGATCCCATAAAGGCCGAACCGCTCCACGACGGCGACCCTGTTCGGGTGCGACTCGCACACGGCACGCAGGATACGGAGGAGCTTGAGGCGTACGACGGCTTGCCCCTTGTGGTGTGATAGCCGATCGGTGATGCGGTGGAAGAGCCGCGAGCGGGCCATGCCAACCGTGATGCGAGTTGACATACGAAAAAGCTTGAGGTACGGATCGAGCAGGTTCTCAAAAGAGTTGGTCTTCGCGGAGACGAAGCAACCAAGGAGGGATTCGAGCGCCTCGGGTTTCATGAGCTCGTCCTCTACCCGTGCCATTTCATCTTGGAGCCTGGACCATGTCGTGAGCAAGTGCCCAGAGCCCGCACAACAACGACATCAGTGCCTACCATGAGATGATTGACTCCAAGGCACTGAGTTGAAAATAGGGATCGGCAAGAAGCTTCAGGTACAGTGAAAGGCCGTCCTGTTGCCATAACATGTTACGACAGGTCTTTCCAGCGCTTGCCAAGTCGCAAAGAATCTATGGATAGCTGTCAGCTCTGCACCCACGATCGTGGCGACGAAGGTGCCGCACCGGAAGAGCAAACTGCTTTAGAGGGGACTTCGCCTCGATCACCCGCTTCAAACTGGGAATTATGCCAGCTTGCGCAGCCTCTTCCTGCCTGGACTTGTTCAACCGGCACAGATTGAAGAGAGTTTGGAAGATGTGATTTGAAATTTCCTGGTGGATGGGAAGATATGATTATCAGAGAAACGTATTTCACATGCAGGAATGGGCGTACGGTACTGTATGGGCCTGCGGCTTGCTCCTCGAGTATTTTCACGAGGATCTCGATAGCGTTGGCATTTTGTAGCACTTCCAGGAGCGTGGCATTCATGGACAGATGCTTGACGCATTTAAGCATATGAACCAAGTACTCTGGTTCGAGTAGTTCGCATCCTCGCAGCAATCCTATGAAGGTCAGTTTCACAAAGGGACTGGCAGCCTTGGGTTTTGATACATACTTCTGATGATCTTGCGCGTCCCAAGCGCATTGCGCACGTGAACGTCGGACTGCGATACTTGGCAGAAAATGACCATTATTTGGATTATCTTCATTCTCATCTCCGCTGAAAGCTCGTCACGCATAGTCATTACGTTGAGTAACGCCGCGGAGAGTGGGTCCATGAGCCCTTCACGGAGGAACATGCGGCAAAAATCGTTCTTGGTCGTCGGACTCTGCAGTTCGAACACGCTGCCGATACCATTCAGCGCGTGGACGACGAGTTGCGTCTGGCGTTCGTAGTCCTCGTCCAACAGATCGACAAGCACTTTCAGCCCCCGACACCTATGATATATATGAGCGAGAGTCACTTTCGCACATCAATGGAGCTTACGCAATGAACATCTGCAGTGTGAGCACCGATGTATGGCATAGCAAACGGATGAAGTGCGAGGCTTCAAGTCGGCACTCTTCTGGATATCGTTTTGAGGTGTAACCCATAACGACTGGAATACCGCTGTGGGCGCATCAGGGAAGCCGAACAAGTGATCGTCATGTTGCTCACCCGATGAGACAAAAGCTCTCTAGGAAACCAATGTCCTCATTGACCAGCTAGCGACGATTAGTACAGTGCTACGGGAGAACGAAGCGGATTCGCTGACCAGGTTGATGATCTGGAGTAATTTCAGGCTCACGTCTCGCATAGTCTTTCCTTCCAGGACTTCAAGAATGGCGAGCATGCCATGAGACGAAACAAGCTGTCCTTGCATCTCGGGAGAATCAATGAGGATATTGTACTAGAAACGTGAAGGGAATCAATTTTCGCAGCTTCACTGTGGACAATATGACGGCAAACCAATTGTTCAGATGCTTCCCGCAACTGGAAATCGGGAGTCGCCGGTGTCAACTCGTCAAGAAGCTGATTGACTTGACCGCACAATCTTGCGTACTTGTCGCGCTGGAGGTTGGTCTCCAAATCATCCTCATCGAAGCCCTCATCAATCTAGATAGTCGTCAGCATGACCACGACAGCAGACGAATCATCTGTGTACCTCAGCAAATGGATCTTCATCGCTAGAGCCTTCATCACCCAACTGCAGGCTGATTTAGAACTGTATGTAGGTCAGGAACTGCGACATACCCATGACTTATTTGAAAGTCGAGTATTGAGCTGAAGAGTCTGCATTGGTTGATCCGAAGCTTGGGACAATCAGAAAACTGCGACAATAGGTATGAGGAGGTGATCCTTACAAGTACCGACGACCTTGCCAAAGACGTCTTCATAATCCTCCTCGTCGTCCTCAGCGTACTTCCCGAATTCGTGAGCGCGTCCATGAGAGCCATTGGCGCCTGTTGTTGATGTCGAGCGTCCGTGACTTTGGCCCATGGTCGTAGTTGGCTGTGAGTAAGAGCGTGCAGACATCGGGCCTGGCACCGCTCCTGAGGGCAAAGATACCAAAGGCGATAACGAAGGACGCCTCTTTGGTTTTGACGAAGCCGAGCCGTCCGGGTGGGATAGAGGCGCTGTCATCGGAGCTGCTGGCACGGTGCCCAGTCCAACAGTCTTGATATCATCGGGATGGAAAAGACCGCGACGAAGTGAGTTTTTCATCTAGATGACAAATGCTGAGCAAAGGGAAAGAGAGTAGGTCAAGGCTTGCCAAACCTTGAAGGAAGCGACCTTCTCCGCAAGAGTATCGTCATCATCTCCGGCGAGGTCTGAATAATCCTCCTCGATCGTGCTCATATCTTCCGCGGGTAGACCGGCTGCCGGTGTAATGGGACTTTTGGTAGTGGGACGGATGGTTCGTGCGTTATCTTCCGCAACAGCTTCATGTTTGGCCGTCTCGTCGTCGGACTCCGCCGTCGTCTTCTCCAGCGCTGCAGGGTCGCGCGTGTTAAACCTCTCGTCGCAACATCGAATCAGCGCACAAGTCACAGACCTTGAATCTTGGAAAGACTGATACCCTCCTCGAAGTCGTCATCCCAATTATCTGTCTGTTCCTCGGGAGCACTCCGCAACGCAAGCGACAGCGGCTGTTGAATCTTTTCTACAAGACTCGGTCCTCCTGGCACGGTGAGCATGGGGCCGGACATCGCTACAGGCGCCTTTAACCGGAGGCCAGTAGGTGCTAGTAGCGTTTGTTGTGATGAACCAGATGAAGATGAGGACATGGAAGAGGGCATGCTCCCATTGGAGGAGGAGGTCGGCATATGGGCCGTCGTCGGCGATGGCGGGTGGGCATCAGGTATTGAGATGCCACGATGACGCGACGGATGTTTGGAGGGACGAGAGGGAGCTGAGGTAGACTAGTTTCAGTAAAAGAATTAGATGACTAGAAGAACCCTCACATTTCAACGCTTCATTCCACTCCTGTACCTGCGCCACAGCTTCGTCGTAGTTGTAGTTGCTCAGCGGTCTCCTTTCCGGCCCATCGCCATTATTGGACCCGCCCCTGTCCTTCCTCTCTCGTTTTCTCGGCTTATCCTTATCCACGGACTTATCGGTGTCCTTGTCCTGACGACCGGTCTCCCTATTTGCATGCTCCTCCGGATCCTTCAGACTCCTCCCGACCCGGCCACGAGCTTGCAGCATCCAAGGGTGTCTTAAAAGCTTCTTCGCTGATATGCGCAGATTGTGGTCCTTCTGGAAACAATGATAGAGGAAATCTTTGACGATCGGGCTCGCGCCTTCTGGTATCGGAGGACAGTCATCCTGTACAATACGGAAGAGAGCCGGCATTGGGTCCATCCCGGCGTACGGCGGCTTTCCTTCGAGGAGCTCGATGACAGTGGCGCCAACACTCCTGTAAATGGGACGGTGAATTCGATGTCCGTCGAGGGGCGTGGAAGGTCGTACCAGATATCAGACGCCGTGGTTGCACCCGTTTGTTCTATGACCTCAGGAGCCACTGTTAGGTGCCAGTCAGGTTAGAACCCATTCTACAAAGAGCCGGGCACTTACTCCAATATGGACTTCCAACCACCGCAGCATCCACAGCACTGGCCGCCGCCGTGCTAGCGACCCCGAAGTCGGCAAGCTTCACGGTCCCATCCTTGTTGGTGAGCAGGTTTGCACCCTTGATGTCGCGGTGGATCACACCCTGGTCGTGCAGATAGACGAGGCCCTCTAAAACCTGCGATATATATACACCGACAAGGTTCTCCGGGAACTTGCCGAAACGTTTGCAGATGTTGTGGAGGGAACCGTTTTCGCAGAACCTAAAGATAGTTGATGAATTATATGGTGGAGACGGGCTCAAGGAAAGGAGCCCACTCTAAGATAATATACAGATACTCGCGCGTCTTGATAAAACCCTTATACTTGACGATATTCGGATGCTAGGCATGTTCGTCATCAGCCTGTTGACTGCATAACACTCGTAAGACCTTACATTCAAGTTCTTCAATAAATCAATCTCGGACTAGAAAAGGTAAAATGTTAGGGCTGCGATGATTTTGGCGTGCCATCGGCGTCACGCACCATAATCTCCCCTAGGTCCGACTTCGGGATGTTCGCGAGCTGTATCTCTTTCACTGCGACGGTTTCTCCCGTCACCCAGTTCAGGGCACCTATGCGCATCACCATTCGCAAATAGATTGTGCGAGCCATGCACTACGCCACCCACGGTACACGGAACCGAAGGCGCCCTTGCCGAGGCAGTCTCCCAATTGCTAGACGCAGTGAAGCCTTTCAACATGTTGTGTATGGTACACGCAATGAGGCACTGACGAAATCGCTCGAGAGAGCCTTCGGGCCGCTCGAAGAGCTCGCGAGACTCGTTGAGGCCGACATGGTCGCCCAAGGGAAACGATCCTCCGATGCCTCTACGCGCCTTCCGCCGCACTGCTGATACCACGTTGGCCGTAAAATTCAACAAGGCCAGTCAGATCGCAAGATGTGAAGGTTGGTGTGGTGGGCGGAAGCAAAGAATAGCCTTGTGAGGCGCGTTCATTGTGATGGCTCCGTTAGGAACCAAGTCGCGTCGTGACAGGAAGAGTCGTTTCCTTAAGCTTAACCGCGATCAAGCCCGTCGTTCGTCAGGCTAGTATAGTATAGTATGATGTACATAGGCATGGATCACATAGGGGACAAAGTACATGAATGGGATGTTCGCAATGCTGATCAAACGATGGCCCGGAATTCATCGCAGTGCATCAGCTCTATCAGAAGATGAACGCAACTTGGCGAGAAGTACGATCATTCATCCCGAGCACCAGCGCATTGATGCGCGGCTTGCTTCCTGAAACCGCACTTCAAGATATGCAAGTCAATGGCGCTGATAAAGGGTTGAAGGTGCCTGTCCAGGAACTCAGTGCGTTCCTCGTCAGCGAGTCGGCACATTGCGTCAAACTTGACCTGCGTAAGCGGTGGTTAGCTCGTTATAAGAAACGGGAGTCAGAACTCACTCCGCTGACTCCGAGCTTTCGAAACAGAATCGGTAGGTGACCCTGGTGCATCGGTGGGTCAAGGCCAGCGAGGAACCGCTCGACTACACCTAGCGCGAGATTCTCCTTCACGGGAACTCGTTGCGTTGCAATTGGGGCCATCGCGGCACCATCATGAGCGACGCTGGGGTTTTCCTCCACTGAGTGTGGCGGATTGGTAGTATTGCCGTGAGCAGTCCTCGGGCGCTTCTCCATGTTGACGGAGACAAACCCACGAAATGCCCCAGGACATGTTGAACCAGTATTCTTCTGGGCGAATCGTGGACCAAACCATGTCAGCGATTGGCGTGAGCGCGCGAGGAGCATATCATTGCCTTCTTAGCAAGGGGGCAGCCTGCATTGACTTCAGGTTGCGCGCTGCCAGGGTTCCTTTGTGAGGAAGGATAACGCGCGGGACGGCGCCTATCGCGCCGCAGGCGGCTCGACTGCTCGGGTTCAGCCTGTGGCTGCGAACCGCTAAGTTTTACACTACTTAAAACATGTAAGTTGCGAGTTAATCGTGTTCAAGCCTGCAAATCTCACGTCTGACGGTGCCAGTACCGAGAGAGATGGTCTCTGATTGGCCATGCATTTTCAAATTGCTTAAAGAACGGGAACTGGTCGCATATCTGGAAGCAATGTCAGGACCGACAGAAGATCCAACGAACGGCGTACACGCCTGTTTGATCACTTCGAAGACGGCGGCTTGGCCTTGTTGACCAAACGATTTGTTGATGTCCAGATGCCTCTCTGCAACCCTCATCATGGCCTGCTAGTTTTGATCCACATCATACGAGTAGTCCATGAGCACATAATGGAACACACACCTTCACAAGCTTCCAAGGGAGCCCTGGGTCATCCGCGCCAGTGGTCATCGCGATACGCTCCTCCATTGACAATTTTCGGCCTTCCAGGGCCAAAGGGGGCCGCTTGATGTAAACTGTGGGCATGATCGTTCGAGCGAGATATCCACCACTTCTCGAATCGAAGGAGGTATATATACTGCACGCCCAAGAAAGACGTAAGTGGTGCATACCGTCACTGGCTGAGACCACTGCGGAATGGTACCTCGGTCATATGCTCAGCCTTAAGGCAAGTCTATCGGGTCATTGCAGTGATCACCGTCGAAGTACAGAGGCTAGCCCATTGCGGATTATTCAGAGTTCAAATCCGCGAGGGCCTTCACATCGAAATAACTGGTACCGAGCTGCGTGATGAAATTCACCGAACGAGTTCACGGTGAAAGCGCGACGGGGTTGAGGTTACTACTGTCTGAAAGAAGGCAACTTTTCGCACGATGCCCAAGCGAACTGGACGGGTAGCAGATGTTGGACCGATGATTTATAGTCAGCTCAGGGTCGATGAACTGAGAAGAGCTCCGTGGAGGTGAGCTTGATTGGAAACCCACCGGGCCTCTGCGATACCAAGAACGACGATGCTAAGCAGTTTCGAAGTTTGTTCACAAGACTCGATATCACGTAGGTGGTACGAGTGTAGCGTTCATTGCGAGTTGCAGTGTTTGGGGGGGGGATGCGATCCCACCATTAGGTAGTTGCATAATATGTGCTAATCTTCAAAGGGGTAGAAGTAGGTAGTACACTGCACAACGAGGCAGCATCGTGACACGTCTCTGATAACGTATACGATGATCTTGTCAGCTCAAGTATCGTTTTCCGTGGCTCATCTGACTTTACGAGAGCAAGTATACGATTTGGCCGCATCGAGACCAACGAAGCGTCGTGTCGCCGCGGCAGGACGCACACGAGGCAACTCCAACCGCAGCCCAGAGGAGTAGATTAATCGCCGTTATCCGAGCTTCGAATATCATTAGGCCTCAGGATCCAAGGCTGTAGGGCAACATCAAAAGTCTCCAGTCCAAGTCGTATACTCCATGTCGTGGTTGGTCTCAAGCCAGTCTGTGAAAACAACTTTCGCATAACCCTAGGATAAGGGCGAAGCACTCGGCAGGCTCTGCTCGCAAACCAGGGGAACGGGGGTGCCGACATGTTCAATCCATCCGCACTATGCCAAAAGAGGGGCTCTAGCGTTTCTGCTTCCCCACTGCGCGCCGTTACGGTCTGTGGATCGATCGTGCACACTCAACGATGGATGCTCTCTATCGTTCACCGGCTTGGAGACGGCAGGACTCCGAGCCCGCCGCATCTCCCCAGTAAATGTCGATGTCCGACTGACTAAACAATGTTGCTCCAGCTCACCGGGAGCGGGCTGACGCAACTCGTCGTAGCGGACATGTCGATATACAACCTTCCTACTTCCGCGGCCGGAGAAGCGACCCCTATGAACCCAAGATAGCTGAAGATACCGGAAATTTTGCCGGCAGTGGTGCGCCAATGACGTTCCTTACGCCCGTAGAGCTAACTTCGGGGCGGCGATGACATGCACGGCTCCGCCCCCGGAAGCACAGATCCCCCGTGGAGCCCTCCGTCCATCCGAGCGACGATCACTTCCGCGCTGGGGCGGCTTCTTCACCGTCGGCAATTATTCGAACAGAGGGCGTTGGCTACACGCCTAAATCCGGTCGTCCCGATCGTCGACGACCCGAGTCGATCATACCCGCCTGCAACACTGGACTGGACGACTTTGGCTTTCGGTGGCCGACGAGGCAAAATGACGCAGGAGATGGCGGTATATAAGCTGAGGCATGCAGCACGACCGACGAAGCATTCGAAGCCGAACAAAGACCCATCTCCCTCCTCATCCTCGTCACGCAATCAACGACGCTTATCAACGACTTCGTTACATGATGTTCTCCACCCTCCGTACCTTCACCCTTTGGGCCCTGGTCGCCAGCGTTCTCTTGGCCATCCCGCACGCAGACGCTGCTGCACTCAAGCAGGCGCAGATGAAGGACCTTCGCGAGCGCGCGACCCCCGTCCAAGCCCGCTCCCCCCAGGCCTCCCAAATGCGCGCCCGCGCTCCCATCCCCCAGGTTTCCCAGATGCGCGCCCGCGCTCCGGCGCCGCAAGTCTCCCAGATGCGTGCTCGTGCGCCCGCCCCTCAGGTTTCGCAGATGCGCCGAGCGCCCGCACCTCAAGCCTCGCAGATGCGACGCGCCCCCATCCCGCAAGCCTCGCAGGCGCGGCGGGAGATGACAATCTTCGACATCGCCCCCGAGCGTCGCTGCCGCCGCGATTGGCAGAGCTGCCCCATCTTCGTCGAGAGCAAGCTCAAGGGATTCGAGTGCGTTGACGTCCAGCACGATCTCGAGTCGTGCGGTGGGTGTGTTACCAACGGCCAGACCTTCGGCGATGGTGGTCGCGACTGCAGTGCCATTCCGAACGTCGATAGCGTCAGCTGCATGAAGGGGCAGTGCATTATCGGTCAGTCAACACATTTCTCTCGTGCGGTCGGGTTCATTGATCTAATGCTCCACACCAATGTTTAGAGCAATGCGCCAGCGGTTACGTTAAATCTGCAGACGGGCATGACTGTGTTGCATCGAAGGGTCGCATCTGAAGTCAACCGATCATTACACTTCACTTCGTCTTGACAGTTAATCTGGATAAAATCTTCATCAAAACTACCGTGCCTTCAATCCTCCTCGTCATGTTCCCTGCATTCTTACCGTAGATTACTGTCATGCTAGATTTTTGTCGATAGAGCTGTCAGCAGCACATTGTACCCGACGTTATCGCCTGCAACGTTAAATTAGATACTTTGGATAGTATTCCCGACCATTAGTCCGTTTGCTATTGTATCATAATTGTCTTCGACCAAAATCAATCTCTCATAAAAGATTGAGACATCCCGCGATCAGTGGTCTTTTCTCAGGAAAGTTCGTCGGGTTGATCGTAGTATACTTCCGGATAACAACGAAATATCAACAAACGCACAACATCGATAGGAACATACTCAACAATTCGACAAAACACAGACACCTGTACATATCCCGCGACACCTGTACATATCCCGCGACGAGACCATGATAGCCAGATTGATGATAGTACATTTGACGGTTATGGGAAGTGGGGAGCGAAGGATTAAGATCGAGGGAGCGATACGGTGGTATGGAAATGTGGGGACAGCCCAAGCACGAAAAAAAAACCCCAAAGTCACTCCTTCACGCGTTTGAGACTTTCTCCCCGGAGCTGGAGCGCCTCCGTGAGGTCGTCAAGGTCCCACTCGCACACACCGAGTTTGCCGATGCAGCGCTGCAATTTATTTTCGAGCCGATCCGCGGGCATAAGACACAGTCGGTCGAGGCGAGCCTGTATCCTCGATAGGGAGATTCGATAAGTAAGCTGGTATGAACCTTTTAGAGGGGGGGGCGGGGGCGGGGACGGAGAAACGTGGCCAGTGGAGAGGAAAGAAAAGTTTGGGGGGAACTGGGCCAAGAGTCGAGGAAAGGGCTGCAAACCGTGACACACTACTCGCCTTGTCGATGCCGTACCGAGCGAACGCGCGCGCGATCTGTTCTCGCGGAAAATCGAGCGTGTCGAGGAAAGCGAGGACGGCCGGGTCTGTGACCCCGAGCTGGGTCGTGTGCTTGGAGTGCGGGGCGATGGTGACGGACCGCTCGCGGGGGGTCGGCGTGCTCGGTGACGACGGCGACGATGGCGGTGGCGAACTTGGTTTCGCAGCGCTAGAATGAGAGCTCGAACCCTGAGCGTCGGTTGAGATATACGTTGGACCGATCAGTTGGCGGTAACGCGGCAGGTCGATGCTCACCTTGCGATTCGCCCCGCGAGGTGGGCCAATTTTTATACCGGGGCGAGCCTCCGCCTCGGAGGCTGAATCGTCGATGGGTTCGGGCGTCGATCTTGAAGAATCGAGCGATTCGGAAGGTTGTGTTGGAGACTGTGTGCGACCGGTTTTTTTATGAAAGATAAGAGAGGGGGGGTGGAGTACAAGGTCTGCGGCGAAGAGAACTGACCTTTTTCACCTTCCTGCCACGGTTTTTCTCCGTTGGAGGGCCTCGCAATATCTGTGCCTTACGACCCCGAGTCCGGCGGCGCCCTCCGCCCATGAGCCCACTGTGGGTGATATACCGCTCAATCGGCCATGCGCCCTCGAATCTCTCGAAGATCGGGTACTCGTTCGTCACCTGCGTCGATATATGCTGAACATGAGCGAAGCCCGATCGCGAACGTGAAGACGCGGTAGCCGTCCGCTTTTTTCGAGGCTCGCCTTTTCGATAACCGCAGCTTTGACTTCCGCACTCTGCTTGGAGAACCGTTTGCCCTCCGTGAAATCGGCTCGTACCGTCTCGCGGATGAATGCCTAAGCAGAAAGAAAGAAAAGAGGACAGCATAGCGATCCCGCGCTTCGCTATCAATCATCTGTCGGAATCTCGAGGATGGAAAGTACTAAACCCATGCAGGGACGAGATCGGCGAGTTCTTGGCCGGTGAGGAACGGTCCGAGGACCTGGCTCATCGTCTTGCCCCGGAGACCGTCCGGCCTACTGATGAGACCCGCCATGTGGTACGAATCTACTGGTGGTAGGGAGGCAGCTCCGTCGCAAGAGAACGGAGTGCAGGGTGAATGTAACGGAGTACGTAGTTTAACCGTAGAGTAAGCTTAGAATGGTGGCGGCTCCGCCGCGACTGAGAAATCACAATGTTGCCGCGCCCGTTGGGCGCCATATGGTCAAACCTATGGTAACCGAATGGGGCACGCTCAAGCCGGGCCTCTGCCGGCTGGCGGAGCACAAAAGTAGTCACGTGTATGTTTCCACGGCACTTGTGGACCCCAGATAGCCTACATTAAATATGTATTAGTGATGGCGTGCTCAGAGTCGTGATACGGTGAAATCACAGTTGTGCAAGGTCGCTGTGCTAGGTCGTCCACAAACTGTGCTACATCGGCTTGAACATACTCATTTACGCACACCTTGGCTATGCCTAATCAGTACAAGCCCTGCCGTTCGTCCTTGTATGCTTGGACCCTTCCAATAACTGATTATGAAGTGCAGCGTCCCCTGAGTCTCTTGAGGCCGATGCGCGTCGGTACTGGGGAATGGGAATGCGGATGAAGGACATATACAAGCTGCTCCTCGAAAACATTGACCAAGAACATTTTAGCTTAGGGTGTGTTATTTCAAGTACCTATAGAGCGAACTGTTTGGAGTAACTTCATTTCAGAATGAGGACGTTCAAGAAATACTGCAAAATTTGGGGCCTCGAAAGTGCTGTTGGGCAGAAACACACAGAAGAGTCCATCACGCCTCTCATCCAGACGTTGCTTCTCCGGTTTCCTCGGAACGGAGCAGGTTCTTTACGAACGATGTTACTCCAAGATTACCAAGTCAGAGTCTCTAAGTACGTTGTACCATTCGGGATTCTGTAGGCTGTTACCAAGCTTGTACCTATTCAGAGAGAAGGTCCTTAACGTTCTACGTCGGATCGATCCAGAAGGTGTGAAGAGCAGAAAGGGGAAGAGATACAAGCGCAAGGTCTTCTACGCTGCCGGAGTCAACCACCTGTGGGTCTTTGATCAGCATGATAAATGGGCTAAATATGGCCTCTACTTCCATATGGGAATCGAGCCATTTAGTGGGAAGATTCTGTGGTTGGTGTGCTGGTGGACAAACTCAAATCCACGGTACATCGCACACCAGTACTTGGAGACCGCTCGGCGGCTAGGAAATGAAACTCATGGTAAGGAGCTTGATATGCAATACATTCTTAGTGTTTATTAATCTCTCTGCAGCGATCCTACCCCTGATAACGCAGAGCGATCCTGGATCAGAGAATAATGGGATAGCCAATGCGCATACGTCTATACGGCATCATCTTGATCCATCCCTCGCTGGCAGCCTTCAGCATCGGTGGAAGCGCAAACACAACAACATCAAGTCCGAAATTGCCTGGTCTGTATTCCGGTCTATCTGGGCGCCAGGCTTCGAGGATCTACTTGAGCTAGGAGTCGATCAAGGCTGGTATGATGTGACAAACTCCCTTCACTAGTATGTCCTTCCCCATATCGAGGTATCTGCTCTTACCACTCACTGTTCACAGCTTTGTGTTTCGTTGGATTGCTATCCCGTTTATCCAGCATGAGTTGGACAAATACGTTCACCGTAACAATACCACTGCGAAGAGAGCCGATAAGCATAAAGTACTTCCGCATGGTATTCCAGATATTATATTTGAACGGCCACACCGATTTGATGCCGTGGACTTTCATGTACGTCTATTATGGGCTCCTGAAGAATAACTCATACTTAATTATACTCAGATTAATGTGCCGCACAATATCCTGGACCAAGCTCAGGATCAGTGGGCACCCCGCGATCATCCTGTTTTCCAACTTGTTCACCCCCACTTCGATGAGTTTATACGCCCTATATATGAGTCCCTCAACCTTCCGGCGACCGATGTCACCAACTTCTGGACAATATATCTGGCATTGATAGCTGCAGCATTGGCTGCAGAGGAGAATCAACGTGTAGTGCAGCTCCTAGATGCGCAAATGAAGGTCGCTGAAGGGGGAGAGGATCAAGGTATTCCCCTGCTACAAGGTTTATCACCAGTTGTGATGGGCGAGAATGGAATACCTATGGGATTTACTCTTCAGAATGATGGCCATGGATATCAGGAAGACGATGAAGATCTTTATGTTATTTTTAGTGACGAAGAAGATGAAGATGAGGCATGGTAATATTGCTTGCATGTACATACTACTAGTGTACTCCATGCCATTTATTGTCGTTCTCCTCCCAGACCTTCAATGCAACATCATTAGTCAGGACAACAGATGCCCGCATTCCAGAGAAGTGTAGATTAAAATGGGTAATCTCGTCGCTCCTAAAAACAGCGAAGTCTCCTGCCTTCAAGTCCACAACGATACCCAGTTCATGCAGGACAAGTTGTCCATTCTTCCAGCTGCCAAGAGGGACCACGACGCACAGAATGAAGTCGTTTTGGTCCCTGTGTCCATTTGTTGCAACCGATATATTGACGACGACTGACGTGAAGCATTTCCCAGGAGGAACAGTCCTGTTGGGGAGGGACTCGGCATGAACCTTCTGAATGTTGAACTCCTCAGGAAGATGCGCCTGGACCTAAAGCTATATGAGATAATTATCCACTGTAAAGATATAGAAAGACATACAACGCGAACGACTTGGTCAATGAGAGGTTCCAAGTCTTCAAGCACAGACTCGCATAGCTCCTTGTTTTCTTGCACCTCACGAGAGAGGTGGGGTATCCTAGGGGCGTAGCGCTTACAGGTCTTTGACTGAAGCAGGGTTGGGTGAACATCTTTTGGCGCATTATCACCCTAATATTATCTATGAGTTTTATTGAATATATACAGAGTAATACACTCACTTGTTGATTAAAGCGATTGAACGTCATGAAATGCGCAGCCCCAAAGCTAAAGTCAGGTACCTCAGAGTTGCCATCAGCCAGCTCAGGCCATGTAGCGAGAAGCCTGAGGGCAGACTGGTCGACCAACTCAGGCATTGACCTAAGAAAGCCACTCAGCATAGCGACAAAGTTGCTATTCTGATCTCTGAATAGCAGGGTACTATTGCCCAATAGTTAGCTATATCATCATGAGAAAGATTGGACATACTCTATAGGAGACAACTGGGGGAGCTCCCAGTAATTCTCTGGAGCCTCACTCAGAGATTCATACTGGAAAAAAGTCAGACAAGAAGACTGGTTTACAGCACAACTCACTTGCTCCACAAAATTATCGATGGACATGAATAACTCTCGGTACTTCGCTTTCTCCCGATGAGTATCGGTCCATTCTTGCTTTTGCTTGCGATCCATTCCTTCAAGAGGACTTGGAAGATTCAAGCAAGGAAAGGGGACGGTCAGTTCATACCTATCCAAAGGGACTGGTACCTCTTGAATAGGGATAGTATCCAGAGGATATGGTGAATGGGCAATAAATGCACGGTCGAACACCGTAACTGGGCATGAAGACTGCCAAAACTCCCAATGGGATGACCTATCACGAAGTATAAAGTTCCTAAACAGAATATCATATGCACTATACTCAAGGTAAAGAAGAAAGAACATACCTTTGAGGAAGAGAACTGAGATGCTCATTGATAGCCTCCAAATCATGCGAGCAAAGGTACTTGACTTCACTCTCCATCTTGCCCATTTCTACGTGGAAGCAGATCATTTGACGTATTTTCGTCAGAGCAGGGATAATGGAGGTCTTCACAAGTTTCCCTGCCGTATCATCTGTTGCCAGGTCAGAGAACGAGGAGACGTAGACTCAACAACATCATACCTTGGGGATCAATGATACACTGAGCGACCTCAGAGATCACATTGGCCGAGGTATATCGCAGACGTGTTCGCATTTCTAAGGCTGCAAGCATAACTACCACGCCGAGCCCTCCTAGATAAAATGTTAGCTCAGATGTCTAACATAGCAATGCGTACAAACCTGCTTTGACAAGCTCCACTAGATAGGACCCCTCCTGGATCCAATAGTGGAACCTACGAGGGACGGGACCTTCACCGAACCAGGAACGCCACAACGCACTGATATTCAGTTTTTTCTTACCAGGCGCTAGTCTACACCATAGTAGTTAACCAACGTTCATGTATGTATATTTGAAACAGGGACTTACGTAGCTGCACGGGCATATAGCCTCATGTTGGTAAGCATAGAGAAGAAGTTCAAGGAACGGTTGCGCTGGCTGAGATGCCAAGCCATGAAGGCAAGTTGGAGGAGGTTCCTATCAGCGGACAGCTTGGCCATATGACAGTTCCCAAACGAATCTGGGTCACATAGGGACCTGAGGAGATCTGGAAGAGAGTGTTGTTGGACAGGATCATTGAAGCGATCGAGCTGGGTGAGTATTCCCATGATTTCGGCGACATCTGATGAGCTGACGTGTGGTTGAGTCACATTCCAGGATCCGTTACCACCGTTCTGCACTCCCGCATCATCTTCTTCACCTGAGTCTTCTTCTTCAGATGGCTCAAACGCCTCTTCATCGTCTGGGACAACCCTACGGCGCTTCGAAGCCCTGGCGTTAGCTCTCTGAGTGGCGGTTGGGTTTGATTGCCGTTGGCATGGCCTACGACGCCTGCGTCGTGCAGCGCTACCACCCAGTCCAACCCGACCACCCCGAGCACCGCTCTGACCAACCCGCCCACCACTCTGACCGCCTACATCACCACCGCCTGAACTGCCGTTCTGAACACCGATATCACTGCCATTTGGGCCGGCGTCTGAACCACCGAGGTTGCCGTCCCCAGAGCTGCCAGTGTTGCTGACCACCTGTTCTGAGTCAATGAGCGTCACAGATGATGCTCTTGAGCTGGCAGGTGTCCTCGCTGGAAGTCGAATAACAAGGCGGCCCACTCGAGCTGCGCAATCGGCGACAGCATTCGGATTCTGCAAGAAAGCAATGAGGAGAGTATTATTGGATTAAGATGCACAATACTTACCTCCATCTCAGTTGCATGATTTTCGTGCCCACCAGACACTTTGGGAAATTTGCCAGGGGAGTTGACTGCCCCAGCAGTGGCCTGAATGTATATCAGAGGGATCATATAGAGTATCCAGCCAGCCAGCTCACCAAGGTAATATGAGCCTGACCATAGGAATTGCAGGAGTAGCCCTCTGAGTCCCTGTTGGTACCCTCAAAGTCTTCGACGAATGCCCGGAGGTAACGGCATCCTCCTGCTTTGGCCAGGCAAAGGACCTCCTCATAGGCTGCAGGAGACAGAATAAATGCCAGCTTTTCCATGTCAATGAAGTCCCTGAGTGTGAGGATCGACGAAGAGTGCGATACGCTGAGCGGGGCAACGCGGGGAAGGTGTGCACGGAAGCAAAAGACGCGCGAAATTTGGCTAAGTCCACGGGTTTGCACTAATGCAAATCCTCACCCCGACTCCCTCACCAGCCTTCCTCCTGTCGCTTTGCCGTCCCAAAACCACGAGAACACCATATTCAAGTATTCTATGGTATATTCAGAGTGTCTCCTGAGCTGATTGTGCCATGGGAAACTCCTTGATGATGACAGTCGTGTATGCTTTCGGTGAGTCTTCGAAGTTTACAAGTGTCGCAGCCGTCTTATTATTTATATTGGAAGACTGTCCGAATGTCTTTGGCATCCTATCCTTCCGGTAAGCCCGACATGTCCCCACTCTCCCTGTCTGCGTCAGACTCATCTCGCCAGCAGCTCGACTCGCATAACAAGAAAAAAGTGCCGCACTCAAAGGCGCCTCATCCGGTTCATCGGGCTTCAACGCAACATCTTCCGATAGTTGGGTGACTCACGAATGCGTTGTTCAGCAGGTGCGTGTGCCCGCTATCTCGCATTCACGCCCGCCTCACCGTATTTTTCAGAGCTACGACCGACTCACTTACCAAATATCGCGCGGCCAACGATCACAACGCCACCCGCACAGCGTGGCATCGCCCGTGCGCTGGCACACGGAGACGGGCCCTCCCTCCCTCGAAGACGAAGCGGGAGGTCACCGTACGCCACGCTCTCGCCACGGGCCAATGGACATCCGCGAAAGCCAGTGAACGCAGCATCGTCCGTGCGCTGGCACGCGAAGACGACTGGCGGGCCGGCCACTCTTGCCACGGGCCAACGGACACGACGCCGGCCGCGCAGGCCAGCGAACGCGACACCGCCCGTGCGCTGGCACGCGGAGACGGGCTCGCCCTCTCTCGAAGATGAAGAGCGGGCCGGCCACTCTCGCCACGGGCCAATGGACACCCGCGAAAGCCAGTGAACGCAACATCGTCCGTGCGCTGGCACGCGAAGACGACTGGCGGGCCGGCCACTCTCGCCACGGGCCAACGAACACGACGCCGGCCGCGCAGGCTATCACCACCTTCATCCGCGCGCACATGCATCGATGACATGTCGAGCAAGATCATCCCTTGCTCCTCCGCCACGTGCTGTCGGGCACACCATCGGACGACCACCTCCTCCTAATGCGGCCATCCGCTCGTCTACGCCAATCGCCCGATCTGCCGTCGACCGCCACCACCCCGGCGCTCAGACGCATAAAACCACTCATGATCTCAAAGTCAAATAATGTCCCCGCGGTCTCATCGCCGTCATCAAACGACTCGAATGCGCTCACGTTTCCCCCGCCGCATGTCGTATTGCATCCCGACGACGCGTCAAATAAGGTCTTCTTAGCGATCGGCCGTTCTCTGCTCGCGGTGGTCAGTCCTGTCATTTATATCTCGGGCGCCTATCACCCATACTCTACCTTGTAGAACAATAAGGCCGTTACCATCAAAGAACTCGCGGAAATGACCCTCAAGAACGGATTGCATTGCCAGAAGTGCGTGCATATATCACCTAACCCTATCTTAGGAGCTTACCCGTCCTTCCTGTATGCAGCGTGTCCGCCGCGTCCCAGGCTATCACCACCTTCATCCGCGCGCACATGCATCGATGTGATGTCGAGCAAGATCATCCCCTTGCTCCTCCGCCACGTGCTGTCGGGCACACCCTCGGACGACGACCTCCTCCCCGCCCTCCACTCGCGCTCGGGCGGCGCGCACTGCAATCCGCCCACCGGCGACAACCGGCTCACCAACTTTCGCAAGGGCACCATGGTTTGGTACCTCAGCAAGGCCGCCGGCGCGCCGTGCCCCTTCAGCCGCGCCGGGATCAGGCTGTGCGACTACGGCGAGAACGGGAAGGTGGGGTATATGCCGACGACGGACAGGGAGAAGAGGGAGAGGGACCGTGCTAGACGGGCGGCGAACCGGGGGCTGAAGAGGAAGAGGCTACCCAGAGCGTGCGCGGACAAGAGCGCGGCGTCGGATTCGGGCTCGGACGCGGAGAAACCGCCGCCGAAGGTGAAGCTGACGCTGCGCCTCAAGCCGAGCCTCATCCGGGCGAGCTTGTCGCCTTCGACGCCGTCGCCGTCTTCCGTGTCGCCGACCGCGTCTGCTACTCGATCAAGAGAAATCGTCGACTTGTCCAAGATGTCCGACTCGGACTCCGACTCGGATGATTCTGACGATTCTGGGGATGTGTCTGAAGACGACTCCGGT